TGGGGGGGGGGGGGTGTTAAACACGACATCCGATCACGTGCGATCGATTGATATGCGTCCGGCGACAATCGTACAATCAGTGGCCCATAAATACTGCGGTCCGGGACCAGTCGGCCGTCAACATTCGTTGTTACACCGGTCGCGCGCGCATCTCAGACTCGTCTGCACCGTTCATACCGCCGTCACAGCCAAACAACAATACCCGACGAAAATGAACTCCAACGTTGTGGTGAGTGGTTGTTGTTTTGTTTTTTTTTTTGTTTTTTTTTTCCTCTCGGTCGTTGTTCGTGCACTAAACGGGTAATTCGAAACCGCGGGTTTTCGGGACGTTATTTGTTAATGTCGATATCGCGCCGGTCACGCGCGCCCCGCGGTATTGTGTATGAGCGGCACACGTTATTTCTGACAAAACAACGCGCGGCCGTCCGGGCGTTCGCGTCGGTGCGACGCGCGCTCGTAACTGTACACCGCGATCTCCTGCACAGCACGCGGTACGCGCCATCGTGCCAGACGCGTGTGACGCGAAAATGTTTAACCGCGCGGCGAATGGCGTTCCGCGGTTTCACACCTTGCCGGCTAATGTCGGACAGCGTACGGCGTTTCCGGCGAAAACGACGCCTAACGTAAACGTGTTGCAGTCCCTTCGCGCACATTGCGAACGCCCGACAGTGACGCTACACGGTAACCCGTACGGTACAATTGTCAACCGTTCGGCCGTTTCTGTCGGCGTCCCTCGGTCGTCGAACGAACCGAGGCGTTTGTCGGTTCAACAACCGTTACCTCTCCCACTCCCCCGCCCGTATTTTTTTAAAATCCTCTAACCGTCATCGTCGGTGCGGCGTTTGCATTCATCATTTTTCTCGGACTTTCAAGTGAACCGTTTTTTTTTCTGAATGTGTAATCCGCGAATGGGGGGCGGTACATTAACGAGACGGGTTTTTTTGATTTACCGAAAAAACGTACAAAAAACCGGAAAATGTACGAAATGTATTGTTTTGTAAATCGCAATTATTACGGCTGTTTGACACATGTACAACTGAACTCCGCTTGCTTCGTTAACAAACGTCAATACTTACGTACGGTTATACATTAAATTCCCGTCTAGACCTTCCCGACTCCGCACAGTGACCCGTCCGTCGCGCGAAGCGTGTCCGTCTTTTGTTCTTCTCCATTACTCTATCGACTGCGAAACTGGCCCTTCCGTTTCTCGCGAAATATTCGGCCGCACCACTCCGGTCGTCTGTCCCGAATGGCACGGTCGTTCTGATTACGTTTCGGTTTTATTGTTTCGTCGCTGTTTCGGCCGTCCTGCCCGGGGGTACAGGGATCCGGTTTAGCGTATAATTTACAGTCGATCGGAGCCTATTATGTGACTTAATTTTTTTCCCTATTCGCCTATTTGTTTCCGCGCCGCATGATACGGTCACGCCCGATCGCAATTATTCTACGGCGGATTCATCGAGCAAACAAATGGACGAAACTGTATTAAAATATTTGTGTATATTTTCGTATTTGCGCACTGTCTGCGTTTCGCGTTAGTTTAACAACAATACTGTTTGTATTAATAACAGAATTATGTTCGCCTCCACACGGTAAAATAAATACCATAATACTGATAATATGACGTTGTTAAACCCGCAGTTCGTAGCGCTGGTCGCTTGCAGTCTCGCCGTCCTGTCCGCCGCCGCGCCCGCACCGTCAGGAGTGCCACTAGCCCTATCGGCTCCGTTGGTGGCGCCCGCCGCCGCAGTGGTCGCCGCCGCCCCAGCCCCGGCGCCGGTGGTCACCGCTTACAGCTCGCAGTACGTGGCCAGGAACTACAACGGCATTGCCGTCGCCCCGGCCGTCGTCCCGTCCGCGGCCTACTTGAGCTACCCGCAGGTGTACGCGCCGTCGTACGCACCGGCGTACGCGGGCCCACTGGTCGAGGAATATCTGTTCTGAACGGCACAAGTTTCAAGCACTCAACGCTCTTCGCAACACGAATGCGTTTTCCCTTCGATTTCACATTGTTCTGTACCTATGTATAATAAAATGTTGTAATATTTTGTAAAAAATGAATAATAAAAACCAACTAAAGGCCTTTTTAACTATGTAACGTTTTTATTTTTTCGACTTACCCTTGAAAATCTATAATTTGGTATTCTCGGAGGTAACGAACACGCTAATAACATTATGCAATAATATTAAGTACTCGAATAAAAGTATTTGACTACTTTTTATTGTAATACTATTCTAAATGTTTCAGTAAAAAAATAACCAAATACCTAAATATTCTAAATACGATTTTTAGATTACGAGTGTGACGAGGGAGCTATTGGTTTTACAATGCTGGTTTTTTTCTTCTCCTTTGTACTAGACTGTAGACACGTTTTTTTCAAGTAAACTTGTTCCGATCTTTACGTGTAGCAACTTTTCTAAACGCTCAAGTTGTTTAAATTGTACTTTAATTTTTATTTTTATACTATATCCCACTTTTATTCTAGAAAACTTGCTCCGATGTATAAATGTAGCACTTTTTCTGATAGTCTTTTATCTACTTGGTAAATTCATAGATAATTTTTCAATTTTCTCAAGAGTTTTCTCATCAAATTTGAAAAACCGAAAAAAAAAAACGTGAAAATATAAGAAATATAGGTATTAATTAAAATATATTATGGCCTTCTTTTTTTCTGTGCAGAACTTTCCTACTAGCAATTTTGCTCCAATTTATAATGATAGCAATGTTTCTAAGAAGATTTTTCATTAGGGAGGTACTTCAAAGAGGTCATTTTTTGGTTTTCCTAAGATTTTTCCCAGGAAATGTGAAACATGAGAAAACACGGTACAACACTAAACAAATATTATTAAAGAAAATATATAAAGCCTATTTAATTTTTTTATTATAATATTATGTCATATGTATTGTTGACAAAACATGACTATCACTTGAACTACGCTCAGAATCATTTTATTGTAAGCAATGGTTTATCGTTGCTTACGGGTGTACATTAAATTATCTACAACAGTGGCTGCGCCCGTCCTCGTTATCCTAGGACGTCTTATTTTGTTATTATGTTTTATGTGAGCGCACTGCTCTTCTCAACACGAAAGACGCGAAAAAACAAGTTTCGGTAATAATCAATGCGATTGATATTACAAAGCCGCGTAGTTGTCTTTTCGTAAACAATTCTTTTTGAAGAGGATTTAGTAAAAACACTTAAGCTAATGAAAATCCAACCGCGACTTTAAAATATTCAATACTATTGAGCGTATTTACGGGCCCAATTGAGATTTATACACCTAAACCTATACATAAATAACATCAAAACGCATTAATTTTAAATATCGTCCGGATTCATGGTAGGTAACCGATAATAACGGGTGTACATTGACTGTAGCGAAAATCCTATTGAAAACGTGGGAATGGCGTCCCGCTGGGGTTTCTGATTTTCGATTCGTTTTACAATAATGTTTTGTTCGTTAGTTTCAATTTGTCGTACATAAATAATTAATAAAGTTGCTACAGTCGTATTTTCACTCAGCTGACTTGTTGCCGTCACAATATTTCATGGTTTTTTTTAGTTTTATAATGTTAAGGAATTAAACGAAAAATGTCTATCGAAACAGGTAAAGTAGTTCTGAAGATTTTTTTCTAAAATAGAACTGGACAGTATGGTCGGGAGTGGGATGTTTGACAACAATAATTTTTATATAATATACACATTTTAATCAGATTTTAACCATTTAAACCTAACCTTTCACGAGTCTATAAAGATATTTAAAACCCGCTAATTCTTGTGAAAAAATGGCATCTGTATAGGATAGAGGGGGAGTCGAATAATGAAAATATCGAAAGGCACATAAATGATTACTGACACTACACATATGCAAAATTGCATTCCCCTGACTTCATTTGAGAGATCTGTAAGGGTGTACAAAGGTTAAGCAAATACTCGTCTCTCACAACCGAAATTCAATTAACCCGCGAAAAAACTCGAATTCCTGAGTTTAAGCTATTTTGATCTAGAAGGAGCCACTAAAAATATCCAAATGTACCGGGAAAATCATATAATAATATATTATGCATAAAACAATACAGTACAACGTAATTTTCGAGGTAAATTTGGCGGAAAAAAAACCACTTGCGTAATAATTAATATAGTCAATGATGCTAAAACAGTAGATTCGTATTTTAAGACACGTCTTGCATACGAAATACGCATATCGTCTCTCTACTACTGTTACAACCCTTATTATAAAATAAACTACGTAATAAGTCTCTCTCTCTCTCTCTCTCTCTCTCTCTCTCCTCTCCTCAATTTCTGTTACGCAATAACGCAATTCAATAACTAATTTCAAAATGATTTTAATACAACATCGATTTTTATTAATGAGATTTGAATCACCAAAACTATATTTGACACACTAAGAATAATACAATACGATAAATGTCACAATAAAAAAAAAATTAAAAAAAAAAAAAAAACACGGCCTGTATAAAAAAATGTTTTATGAAAGAACTCACCCACGTCATTGGCGGCGCTTAATATTTGTGCAGATTTAAACATACAAAGGATGTAGGGGAAAAACGGCAGTAATCCATTTCTGTACATTTTTCAGTAGAGTAAAAACAAAATTATGACTACAATCTTTCTTTACCAGTATAATTAATATTTTCCCTTCAATAATAGCGTACCGAAAGATTTTTTCACCTAATCAATTTCAACACTCAATACTATTCTTAATGTGTTATCGAATCAAAACATAAAATCAAAAATCGAAAAAAAAATGGACTGCAACAGTTTTTTCTCTGTCCCTGTTTTCTTCATACATATTTATTTACCTTTTTCAGGGGTCAAAAACACAAAATTAAATTTTAAACTCTTATACTGAAACACATTTTTAGCGTGTAAAATAATTATATAATATACCGTACAGTGTATTCGGGTTTACAGGTAACAATAAATACTTCGGCTGGGTACTGAAATATACACATTAATTTATATTTATAGGCAACGATAAACCATTACTGTTGAAAAACGATTTTGAGCCAAGTGCAGTCAAACATATTCGGAAATGCCGTGGTATTTAAGATTTTCGACAATATTCGAATTAAAAACGCTTCGAAAAATAATCACACCATAGCACTCAACTCTTTTGTTTGATCGCTCAAGTGCAACTTATGATAAACTTTGAGCAAAATTTCCAAACTCTTCTGTACGGCCGAAACAAGTTTATTAACACCGAAACGAAACGAAAATTTCAAATGCCTATAAATAACTAATAAATCGACAGAATGTTCAAACATATCAATATAAGAGGTCTGTGAAAATTTCAGATTCTAAAAATCTAGGATTTTAGATTCCGAGTGTAGTGAGGAAGCTATTGGTTTTACTAAGATGTTTATTTTTTTTCTAGACTGCGGACACATTTTTTCCTGGTAAACTTGTTCTGATTTTTACGTGTAGCAACTTTTCTGAAAGCTCAAATTGTTAAGATTGTACTTTAAACAGGTCATTCCTTCATTTTCGAAGCCATTTTTTAAATAAAAGCACATTTGTGGAAAATAACAGGAAAATGTACAATTGCACGATTTCATTGTTTTATAAAAACACTGACGACGTTTTCTATAAGAAAAAATGATTTTATCGAAAATCACAGGTTACATTTGTTATTGACTTTTTAATTCACTTTCATACGGTATCATTGACAAAACTATTGACCCACTTTTGAGTTTTTAAGGAATTTTAATTTTTGGAAGTTATTTACTGTAATTTGGTTATAAATACACGTAGAGATTTGAAACTTGATAATAATTCTTAAATTGGACTTACCAAGACGTGTTAAAATTTCCAAAATCATCGAAAGACTTTTTTTTTTTAATAAGCGTTTTGAAATCAAATTTAAAGGAAAATCGCAAAAAAAATTGCAGCATTTCAAATTATGTATTACCAAACTGCGCTCGGAATCGCCTTTCGTCAAGCAATGGTTTATCGTTGCTTACAGATATAAATAAAATAACCGTATATATCCTACCTTCCCAACTTCTCATCTACAACTGTGGCCGCTCCCATTCCCAGTATCAGCTCTTTTTTCTAATTAAGTATAATCGTGAATATAACAAATTCGAAAACATAATGAAACTTCTCCGACTTTTCTACATTTCTTTTCTGATTTTTCCCAATTATTATGAATCCGTAGACGGTTAATCAAAACATTTTTTCTATAATACACCAACTAAATCTAAAATGCTACAAAATTCCACTCCTGTCATTATTTGATTGGAGCATAATTTCTTATAAAAAAATTTGTTAACAGACAAGGAAAAAACTTGTAATAAGCAAACATCGTAGTAAAACCAATATACATTCCTCGCATCGCTCAGAATCTAAAAATGTATAATACATAAAGATAATTAATCCGTTGGAATTAATGAAATACAAATGCTTTGCATTTCTCATTTTAAATATAAACCGGAAAGTTTCGAATGAAAATTATTTTCATTTTAAGAACTACAATGAAATAATCAAAATCATTACCTATAATCGATCATTTTTACCGTACCTGTTCATTTTTTATTATTTTTCGTTAGTATTTACCAAATTAGGTAATCAGTAATTTATTTCAAACGTTGGCAATTGAAGAAGTGGCGTACCACTGTAGTAGATTGAAAGTTGGGAAGGTAGAATGCATAATTTATGTAATTTACATCTGTAATCAACCATAAGCCATAGCTAACAAAAAACGATTCTGAGCGAAGTTTATTTATAAACTATTTTAATGACCGTAATATTTACGATTTTCAATTTATATTAAAACTAATGTATAAAAAAAACTTCTACATTACGCTCAACTATTTTATATATATATATATATATACTATATTTAGCGTAGCGTATCTGTTTTTGCTGGAACGGAGTCAGTTACTTGATTAACTAGCCTAGAGGCATCATTACAATGAATTTCACAGTTTTTGTTTACTGCTATCATCAACGCTATAACGTTGTAATAGTTACAGTTATACTCAAAAGTTCAAATATTTAAATGTTTATCACGTTATTTACTTACTGTCTTTCCATTTATTTATTTATTTTTTTTTTTATTAGAAATATTAATTATTATCATAAGCCGATTGTCATATGAAAAATAAATAAATAGCTATTTCTTCAACTTATAATGAACCTCCCGATACATTTTTAATCATTTTTGTTCGATCAAACAATTATGTTCACATAGTAACTACCAAATAAAAACTATGTTAAAAATCGCAAACATAAAATGCTTATAAATAACTCAAAAAGACAAATATGTTGGTTGATAAGTGTTCTGTCAAAATGTCTAGCCCCTACGAATATTATAACAGAATAATAACGATAATCCAAAATTTAAAATAATGAAACCATTATTTCCGTAAACTTTCTTATTATTTCTACATTTTTTCAACTATCAAGAAAACTACACGGAAAATCAAAAAACTACACACGAACTAGACCCGTAATTTTTGGTTTGGGATTTGAATTTTTTATTCCAATAAACGGTTGATCTTATAAACCAGTTATCACATTAAACGAAATTCACTGTATTTCCTACAAATATTATTATTTAACTATTTAATATTTATAGATACTACAGTATATTTTATAGGAATAATACAAAAAAACCTGAATCGCCATGCCAAGTTTATCACTAAATAACTATCATAGACAATGTAAATTAATTGCATTATTTATATTAGAGACGATTGAAATTGAAAAACACATGAATTTGAAATTGATCTGAAAAAATACCAAATATCAGAACTCGAGACACTAGATATTTGTAATAGAGACATTTACCCCAATATTTATTTTCTTTTAAAAATGCTATGCGCTTTATCAGTGTCCACAACGTATATTTTAAACTCTGAAATTTTAAGAAACACAGTGTCTGAGGTTTGAATCTTAATTAAAATATATTCATTATTTTTCATAAACTTTCTGTGGTAGGGATTAAATTTAAGTATAATTCTTTAATTTTTTTTTATCCCGCAAAATCGATTAAGTGGTCTTGCTATGTTGGCTGTTCATAACAATGTTAAAATTGATCCTGGAGAAGTACTTAATGAATTAGGATTAAAACAACAAAGCCACCTACGTCTTCGTAGTGGATCTTGTATTGTGATTTGTGATGAAACTGTACCTAGGTATCAATAAAGTTAAAGTTTAAATATAAATATAAATATTTAAATACTATGGTATTATTTATTTTAATACATACAGATCACAATGGTTGTGTACTTGTGTAGAGAGATTTTGAAATGATAGAGACCAAATTTTTTTGCGGGAGGTAAGTTATAGGTAAAATATATAAATATTTCATGTGCCCCCCCCCCAACTAACATTACTAAATTACGCCACGGTGTATGTCTTGAGAAAACACAGTTACACAATGGGGTATAAAAATATCTTTTTCCTTCTTCGGATCGAACAAACGGTTTTAATTCTTTAACTATTGTAATTAATGCGTTCTGTTAAATATATCATTATGATCATTTTTTTTTTTTTTTTTACCTTCATAGATATTTGACAACCATTGTTTACGTACATCATAATATGGTATTTTTATTTGAGTAATTTGAATACAGTATAGGTTTATTTTCACATGATAATTTATATTTAATTTATTACAAATTATTCATTCGTATGAAACACAATTGTATGGGAAGCCAATGAATACACATTGTTACATAATAGGTTACACTCTATATAATATATTATATTATATTATAAGTATATAGATTAAAAATTATTATATAATGTTTCACATATTTCAGTATTATAAATCTCTCTCTTACATATAGGTATTCATATTTTTCAACTATCCAGAGTAAACAAAAACTCTTGTGATAATAAATAATAAATAATTATATCCCTGGTAATATTTCTATCGATATTTACTCACTACATTTATATAATATAGAAATTAAATTTACTATTACGGGGTCGAAAATACATTACGTACCTATTTTAATAAAATTAAAAATACCGTTACATATTTGGTTTAATATTAAGCACTTATCTACTTAAAATTCACAAGTAAAGTATCAATTTCTATAGGAAACCCAAAACGTGGTTTTTTTCATGAACGATATTTTAAATGCGGTATATAATATTAAATTTGTAAAATATTACTTATATGAATATAATTGTAAGTAGGTGTTTCTAAAACGCGTGTAAAACAAATCATTAATAATGCTATACATTTGTTTTCTATGAAACAATGCGATGCGTAAATAATAATAAAATAAAAAGAAGTACTTTTTAAGAACAAATTCAAAGACACTAACTCGTGGACATTAAATTACAATCTGATAACTGCAATTATAAGGTAATGTGTCATGAAGTTTTCTTGTATTGGATGGACGCTGTATGTTGATATCAAAATCGCGACATTGACGGCGTCACGAAATTTTCATGTCATTATATCGATAGCCGATGTTTACCCTCAGGTGGCCGCGGTGAAGTGGTAACGGCAGTGTCGTTACTATTGTGCAAATGTAGTCGCAGGTGATTACGGGTGTGCTGACGGACGTCAACGTCGCTATTGTGGTACGGGATGATCGTAGGGCAGATAATGTGCGATAACCGAAGAGATTCCAAAGTTGGGAGTACGACGATAGAAGGGTCTGTCGAGTTCACATCATTTTAGGGTATACGGGCACCTTTAACGGGAGTCCAGACATACCGATGACGTGGCGGTACGTGGTCAGCGGCCGCAATATGGACTTGACCGGTTTCGATGAACTTTTCCCGCGCTTTTTACCGTCGGCGCTGCCGTTCTGCACCATGGACAACACCGCTTTGATCCACTTGTTCCCTTTGTACGTGGATTCCGACCTTTTTTCGCTGCCCGAAGACGACGAGGAACCGCCGATCGGGTTTCTGCCGCCACTGCCGCCATCGCAAACGTAATCGCCCGACCAACTGGAATCGTCCTCGAAGTCGCTGATGCCGTTCGAGGTGTTACTGCCGTCGTTGGAAGACGACGACGACGATGACGAGAAGGAGGACTTTGCGCGGCTCCCGTCGTAGCTGGACACGAACGGACACCCGTGCGAGATGGGTTCGGTTTGGTGGCTATTGGAAGGCATGTTTCGTCTGGTGCAGATGCGTGACGAATGAATACGGACGGAGTTTGGCTGGCGATCAGAAACGTCGATATCGCAGTAAAATACGGTCGTTCGACTGGGAAATATGATCGTTTTAATAGTTCTTTTTATTATTATTGGACCGCTGTCGACGGCTGTAGTTATAGTGACTGATACCGGCCGCCGATCGACTCCCGGTTTTATACCGACTACTGAGAGTATATTTTGCATCCGTCCACGTGAACGTGTACACGTGATGCCCCGGCGAATTTGTACTGTTTCCTCAACGACCGTATCCGCCAACGTTACACAGTCGTCAGAGAGCCGCATGTATACCTACTGCGATTTCGCTTCTATGTATACAAACAAATTATCGTTTACATTTTTCACTGGCCGTTTTCGTTAACGTTGATAACAGGAACGACAAATGATCACATTATCCTTGAGGTACACGCAATGTCAAAACTTAAAAAAACTAATACAAAATAAAATAAAATACAAAATGAATTAGGTAAATTTGTTCTGGTAAAAAAAATTTCGTTTCAATAGTGAAAAAAATCGGACGTCTGGGAATTGGGCCGCAATGAACCTTTTTTAAAAAAGGTATTTTTTACCTTTATAAATAGGAATAGGCCACTGAAATTTTACATTTATAGCGGGTAGACACGGGTAATTGGACCACTATTTTAAACGATTTTTTATTATTGAATATTTAAATACATTTTAGATTTGACAAAAGACAAACCACTATTTAACACCACTATTTTAAACCATATTATTATTTTTTTCACGATTACAAATTTAAATTTCTTATGTTCGTTATAATCGATTTATGTTGACGGCACTTTTTATTACTGTGCAAAGCAAATCTGTATCACATTATTTTTAAAACAATTAATAATTATTTGACTAATTTTATATTGTATTTTATACTATCTATTTTAATATATTTAAAATTATATATTTTTGTTTTATACATTTGTGGCCCAATCTCCGGGTACCTTTTAAAAAAGTTGAAACTCGTTTGCGCACATATTAAAATATTTTTTTTTAAATTTAGGATAACTCGTTTGCACACAAAATTGTGAAAATTGAAAACCTGCTTTTAGGTGCAGTTTTGGGTGTACATTATACAGGTGTCTTAAAGTAAAACGATTATTTTCAACCGTGGTTTCTCATCAATTAACATCTAAATTTACATCTATACGTTATTATCGCAATTACTGCGCTCCTCAAGTACATGAGTTGACAAGCTTTAATCAGTGTTGCTTTATTGACTGCAGGTAAACATTACAAGCTATAATAAATCTCCTATACATTTTAGTTTAGACTCCAATTGCGGCGTATTCAAATTTAAAATGGATGCTATTTCTTTAACACAGAGAGGAAAACGTTGTGCAATATTAAATTATTTTAAATTTCGTGAGTATAAGCAGTTAAGAAATGGAAATGATAATTATCGGTGTAACCAATAAATTTTGTTATGAATTTGCACGAATTTTAATGCATTTGCGAGTTTTTTTTTTTAATTTTCAGTGTATATTTTAAAGCATATTTTGCTTGTTTTAAGTGCATAAATGCATGCATATTTAATTTAGAGGTAGGTACGCAGGTTAGGTACACCCTATTCGGAGTCGGTAAATTTCGTCCCCCAAAAAAGGTCATAGTCATATACTATGTAAATTGCGGCCCATTTACTTTTAATACATATGTAAAATGCGTCCCGGGTTTTTTCCGGTATATAAGTATTAATCTTTGATTGATAATATTAATATATTTAGATAATAATATGTTCACCAATGTAATATAACCAGCAGCCAGTGTGCATTTGATCGAATCGTGAGAGTCGAATCGCACGAGGTTTTACGTTTCTCTACGGTTTATATTTTTTTTCAATTTAATAAAAATGGACGTTATGAAAAGCGAAAGGAATAAAATTTTGAATGTAGTTGATGTCTGGAAATTTGGTTTTCACAAATTGCTGCAAAATGATATTCAACGTTGGTGTTGCACAGTTAAAACGTGTAAATGATTTTTGAAGTTTAATAACAATAATGTGTGTATAGATAGTTTTAAAGATCACAGTCATTTTAAAATATTTTGGAACAAATAATAAATCGACAGAAACTTAACAACAATTTAAAAAGAAAAACCGTTGACGATATGTTTACCAGGCCATCTAAAATTATTCATTCTGAATTAAAAAATGCTGATGTCGAATCTTTAACTGCTCATGACGTAACCAATTGACTAAACAAAATGTACACAATGCTCGAGCTTCTATACTACCAAAATCACCAGACACTTTTTCGGAATTATACGAAATTCTTGACAATTAGGAATTTAAAACAAATAAAAATGAAAAGTTTTTGTTAGTTAATAGTAAAGAAACAAATATAGTAGACTTCTCTACATTAAGCGATTTAAAAGTGCTATGCAATTAGGATACGAAATTTTAAATATACTCAGGTCGCAATTCACGTGTGCACAAAATATACCCGGGCTGCCATTTACATAAGGAATTGAAAATGGGACGAAATTTACAGGGACCCACCCTATAAGTGGTTAATTTTTTTTGAAAAAAAGGTTTCTATTGTTTTCAAATGAGTTGTGTTTTTGTGCGCAAGAGTTGTAAAAAAAGTGAATGTGGTCAAACGAGTTGTAGCCCTTTAAAAATATACCTTTTATTTGTGGTCCAATACTCGGGTAATAAAATATACAAAAATATTGCTTACGAAACAGGTAAATAAAATGTGACCCAATTTCTGACCACCCAAAAAACCATAATGATAGTGATACGGCCTGCTTGGGGAAACTGCTTAGGAGTCATAAAAAATGACTAGGCATTTAATATATACAGAGTGTTCCATTTAAGTATTTTCGCTTGTCATCTCGGAAAGTATTAACTTTTTTTTAGAATTTATTTTATTGAACATTTAAGAAACCAGCAGCTCTACAATTTCACATATTTGTTATTAAAAATCAAAAGTAGTAGTTTATTATATATATAATAACTATATTACCATATAGTACAATATATTTCACCCACAAAAATATGTGTGACAAAAAATAACATAGATGTAAAATTGCAGAGATGCTTGTTTCTCAAATATCCTATTAGACGAATTCCGAAAATAGCTAATACTTTCCGAGATAATGAGTGATTATTAACAATAATTATTATTGTTATAAAGAAATACGCAATGTTTTCCACAGACATTAAATATTGTGATCTGAAATAAAGGCGGTCGTTATATTCAGCACGCCTAATATTTTTAAACGACAGAATTTTTCATATGGTCTACTGGGACAATAACTTTATATCAGATCACTGTATTATTATTTTTACTGCAGCCTGTGAACGAAATTTCATTTTGGATGTAAACCATCAAACAAAACAAATTAATGTTTAGCCACATAAATTAATGTAACTATAGCTGTGCTATATCTGTCTGTATACCGGATCTGAACGAGGAGTCGAGTAATTTAGTCGAGTATTTTTTAGTTTAGCCCACTCCTCTGTATTGTGTAATATTGTGTAACAACATCACTCGGGTCAGAATAAAGTCACATTTCAAAAGTGCCAACATTTAGGGTAGAAACTATAATTTATTTTAAGCAGACATAAAAATATTTGAATTCGTACTGTCTTTAATATTAAATCAATGAAAAAATTCAAAAATAATAAATTATGAAGAATGTCATTCTGTATTTTTAATAGTAATAACTAGAAAATCGTATGAGTTTTGAGTTGTGTTAGTACCCCCCTTTCAGGGGTACGATATTTCCTTGATATCGACTAAGTTTCAGGAAAACTTACATTTTGAAAATAAATTCTGTTATATTTTTAATTTTTCTTAATTTTATATGCAACTCTACTACGCCTGTATTACATAAGTCCGTGTTCAAAGAATAATGATTATAAAAATGCGACAACTAAAACTTAATATTTTTATTAAAAAACAAAAAGCGTTTTACCGCGAAAAGTCGCATCGAGATCCATTGAAGTTTCTAATGCAATTATTACGTTATATTTTAACGCAATAGTGACAGAACGTGAAAAAGCGGTACTCGCCCATCCTAAATCAGATAACAGACCAACGCGATTGGTATTGATCCTGCCGCATCCTGTTTAAATAATACGAGTATACGACCCGTGTAAATTATTATTGTTTTTTTTTTTAATTGACATCGCTTACCTTCCGATAAAAATCCGCAGCGCCGTTGTATATTACGATGATACCTACCCGTAATTAGAAGTCGCAGTCTCGTATTTAAATATGTAATCAGAATTTTTTATGTACGCGAGGGATGGAAAATACGTAAGAGTGAACAATTCGATGGATAAAGTGTGAGAAAACCGTATAAAAAAAACACGGGTTTTCTGAAAGAACTATGTACAAATAATGTCTGTCAGATTCATAAAAAAAAAAAATTAATAAAAGAGGACTGTAAGACGAACGCAAAAATCGAAGAAAAAAAAAGGCAATTTAAATTCTTTTAAACTATATTTAAACCAACACAATCATGACGGCTGCTGATATATTTATACTTGTATTTTATTTATTACAGTAGATACCTAACCGAATAATAAAATTGATAATTTTATTGCATTTGTGTCTACATAGGTACAGTAAGATGTCGAATTATACGGGTGGTGCAAAACAATAATGAAACCGCAACGGCGGCGGCGAACAAATAAATGTAAAAACCGTGATGGTAATACGATAAAATGTTATTATTTTACCCATGGTAAATTTGTTTTTAAATTCGGAGTGTCGCGAGGAATGTATTGTTTTAACAAAAATGTTTATTATTATTATTATTGTTTTTTTTTTTTGTACACCGTGTACCCTTTTTTTGATTTATCAATCAGTTTTCATAATAACTGGGAAAAATGGCAAAATTTACGAAAGCAATGTTTTTATTATTTTTAATTTAGTGTTTTTGTTGTAATTCAGTTAAAAATATTAGTAGAGACTAAAATTTGAACGGAAAACGTATGTTTGCCTTTTCTATATGTGGTAAGATTTCCAAAATATTTTAGTCATTTTTGAGCTATTTATAGACATTTCAATTTTGCGAGTTTCATACGTAATTTGTATTCATTAGGTACGTACTCCTTGGATAAAATATTATTGGACTTAACAGAAATACGTGGAAATTTAACAGAAGGTTCATTATAAGTCGTACTTTTTGGTCAAAAATTGACTTTAATGTATTTTTAATTTTTTAAATTTTTTTTTATAATAAAAATTTCAGTCTCAATTTTTGAATAACCAGAATCAGAATTGTTTTTACTTTAGCAATGTTTGATCGTTGCGTTCAGATATCAATTAAGTTACCACTCGATACCCTATACCTTTCCAACTTTTCACCTACAACAGTGGCCCAGCCGTCGTGCGAATTGTGTCAGTCTTTTTAAATTTTGTAGTTGCAACGGCAAAACTGAATATTTGTGTAATTACACTGTGGTCGCTCGAGGCGACACTTAAAACGTGACGCGTTTAAAACAATTATTATTAAAATATCTGTGGCAATAACAATCAAATATAATATTTTTTATGAATTACTAAATACGCGAAGGGCACGTGTATAAATTTTAAAACATTTCCGGAAAGACAAATAGCATAAAATCTCTGATAAAATTTAAAAACAAATCGTGTCAATAGCGCGTTAATAATCGTGTTATACCATATAGCGTTTGATATTAATATTATTATCGCCAATTTTGGTTTCCACGTTGTTTTCATGAAATATCATAAAACTCCAGGTGCTTAAAGAGTTTGTTTTGTCTTCGGACACCTGTACTCATCATATTATGCCTAACCCTACAGTGTACGTACGCGACCTAATCCTGCGCTTTTTTCGAACTAAACGAGCACTTTGCGTTCGATTTAAATTCGCCCATTCAAATTACACGTATACACAGATATTACGGTATTTACCGCCTCGGTTTACTCACCGAACACCAGTAAAAAATATTTTTGTCTCCTTCCGCGTCATTAATGATATTAATTCCGCTGCAGGTCTAAACAACATTCAAACACTACTGGACCGTAAAAGGCGAAATTCGTAATGTTATTATAATAGTACGAACAAAAATAATCTATACTAAAATAATATTTACTGCATTAAGTAGGTTTAGGTACTCATTTTTTTTTGTTTTTGTGTTTGGACAAGGAGCGGGAAGGACAGTTTTCACAGTCTATACCATATCGTAATATGTTAAATCATATGAAAATAGTAATTTAAAAAAAAAAAATCTTTTTTTTTTACATCATAATATTTATTTTTATTGTTACAATACATTTTAATTTGTTGACAACTAATATTTTTGTTTATTAATTCATAATATAATATAATATACGAAACACATTAAAATTATCCGCTAATCCAGTGGCACATGCGTAGTTACAAGGTATTTAGGGACGTTTATAGATTATAATAATAATGTGTTATGTTTCAGTATTACAAATCTCTCTATGTTTAAATCACATATACTCGTATATAATCTTAATGAATATTTTTATTTTTTTTTTTTTTCATTTATTACCTACTATGTTATAAACTATAGCCGCATTAAAAATATATATATAATTAAATAGTAAACAAAAAATGATTAGATAGAAATTAGCTACTTTTAATTTTTTTTTTTTCTTTTTTAATTCTAATAAACCATTTCACACTACGTTTTAATTAAAATTGTACGTTATAATAATACACCTATACTACTGCCGTATCTGAGTGGAGGTTAAAGTATATATTATATTTGGGAGGGCTAAAAAATATACTTGAACGTTATAATAATATTGTGTGTAATATTATATAAGTGCTTAAAATTAATAGGTAATTCAAATATTACATTTTTTTTTTTTTTTTTTTTTTTAAGAAAACAGATGTGCATATGCAAGACAATATCGACAGGTTTTTATTTTGTTTTTTTTCCCTTATTTTAGCAACACCTATGAATAATTTGAATGAATAATTTCGATAGAAATTTTTTAATTCATTAAAAGTCACAAAATTAATAATAATGATACTTAAACATATTTTAGGCGAGTTACCTACGGATATAATAATATTATAAACGCGAATTGTGCGGGAGGAGATTGATGGCAGGTGGCTGACGTCGGGCATTCCGGTGATATTGCAGCGTAATCGACGGAGTCCATACCGTCACGAAATTCTCAAATGGTACCGATTATTGCTAGGAACTATAACGGGTGCTAGTGCAGATGTGGCGCGGGATCGGGTGATGATGACGGAGCGGTGATAATGCCGACTACTCTCGACCGGGTTCCGGTTATGTGTAGGGTACGACGGTTCACGTCCATCTTGGGTAGACGGGCACTTTGGACGGGAACCCGGACATGCCGATGACGTACTGATATTTGGTCGGCGGCCGCAAAATGCTCTTGACCGGTTTTGACGAACGTTTGTCGCGCTCCTGTTTGCCCTCGCTGCCGTTCTGCACCACGATGGAGCACAACGCCTTGATCCACTTGTACCCGTCGTTGCTGTCGCTGATGGCCGCGGCGCTCTTTTTCTTTTTGTTCTTATTGGCAGCGGCGTCCTGCACGTCATCGTCGGCGGCCGAACTACCGTCGCTACCACCGTCACCGTCGTCGGTGGCCAAACCGCTGCCGCTGTCGCTGTCGCTGGACGACATTGACGACGAAACGCTGGCGCTGCTGTTGCCACTGCTGCTATATCGGTCGTACGTCCAACTGGAATCGCCGTTTTCGAAGTCAGCGTTGCGGTTGGCGCCGTCGTCCGTGCCGTTGCCGTCGTCGTACGCGGCCACATCGCAGGTTGCGCACGGATAGCCGTGACCAGTCGGTTCCGTCTCGTCGTTGTTGCCAGGCATGTCCGCGGCACAAAACGATAACGTTCGATAATGTGACCGTTGACCGATTACCAGACACACACACGCGGGGGGAGGGGGGGTTGACGAACGTGAGAAAACCGCGGAATACGCGTCAGCGACGTGCCGTTAACCGAGTATATAATAATAACAAGCAAGCAGGTACGACGGCGCGAACGTGATGTCACGGGGATACCTCCGGTGTGCGACTGAATGACGGGACCGCGACGGCGGCGCTCTTTATAATGCAACTTGGGGCGGCGCGCGCCCAACGAGCGTGTACCGCGTTCTACCACCCGGTTATTAGCCGGGAGCAGACATCCGCGCGTACCACGTGAGACGCGAACACGTGACGGCGACGTGGGCGATCGCCGGCCTGCGTTACCGGTGCACGGTGCGTCATTAGGTGTACGTGTTTCCAGGCGGCGCATTGTGTGTCGGCCGCGTATTTTCCACCGCGGCTTCGCGCGCACGAGGCTACGAGCCGCCGACGGCGGTGAGCGTAAGTCCGATGCGGCCGGTCACACATACTACACGGGTTACATCGCGGCTCTTAAGTGGGGGGGGGCTATTTTCTATCGTGCATCATTATGGCGGGCGAGGGGGCGGTACGCGGAACGAGAAGCTCCGAAAACAATAAAGGCATGGTTCGATAATCGTTCTTTTTTTCGACATTTGTAACGTCCTTTAAAACCGTATCGACGTTGCTCTGTTTACGTGAAAACACAAAATTGTACCGGTCGGACGGCCGTTTCAGAAAGGGCGCCACTGCAAAACCAGTGGCTGATTTAAGGGGGGGGCGACAAGGACCACTCCCCTCCCTTAGCGGTTATATTATATTTGTAGTAGTTTGTAATAACACGAGTTAATAACGATTATGAATCGTCGTTCAAATTGCGGTTAGACCGATATTATTACGATAGTCGATAATGTTGATACTTGATCGTAATCTTATCTGGGTTTTATATTTAGTGTACACTGTTCAAAATCGATATTAACAATTTTGAACCGACTCTAAAAAACAAAATCCCACGTCCGCCACTGTGCTTAACCGTCGACCGTCTACGGAATTTGTAATACATATACGTTGTTTGTCTATCACGCGGAATTTAGAATGTTATATCGTATTTATTGGTGTATAAATTAAAGAGTAACCGAATTTTTGTATAACCAACTGCATAATGTATTTATTGCGTTCCCCAATACCCAATTCTTGCTATTAATAGCAGCCCTAGTCGTGACGAAATAAATGAGTGTGACAGCAAAATTCATGTATCGGTCAGCAGTGTGCATCCCTTTTACTTTATAATATGTGTTTTCAGTTCCCGGCATATCATTGGTTGTCAAGAATATAACTTCACGCGCGTACTGCTAAGCAATCAAGATCGTTAATAATAATAATAGCAATAATATTATATTATAAATAGTACCAAATATCACGGATTAATCGTAATTATTATCGTTCGACAATTTTTTTTTTTCTATACATTTGTAATGAATGTACACGCGAAAACACGCATTTTGAAGGGGAAAAAAATCAAAAATAATCGCTTAAAATCTAAACTAGAATCGTTCCCGTAATAAAAATAACGCGACAAAGCGACGAGACGACGACTGCAGTCTGCGCTGCGCGGGACCGCAGTGAGACGGGCCGGCCCTGCCAATCAGAAGCCGAGAACTGGCTGGGTGAAAAGAAGTGTAACGCCTGATGTGTATCACAGAGTTGCTGACATACGTATTTGATTTGCTCTAGTCATACCATTCCTATTTCCTATTGCCCTACCGTTATTATTGCCGTCTTACACCTAACTTTTGTGTCAAAATAACAACGCATACGTGACACAGCTATTATTTACTATCTACTTTAGCAAATACTATATTTTGCTACTAAACTCAATACGCTACAATATGTAAAAAAAAAAAAAAAAAAAAAAATTGCACTTAACCAACTGGTCTCCATTAAAACCGTCACTGGCAATTTATTGTTACAATAGTATGCGATCGTTTTTATGATGATTATAAATAATAACTGTTATGAAATCCTCTGGAAAATTCAACTGTATTATCGACGAAATCAATTAATTGTTCTGAAAATTGTATGACGTTCTTAAATGGTGGTTATTCAATACTCAATACCCGCAGTTATTATTATAATTAATTATTAGCAAGTTAGTTAGTATAATAGTTTGTTAAATCGTCTGTATTATTAGAAACATTTGTTGACGTAGGTGATAATAAAATACGAAGTAAACAAAGACAGAGTTATGCACTGTTGCATAATTGTCTTTAAAGTTTAAAGTGAAAGATAATGTAGAATATCTGATTTTAGATTCTCGCGGAATGACAGGACCGTTCGATTTGGTAAAACGCTCAAATTATTGTTGTACAATATGAGTATTTATATAAGGATATAGTTGTAGTCGTTATAGATAGATAGCCGACTCGGAACGCGGGTGGTCCTTTATTGAGTTTTTTTTTTCAAACTCATGACGGTTTTCCGGATGATACGTATAAAGTTGAAGAAAAATTAATTACGACTGCGATAATTATTTGTAATTTTGAAAATCAAAAAAATATTATTATTTATTAATATATTATTTGATATTTGTAATGGTACCTAATTTTAAACGATTAAGTTTACACATTAAATTCGTATTACAATTCGTGACTTGGTGGACAAATAATATAATTAAGTCGGCTCCATTATTGTAATTTATTGGACTACTGAGGTAAGCATTCTTGTTTGAAAAAAAAAAATGTAAAAAAACTTTTAGGCATTTAGTCTTTTAGGTAGGTATACGAAAAATTCGATTTTGAAAATCCAATATTCCATTTAAATATAAATTCCTGTTTCCGCAGCATAACATAAATAAATACATAAATTACGTCGACTCGAATTTAAACGAACACAATATCAAAACGCCCATGCACAAAATATAAATACAATAAACATTCTGAAATATTATTTCCTTTCACTCAGACTCGCGAAAACTGTATACCTACCTTCACCTAACTGCACATGTATACCAACGACTAACTATTAGCAAGCGACTAATTGATTTTAAAATATAACATTACAGACTTGTGACGTTATCAACAAAACATAGGTATCGTGTACATGTAGGGTGGATTTTTTTATTATCATGAACCAGCAATTATGTCTCGGAGTTTGTTATGGATATAGGCAATTTATTACTCTTCTTTACTCCTCCGGTCGAAACTTTAAACTGTTATAACTCATAGACGGTAAATATTATTTAGTATTAAACATATCAACATTTCTAGAAAAATATTCTCTATTCAAATCTGTGTACAGAAGGGGGGGTTCCTACTTCAAAATCAAATGTACTTATTTAAGATACATGGAGTAGGGGTAAAAAATTAAAAATGATTTTAAAATAAAGCTTAAACTATTCCATAATGATTAGAAAAAAAAGAAATCAAATTCACATAAAATCCTCCGAGATAATTGCTGGTTCATGATAAAAAAAAATCACCCTGTATAACTATATGTAAATAATTATAATTTATGCGAGCAAAATATTATAAATAAAATGCGTAATCAAGTTTAAATAATATAATTTTAATCGTAGGCAGTTTTATACAATCGATTTATAATTAATTTTATTAGCATAAAAACTGCTACATAAAAACTATCGTCCTTAATGACGTTTCCTGGGAAAATAACTTGATAAAAGTCAGCGGATTTCACCCAGACTATACCATGTTAGTGAGATAAGTAATTGAATATGTTATACTTTCTTTTTCTTCTTTTTTTTTTAGTTGCCTCTACCTTGGTGGCACCTAATTTAATACTTTAGACTCTTTGGAAGGACAAGTCTAAACAGAAGCACAGCGATAAGATTTCCAATCCCATTAATTATAATAGTTCTACGCGCGAGATCCTTTTTGAAACACAGTAGTTTTTAAAACGGTGAAGTGTAACTGCGCGCGTCTTAACTTGTTGGATGTACGAATGCAACGTGGTTCCGAAACTACAGATTAATTGAATTAGATTTCAAAAATGGAAGCGACGTTGTCAAGTTTACTACTCTAAATATTATGAATTTTATACTTAATAGGCGCATAGAAATAATATTACGTTATTCTATTTGTAATGTTGTACACGCGGGTGATTTCGATTAGATTGTTGTCTGTTGATCACCTACCTAGATTAGATTGGACGACAAGGACGATATATTTGTTTGAACACGACTTGTGACAATTTAAAATGTACGGTCAGCGACAAAACTCGATTGCTCGGTGTCGACAATAATGAATGATAACCCACTACGCTATACAGAGTGTTCGGTGCTCGATAAAACACCACAATATCTCTGAAAACACTAACACTTTTAGCATTCTTTGTTTTGAACAATTTACGAAACAAACAGCTCTAAAGCCGTGCGAGCCGAACCGATAGCGACAACACTCTAATTGTACCTACTTAGATACCTTTTTGGGCGCTTGATAATTTTTGCTTTCATAGTTTCACGCAACGTTGCGAACGTCTAAACGACATACACGAAAAGCACGCGTATATTAAAATAAAATTACAAATTATCACTAATGTAATGACTACGCCCAAACTCAAAGTGGCGACGGACACGTCCGCATAATAGTCATTATAGTATTGATAATGTTCGATAATTTGGACACATGAATTATCGAATATTTCATCCGAATAAATTTTTTCACCGCCGAATAGTTTTATTCGGGAAAACTATCGACGCTGTTCGAATTAATGAGCAAGTCCGGGAACCCGCTCAGCGAACGTACACAGTTCTCGGTTACAAAATGCATTTTGAAAAAACTGACTGTAATTTCATATTATTATAAGATTTTGAAAAAACCGCGCAATCAGGTAACCTAGTATAGTATATTTATGCGCGTGTAAACCAAAATAAATATCTTGAATTGTAAATAGTTTACAGGAAATTTTTAACAATCTTAAAGTGATTATATTTTGGTATCTATTTTTTGAACAACGACTGTCGCGAGAATGTCTATTTAATTTATACCCACTCGCATTTAAAAATATTAATAATGATAATAATATTATATAGTACCTACGGGCATAATAAAACAAATTGCCAATAACTGAATAGCATCCCCTTGTCAACCAAGTCAACAACCGTAACTATGTAACAGTAACTATACGGATGACGGGACAGACACAACGGCGATATAACAGGGTATTTACTCTAAACGTCGTGTGTTCGGAAACCGTTTTAGATATTCGCGTAAACGAATAGTTTAATCCGTCGAATATAGTTCAAATAATGCGATCGACTGTGCATCGACTTAGTTTCGAAATCTTAGCTTATCGAAGGTCTAATATTGCGCGGATATTATATTATGCGATGCTAAATAACTCGATGTCATCGAGTGTATGTCGTAGTCTATTGGTGCTATATACCTGCTGTCATCCCGGGAGTCGCAAGTTCAATCACGGGTTCCTCAAAAATTTGTTTTGCGAAATCACGTCGGGTAGGTAGCAGGGAAATAAAAATACATTTTGTATCAAAAAAAAAAAAAACAATTTAATTTAATGTACTGTTTTTTTGTTTTTTTTTTTATAAGAGTTTTAAAATCAAATTTTAACGCAAATCGTAAATATTAACGGCCTTTCAATACTCGTACAACCGAACTTCGCTCCGAATCGTTTTCCGTTATCAATGGCCTTATTATCGTTGGTTACAGATAACATAAATTAAATAAATTTATACATCTCACTTTTTTTCTTTTCGTAAAATAAAACGGACCGTAGAAATATATAAACAAGACACGGGCGAGAGGGGAATGCACCTACGACTTGAATAATCACCGCGTTCATTTCCGCAGGAAACCGTCCGGCGGCGGCGGCGGGTAAACGCGCGTTAAATTAATTTTCGTCCGACGATAAATGAATAACCCGAACACGGGAAACATTATTATTATTTCTGGCTTCGCGACTATTCCACTCGTATCACTTGTACTCCCTTGTGCATTGGCGCACATGCGGGGATGCCAGGGGGTGCTTAGCGCCCCTAAATCTGAAATCGGCTAAATGTAATAAATATAACACTCAAATAGTACTCGGATATGAGATAAGTAATTGCGTTGTGTATCGATTTATACTATGTACAACACACGAACAATTATTATTAGTGTTTACCTATATGCTACTGTTATTGTGAGTCTGTGTTAATATTGTTTTCGTACTTTTATGTAGGGAACCAGTGCCTTGTTGGTTATTTACATATTAGGCACAACGGACGGATTATCGTTGAAAATCGGATCGCCCCGTTATTTAAATGTCGTCTGTTTGGTGTGCAGGTGTAACATTATGTAAAATTCTATTTCGAAATGTCGAATAGGTTGAGAGGTGCGGGGGGAGGGCTCATTTTAGCGCTCCCGCGTTTTCGACTGAACGTGCGCCCATAATAATATTAATAATATAACGTGGACATAATACGCTACGGGATTATCGACTCGATAACCGAACAATAACGAATTGGGAGTGCGGGCGTGCGACAGGACCACGTGCGAGTGTACCGCGGGTATCACGAGTCGTTTTAATGGTTCACGTGCGTTCGTCGCGACCATTAAACGCACGGGGTCGAACGAGCTTGGCGGGTGTACGTTACGGCACCGGCTCGCACGACCTATTATATCCGTTTACCCGAGAACGTCTTTTTTTTTTTTCCCACTTTTTTTCCATTTTGTTTCGCATTCATTCGGGTCCGCAGTGCTACGCGGTGTCGCGCGCGGGACCCGATGCGTGACGCGATTATTTTTGCTTTTTATTAATTTTTTTCCGACGGGACGACTCATCCCCGCGTACGAACCCATCGCCGCCGTGGCCGTCCGCGTCACAGTCACCGTCGTCGTCGCCGACCTCGACACCTGTACCGATACCTGTACCGAAACGTTGGCCGCCGCTGACGCCACTATACTGTTTTGCGGACGCACTCGGGTAACGCTATAATACATAATTGCCTATATTACTCTTACACGAGTATATTCACATGATATAGAGAGTCGTAGTTCTATAAAACGCTAAACATTATGCCAAAAAAAAAAACAAAACAAAACGCCCAACGCGTAATTTCGTATGAGTGGGTCGCATAACTGTCGAAAGATAAAAAGGATTTGATCAGTCCCCGCCGGTGTTTTATGCGATACACAAAAATAATATTTGAAATAGATACAAACAAAATACGAACGAATAAAGAAACGTCCTTAGTTAATGTAAGCGGTGAGAGGTGGGTCACGTTTACTGGACCGACTGGTGTTAAGGCCCCATTTTGTCACATTATTTACATAAAATGGTGGTGATAAAAACATAAACACTGTTGTAGTACTACAATTTACACAATATATAAGCAATATATTTTTTAAAAATAAGCCACATCTTCTAATTCGGATTCAGGGCCCACTGGATCCTAAATCTCGCCTTTGTGTTTTGTGGAATATTTCGAGAGGAGTTTGGTAAATAAACCGAGACGTTAGATACTTATAGAATACCTGCGTACACAGGTAATTTAAATGAGCGAATTTAATTTGAATGCAAAGTGTACGGTTAGTTCGAAAAAAAGAAACGTAAAAGAATGCTTACCTACACTATATAATATGATAAATACAGAAAAGACAAACGTGTCCAAATTTTAAAATTTTTCAAGAAAGACGAAAAAACTCCTTAAACACCTAGGATTTGATAATATTTCATAAAAGCAATGTAGAAACCTACATGAATAATAATATCTAATATACTATGGTATAAAATTTGTTAAAATATTAAAAAAACATTTTGCTATGCTTTATCAAGGATTTTGATGAATCCCTGACGTCTCTATAACGAATATATAAAACGTGACTTCTCATTTAAAATATTAGTATGGACTACGGGGATGGTAAACGTTAATACCCGAAATGCATAAAACATATAAAGAATGATAATTTTTTAACTAGAAATTTAAATTTATTTGATTTCGTAACAATCGGTTGAATATTATTTTTATCTGCAAAATAAAAAATAATTATGTAAATTTAATTTAATGATTCGATAGTTTCGGTAGTATAGATAATACTAAATAGTGTATCATGTATACCATATAGTATATAGTTATAAGAAACATACGAATAAATAGATCGTTTGAAACTGTCGAGTACCTAATTCATACATTTTGGATTCTGAATTTAGCGAAGAATATATTGGTTTTACAAAGATGTTTATTGTTATTTTTTTTTTTATGTGAACACTTTTTCTAACAGAAAACTTACTCCGATTATCAAGTATAGTACCTTTTCTGAAAGGAAATATTCTCTGGATGGTACTTAATAGAGGTATAAATAATAATCATTGTTGTCATGGAAACACACATTGTTTTAATCATTTTACTATAATATCATATATTATATTGTTGACAAAGCAATATTATCATCCAAACTTGGCTCAGAATCGTTTTTTCTTTAGCAATGGTTTATCGTTGCTTACAGATATACATTAAATTCCCGTCTGTAGCCTACCTTCCCAACTTCCCACCTACAACAGTCCTGCACCCACTATCCGTATATCTATATATCCGTCTTTTTTTTTATAGTTTTATTGTCCAAAAAAATGTCTATTAAAGGTAAACCAGAACTGTTCCGAACATAGGTAATCAGACGGACTTTCAAAATCCAGAAATTATAAATGCCCTTACCAAAAAGTCCCGGACTGTAGAAATCCGGAATACATAAACACGCTCAGTTGTAATGTCCCGGACAAAAACTGCTCCTTCATTTTATACAACAAATATATTCTTTTTACAAGTCCAATTTTCCATGAAGTACTTATTTTTAAAAAAAATTACTTATGAAAAAAATTTTTGGAAACATATATTCGAAAGTGCATTTCATAAATAAATAGAGTATTGGCTAAAATACCTTTTGGTGTTGACATTTTTAATTTTTGCCAGCCCGTTAACGGGTTCCACTCTTAATTTTTGACGAGGGGTGAGGAGGGAGTGAAGCATCATGAGAAGAGTGGTGACGCGCGTGACGCGGCGTTTGAATAATTCAGCCACTGAGCCTCGGACGTCAACAAAGGCGCAATTATGTGCCGTCTCCGCAAATAATCACGCATGCTATTATTCTGTTCATATCGCAAAATTCCACGAGAAACAACGCCATCTATCGACTATCAGCGTATTAATAGTGACATTCCGGAGATTTCTTGTCCTGGATATTGTCCAACTATTATAGCCTATAAGTATATAATAAATAACAATAGGTACAAACAGCATTTAAAAATAAACCACCTATTTTAGATCTTCATAATCCGGATTAGTAATTTCAATAAAAATTAAACGGATTGTACCGATTGTTTCAATCTGGATTTGGTATTTAGTACTAATAGATACTAGGTAGTTCGTTCTATATTTTAATAGGTATTAATTATTATACTGTATTCAGTATTGAACCATAGTGGAACTCTACATTATATTAGGTATTATAATAAGTAGAGGTAAAAATAATATACTTATATTATGTGGGTATTAACTGATAGGGTACCCTATGCATATTATTCATACTTGTTTCATGCAAATGACTTTTATAGTAATATTATTCGATTTAGTGTCAACAAAAAGTTGCTATGACTACCTACCCATTGTGGTCAATAGGTACAAGATTATTGACCTCATAGACTGTTTGTAGTCTTAAGAATGAACAATATCGTGTTTCATAATATAATAAGTATCATTGAATAGTGTTTATTTTATTTTTTTTTAAACCAGATAAAAACAGTTTCTAGGAAGTCTCATATGATCTATGAAATTGCTTAGCTATTAGTATTGTAATGGTAGTAAAATCGGTGTCTCTGGTGGAATTAAAAAAACAGCAATGGGCAAAAGAAAAAGGTAGGTCAAATATTTATTCATTTTTTTCATTCACATATACCTACACAATATTCATGTTCAATATGATTTGTTTATTTTATTTTAAATGACTGAGTTTTAGAAGAACTTGTAAAATTAAACGGGTATTGGAGGAATCAAAAAACACCAATTGTCTTCAACGATCAAAGGTATGTATCACTGTAAATAATACAAATATTTTACCTAGGTACCTACCTACATGAATATTGATTTCATCAAATGTATTCATTATAGGGAACATGTTATTTGCCCTGAAATACGATCACACGACATCGATCGTTTTGGTGCACACAAAGATACTCAATCACAAAAGAATTTAAGTTTTCCTCCAATTTCTCACGACAATCAAAAACAGAATTTTCATAATGTAAGAAATGGAATTTTACAAATATTAAGTTTAATTTAGTTGATGAAGTTTAGTATTAATTATTAGTGTGCATAGTTTTTATTATTCCATAATTTTTACCTATATAACACACTAATATTATTAAATAGAATATTTATATCAATAAAATGGAGAAAGATCTAAACATTGATATTCAAAATGGAGCAACGGAAGATTTTAAACCAAAAAGCACTCACACAATGTATGTTTTATATCTTTTTACATAAATAAAAATATATACCTATTTATATGTAATAAGAAATTAATAAAAATGTTTACGCAAACCTATTAGCTTAAATCGGACTTATACAATATCAAAAGAAAATAATGTCAACGAAGGAAGCAAATCAGAGAGACAAAAATGGGATAAACATTATAATAATATTGGTATACATTCTCCAGACATAAATTTAAATGAAAGAAAATGCTTAATTAATGAGTCTAACAATGATACACCAACGTGGGCTGAATATTCACCTGAAAAACCGTAAGTACCTGCTAATATAATATTATGGATAAATTAAAATATATTAGGTACCAAGTAGATACAAGAAAAACATCCAATTAAATCAAATCATTCTGGTCACTTATTTATATACAGTAGGTACCTAAATAAATGTGAAACATATTTTATAAACTCACCTGTTTTATATCATAAATATACATATGTATAATAATAGAAAAAAATAATACATTTTTGAATAACTAATATATTATATTCCAAATAGTTATATTGTTATGGAAATGGGAAAATCACAATTTGAAGATGCGCGTCAAACTGCTGCAGCTGATTTCAAAGGTAGCTGCGAAACGTTATGTTCGTTAGATTCAAATAATATTAATAACAGGTAAAAATTAATAATGTATTTAGTATTTACCTATATCTATTAGCACTATTCAAAAATAAATAGTTACTTATTTATTATTATTGATTTTTAAAAATCAAAAAAGTAATAGGTACTTACCTAACCTAACCTAACCTATAATACCTACCTACTAGTAGGTATTAACTAGTTAGGTATTAACTTTTACTATTAACTAATTAATAATAATGTTATAATAAGTAGAAAAAAAATTGCCAAGTCAGTAGCTAGAATAATAATTAAGTAAATAATATAAAATTAAAATTCTATATTTGATCTTCTATACTTTTTGTGTAGGACTTACTTATTAGGGCAAAATATCCCATTGACTACAGATGAATTAGCTGCTAGAGAAGTAAAAAGACAAAAAGCAATAGAACTTCAAGAAGCCATAAAACAACAGGTAGGTTAGATAATTGGTAGATTTTTAATTTATTATAAGTTTTTATTTATTATTTATTATCCATGTGTTCAGTTAAAAGAAAGACAATTAAAAAAAAAAGAAGAGCTTGAAAAGAAAAAACGTGATGATTTAGCTGAAGAACGGCGAATACAAAAGCAACAAGAAATTGAAAGAAAGAGATTGGAAGACGAATTAAAACGGCAAAGAGAAAAAGAAGTAATTATCAATCTTTGATTAACATTTAAAACAAAGTATTATAATTTGATTAATAAACATATTATTATATTTCAATTGTAAATAGTTAAATGATGAACGGAAAGCCAAAGCCATGCAAGAAGTTTTGGAGAATGCTCAAAAACAAGCAAAAGAAGATAAATCTAAAAATATGCATAAAAAACGAAACAATCCAGACGAAATCAAAGAACAAATTCCAGAACCTGTTGTAGTTAGCAATAACTGTGAACAAAAAACTTTGGAAGAACCCACGCCAAAACAAGATGCACAGGAACCAGTATCAGAGCCAAAAGAGAATTCTAAATTACCGGAAATCGATGAGATACTTCAAACATCACCTTCTCCGTTAAACCGGCAGAAATTGTTGACACCCAGCAAATTTCGAAATCAGACTACTAGTGTCGCAATCCAAACAGAAATTTTAAAGTAAAATTTAAAAAAAAAAAACGCTCTTTAAATTAAGTTTTGTTTATAAAATTATATTTGTTTCAGGAAACCTAAAACTGCTGGAATTGTTTGCCAAAAATCTATAGATTTAGACAAAAGACCAAAGTGGGGTGTTAACAGACCAGAAGTACAGTATATCAAACAAAGTGCCAAAGATCCAAATTATCAATTAAAATTAAGACAGAGGTCACCTTGGAGTAGACGGACAAGTCATGTAAATTCAGCGAAAAGTCAACTTGACACAAATGGACGAGTCAGGTAAATAATACTCATAATTACCTAGTTGAAAATCCATATAACGTTGTTAACATAATTTTATTTTTATCTATAGCTATGCATTGCCAGAAAATTATTCGAAAAAAATGTCCACATATAGCCGTCCAAACTTTGCAGGTGTGGTTTATAGAAAATAGAATTTATGATTAGATATTATGTTGCAATAATCATAAGTAATTATTGTATTTTAGAAATGAAAAACAGTAAAGGTGTTCCAAATAAAACTCCATTAGATAGTATATCAGTTAGTGATGTATTATATCAATTATCTTCATTGCGAAAAGTCAGTACCTATTAATCAACCAAAATTAATAAGTCTATACCTATTCATAATGTATTTTGTTAACAAATATTTAAACTTAAATATAGATTGGTACCTATAAACTATAATACATTTTTGGAAAGGTATACAATTATTACAAATTAAACTCTTTAATTTGTTTAGAATTAGGTACCTACCTATAACCTATCTATAAAATAATTATATCTATTTAATTTTTGTTATAACAGGTATTAGAAACCAAACGAAAACATTGGAAAAGTGTTATTGCTGATGAGTCACCATCTTCAGATTCTTCTTGATTTCCTACTTATAATAACATACCTAATATTATTTTAGGTTGTAAAAACTATCATTGATGTAGTATAAGGCAACTAAAACAAAATTTATTTTATAATACATTATTAAAATTTACAACAGATTCAACTCAAACAATTATAAAATAGTAGTTTACTTATTAGATGAATAGGTTTATTTTTTGTTTATAACTATAATTTATTTAATGTTTTCAATTTTCATAAATTATTACTGATATTAACCATACCAGTACCTGCCTATCAGGTAAAAATTAAAATTTCGTTTTTAATATTAATTTTATTATACTTATTATACAAATTGAGTACTAGGTCATTTAATTTAGATACCTACCTAATTATAATTCTTTAAAGTTATAATACTATCATAGGACAACTGTCTGTATTTCAAAATATACACCTACCTAATGTATACATTTTAAATTGTAGCATATTATGTCTACCTAATCTTATACTTAGTAATAATTTGTATTTTTATAATAGGTTGGCTAATCTTACTAAAATAATATTAAGCTGAAAAACAGTTTAATTAAAAGTTAAAATCATAAAAATAAATGTCATGGCCAAAATTTAATACAATTTGTTATGTATTATAATTGTTATATTGCATATACCATATTATAATAGTTTATTTATAATTATAACAATTATTATATAATATATACCTAGCTATATGATACGGAAAACCAGTAATGCCTTAAAGAAAAAAATATTTGTGACAATTTAGACTTAACAATTTAAAAATTTGGAAATGCAAAGTTGAAATTGTCACAAATATTTTCTTCTACATAGCATCCCTGCACTTTCATAATATGAAGTATATAGTCTAAATAAAAATAATATACCAATCCAATTTAGTTTTAATTATAAATATTACTTATGTAAATTAGAAATCTTAATTTATGTGTATGGGTGATCATAAATATAAAGTACCTACCAATCTTAGTTTACATTAAGGTACAGCTAAATGTTTAAAAAAAATCGTAATTTTAAGGTTGAATTTTAGGTTATTTGTTACATAGACATATTTTTGTTAAAATTTTTTTAATGAAAATGCATATCTTGTTACTTGCCTATATTACTATTAAAACTATATGACTAAATATTTTTATAGTATGTACATGTTAGTATTGGATAGTGTTTGTTGATACTTATAGATATACTTATAAAAAAAAAAATGATCTAATCCATATTACATACCTATGAAATAAAATATATGCACCTTATTTTACGTATATGTGGCTATTCAAATGTAGACATTAATGAAAAAAAAAAAAAAAAATGGCCTATCATACAAATTATTAGGACGTCTATGGAACATAGTACACCTTAAATAACACTGTATTATATTATTACTAATAAAATATAAACTTTTATTTTTGTTTAAATTATTATATCTCTAAGCTCTAAATATTAATTAATTAACTCTATACTTTATTTTGTTAACAGGTTTACATACTTAAATAAAATGAATAACATAGGTTTTTGTAAGAAATAAAAATTTACCTATGAATTTAATTTGGAATAATTCAATTAAATGGCTTCACAAATTGAAGAATTTCTTGCAAAAAAAAAAGAACAAACTACACTATTAGATTTACACAACTGCACAGCTAATTCAAAAGAAGAATTAAGAAAACTCGTGGAAAAAGTTCCAGAATTCAAAATCAAACCAGAAAAAGTATTTTTTTTTAATACATTTAGTACTTGCTAATCGAATGCCAAAACTTGCCATCGAATATTATAATGAATTTAGGGTGGTTTTTGTTTATAGAAAAATAAAAAGTGCTCATTAATGTTCATAAGAACTTATTAAAAAGATGTCGTAGAGAGTATTATTTTGTACTTTTAATTTCTTTTAAATTTTATTAAAAAACTAGCACCGTCTACATATGTTCAAAAACTTATTTGTAGAATATTATATTGTTTAAAAAAAAGAAATATTAACAGTATTTTGTTACAACTTAACTTAATTTTTAATACTCTATACTTTACATAATTTATATCATATAATATTTTATTTTATTTCATACTTCCATTAATATACTTTTTTGAGTTCAGATAGTTTTTTTTATACCTACTCAACTACAATATAAAAATTAAATAGTTTTTTATCTTCATTTATAGTTATAGAAATGTAATGTTCAATTATAATAAGTGTTCTTTCTGCTTTATCGAGGCCATGATTTTTGTTTAGCTTCATTATACTGCTCTCTAGAAGTCAAAAACCGTTTTTATTTTAAATTATTATCTTTGTTTAAAATATTATTTTTCATATTAAATTGTTCAAAAAAAATTTAATTAGGATAAATAAATTCATCAATTGATTTTAAAACAAATATCTCAGCATCTTTTAGTATTATTATATTTTATTTTAATCTTCATTACTATTTAGCATTTTTAGGTGACAAATACTATAAATCAGCAATTCACAACCTTTTCATATTCACTTGACACCTAATAACATTTTTTTTTTACTCAAAAACTATATGTTATTCCACTATATGTAATTTTTTTCATTTATAAATCTACATAATTATAAGCATTTATTACAACAAAAGTAAAATTGAAAAATATGTTAAATAATAGTAAAATATTATGAAGGGCTACGGTGAAAAATGGTAATAGTCAATGTTCAGTATTGTAATTTTAAAGTTTCAGAACAATATTAAAACTTTATTTAACTGTATATTTAAATCTTTATTTTGTCACTAACTGTGACCTTTATGCCCCAACTTGGTTCACATATTAATTCGGTCAGAAATAATTGACAAGTTGACAAAATTATTCTACTTTGTCAACAAATTTCTTATGTGTACCATCTATGAGATTTCCACATACTTCAAGTTGAGAATTGCTACCATAAATGTTTTCTAAGGCCTATTTTGGTTATACCTCTACATCTGTTAAAATTGTATACAAATTTATTGGGTACTGTAAAAAAACTTATTTGTGTATATTATTATTTTTCTTGGGAAATAATAGATTTTACACAAAATTCTATCAATATACTGGTTTAGAGAATATTATGTTTTAAAAATAAAATCCCATACATTTTTCGGTTATGTGTTTTAATAATAAAACTTAAAACATTATAAAAGTACAAAATACTGTCTTCTTTGATAACTTAACTAATATTTTTAAACATTTCTAATAAATATTTAAGATTGTCCTGACAAAAATAATGCATTCAAAAATAAGGATTACCATTAATTATATACAACAAAGTAGATCGTAGGAACAATTCATGCAGTTTTAATTTTTTAATAACAGTAACATGGATAGGTAGGTAGCAATAAAATTAGATAAAATTCTATTTAGATTGTTTAAATTTTAAATAGTACTAAGGATTTTCCATATTATATACTCTAAAATAAACCAAATAGTTTTTGGTAGGTAGTTTCAAGATTCAACCAAAATTAATTTTATAACAGGACCTATACCTAATTAATTTTATTTTTTATAAGGTATTCTTAAATATATTATTAATATTGGTGATTATTGTAGAAACTTGATGATATTAAAATAAGAGAAAAAAAATTCAAATTTAAACTACCAAAAAAGGAATCCAAAAAAACGTTTCCATTTGCAGAGCCAACACCATCAGAAATGAAAGGAGTTTCTTTAGAAGAATTGTATTCTGTGAATATCCCATGGAAAATGCTTACTGCTCTTCGACCTAAATCAAAAATTGATGAAGAATATTTTTCAAGGTAAAATTGTAATTTATTGTATTGACTTCTTAATTTTACTTATATTTCTCTCTTGTTACTATTCAAATTTAACAAATATTGTTTTGCATAAAGTTTAATTCAAACTTAATTTGTTAGGCAAGTTGAATTGGGCATGGCAACGCTTAAAACAAGAAATTTGGAGAAAAGAATGCCTCGAGATAGTTTTTTACGGAAGAAGAAAAATGCATCGGGAGGAGTAGAAGCAAAGTTCTTATCATGTAGAGAGTGTGGAGTTGAATTTTGTACAGGGAATAGATGCAAAATATTTGACTATGATTCCTTTAAACGGGTAGCAGTGTCTACTGTACAAATGACCAGTGAACTACAAACACAAGAGCAAACTTCACAAGAAAAAAAATCTCCAAAAAAAAAAAGTTTAAAGAAAGGATCAAAATTAAAAATACATGCAAGTAATACGCCTGCTATAACTCCAAAGAGGGACTTTCCGAAAAACGAAAATAAAATAATCAGTGTGAAAACTAATAAAAAAAATATGACCAGTCAAGAAAAAACAATGGGTAAATCAAATGAAAGTATTAAACCAATAAAAAATATTTCATCAAAAGTAAATATTGAAATGAAAAAGACAAATATTTCTGGAAAAATGAAAATTTGAAAAAAAAACTATTGTTCAAAGGAACAAGAATTAAAGATAATAAATATATTTAAAAAATTGTATTATTTAAACAATTATTGTTTTTTAAGTCTTTAATTGTATATTATTGGTATAAGATATTGATATTAAAGAACCTATTACATTACTTATAAATTAAAATGCACACCTCAAAACCATAAACTATTGATTTTAAAAAAAAAAAGGCAAATTAAATTAAATTAATAATAATAAATAAAATTTCTTACAAATTACATACAAGTTATTCACAGAATTGTCCTTGTTATCAAAAACAGAATTACAGAAAGTTCCTTAGATACATGTAATACCCGTTGCTTATTTAAAGAAATTTTCTGGGAATTATAACTCATTCTTGAATATTAAAAAAACAGGTTATTTTAATAATGTACCTAGTTAAGTTATTTAGTTGACAATCAAATGTGTATCAATGATATTTAAATAAATTGTTCTGTAGCTCCAATCAATAATCAGTTAATTCATAATACAGAATTGATTAATAAAACTGTCACTAAATAATTTCTCTTGAGTGTACCTATTATACTTCACTATAGACTTATACAGTTACACATTGTTTGATTTTGTGTATTAATGTAATATGTTACATGCAAATATTTTTATCTTTTCTACATAAAATTTAAAAAAAAAATTTGCCTAAGGGCTTCTTCTGGACCTTAACATTAATCTACAAAATAATTGTACATGATTTTCTTTAACTAGGTATTTATTTAAAAAATTAGTTTTTTGTACTCAATTTATTACAAAACTAGTAAAGATAAAAATATATGTTATATATATATATATTCAAATTAATTATATATTAAAAAAATAAATATTTGTACCATATTTTAACAATGATTATATTATAATATAATATATATATATATCAGTGTATCACATATCTTATTTATTAATATTATAGGTATATATAAAACACAAGATATATCATAAATTGTGATACAAAGACAAGTATGAAATGACGAATAATTACAGATTATGTACAAATTAAATTTCAATTCCAAACTATTTTATAACGTAGCTAATATTCTTGTGAAACCAACAGCAGCTGCCAATAATGTTTGACCAACTCCCCAAAACATTGCATACAACGGTTGCATTTGTATACCAGACTCTCGATAGACAAATGCTATAGTAGCACTACTAACAACACCAGAACTAAGTGGAGCAAATATTCCGACTAATAAAATTAATAATGGAAAAAACCTAAAACATAAATAAGTAATTCAAATATAGTTTTAAATTGCATCTTCAAAACAATATCACAACTGAAAATTGTTTGACATTGTACAAGAGCTCAAATTATTTAAGGGTTATGTTACCCTTTTATATTAAGTATTATACAAATTATTTTAATTTAAATTTCAAAACTTCAACCTCTACTCAACTAAAAATTTAAAAACATCATTAATAAATTACAAGCTTTAATTTACTTGAAATTTGAAATGTAAAACCTATTATTAAAAAGTCAAATTTAGCATCACATACATATAAATATAAAAAATATATAACAATTTATATCTTACTTTCCAAAATTATGTTTATGAAGTGTAGCAAAAGCAATTATTGCTGCTACAGCATGAACGATACTAGACGAGAACAATGCCCATAAAAATGTTTGATACCACATCTCTAAAAAATAAATTTAAATATATAAATTGTTAACTAATAAAACTTAATTTATTTTAAGTATTACCCAAAAAAGTACTTAGGGGCTTTTGAGATGCCATAGCAATGACATCGGTGATTGGTTCCAGTTCGGGGTTTTTAAAATCATTGAGTTGCAGTTGCAACATTTTGTCAAATTGCAGTTTTATATACAAATAAAATACATTATTTTATTATATAGCCGGATAGACTAGATTTTGAATACTTTTAATATTTGTTAATATTTGTTTAATATTAGTTCGAATAAAATTAATAAAATCATGTTTATTGTTAAAACACTTTATTTAAATATTATTATTAAAAAACACTGCAGCTGCTGATGCTGCAAGTCATTAATCATTTTGATAACAATGCTATCAATGATATCAAAGTATAATAATATGTTAAAATTTGATAAGTTTAATGTCGATCAATACCGAGCACACAGCTGCAGGTAGGCACTCATACTCGACCGACGCGTAAGTCTGCGTGTGTCGGCGTAGCGTCTGATCGTAATAATTGTAATTTGACCTGTCACTGCTTGGTGTATTGTATTGTTCAGTTTTTGGTGGTCTGTTAACCGTAATTCGAATGGTTATTGTATCAGCATTACTGTTATTACATTTATTGAATTGGAAGGTCAACAGTACTAGTATCAGTTACTATTTTTTTCATAGTAACTGATTAAGAGAAACCATACAATTAACTTTGTCCAATTTCAACAATATTGAAATTTGATATGGATCCTCAAGATTTCAGTGACGATAGTGACGAGAGCGATTTAGATTACAAACCACCTGGTAATTTATTATATTATGCAATTATGTTTTCTTAACTGAGTATACTTTGTTGGTACATACTCTATACAATTAAAAACTTAATTATTGATTTAACAATTGACTTTCTACTGAAAAAATAAAATCTTCAAAAGTAGATTTTTAAGCAAAAGCAAACTATTTTTCTTTGGTAGATAAATAGAGCATTAAGGAACAAGTCTCGCTTCAAATTAACAAACCATATTGTAGTATTGCATATTATAGAGCTAAAAATACCAATTGAATAACTTGCATACTTAACTAATTCATAACATATAAAAAATAAAACTCAATAAACGAAGACGCATCCCTAAAAATTATTCACATGTTAATTCTATAACAAGTGTTTATCAATAGTCAATCCCAATTAATGTATATTTAATGGGTAATGTATATTTGAAACTAATTCAAGTTTTGTATTCTATATCATTGTAAAAATTATTAATATTACAAAATAGTTAAATCATGAAAATGTTCTTATTTATTATTGAACATGAAGTTCATAGACATTGATTTTTAAAAATGTATTGAAAACTTTAACCTAACTTATTGTTACTCTGTTCTATTAAAAGTTATTAATTTGAGTATTTTAATTTTAGTGTTTATTGAACTGATTTATTTGTATTTCATAGTTTTTAGTTGGTATCAACTTATTATTAATTATCTATTGCCGAAGCCATATGTTAATAATAATAATATTGTTTTGTAATTTATTGGTACCTACATAAATATTCAATTTTATTTAATCTATTTCAAACAGGTGAAGTAGAGCATTTATCAGAAGTGGATTCAGATGATTTAATTGAAGATGACGAGGATAATGCAAATTCATCTACAAGTAAATCAAAAAAAAGAACAAAAGGACAGAGAAGCGGGCAAAAGAAATCAAAAAAAAAATAGTACTTATACAGTTAACTTAAGTTCAATAATTTTTATTTGATGTTTTTAATTTTTAACAGTGAAATTGATGATGAAACAGTAGAAAAATCTCAAGAAGAAGTCAATAGTCTTCTAAATTCCTCTGAAGAGGATAAAAAACGTTTGGATGCTTTGTGGGAAGGTAACTTAATTTAGTATACCAAGTCATCCATTTAAGTATCTACACTTGATATTTCAAAAAGTATTTACTTTTTTAGGCAATTTATGATTCAAATAGCTCTACAATGTTACATACATTTTATTTTTTTTCACCCCTATTTTTAAAGATGGAACCACTACCCACTTTTGTTTTTCAACCTATATTAAAAATCCATAAATAGATGACTTTTTGGTTTAAAAAAATGTTAGTGTTGAAATTTATTTTAGGTGACAAAAAACTATTAAAATTTGTTTGAAAAAACACAACTTTGGTATATTTATTTTTGAGATGATTTACATAACTACTTAGTTTTGGTATATTACAGGTTACTTATAAGTATAACATTGTTTTTGGTTAATTATATATTAACAAAAGGCAAACATATAAATTTAAAATAAAAAAACATTTTAAAACAAATTTATATACAAGTGTGATATTATAAGTAAATGTTATAATATTACATAGATTTCTACACTACTAATAAAAGTCTGTGTAGAAAAATGATATTAAAGAATTTATTAAAAATGTTGACTATTGCCATTATTATTATCTATAAGTTTATGAAGAAAGGTGTACACAATGTCATTTTTATAATCAAATAGTATATTTAATACATTATTAAAGTTGTTTTTTATTTTGTTGTTGTATGTGATAGTTTTCTAATATTAAATTTAAACATTTATATTTATGTACAAATTATTGTTAGGTCTTTTTCTATATTAGTAATTTTTTGTTTACTGTCTATATATATTTTGCAAAATTTGATAGAATTGTGTAGTAAGTCTTCGTATTTCTATAACATTTGCTAATAATATCACATTTGTACATAATTTCTTTTTGTAACGTTTATTATTTTATTTTTAATTTAAATTTGTATGTTTGCTTTTTGTCAATATTATGTAATTAACCAATAACAATGTTTTAAGTAACCTGACAATGCTAATACACTTAAACAAAGTAGTTATATAAATATAACTGACAAATACATTCTAAGTCGTGTTTTTCAAACTATTTTTTAATATACATAATAAGAGTGTTAAAATTCCAAATAAACAAAAAATAAAAATTCTGTAATATTTTAGAGCTTGTAATTTTAGAGCTTCATAAGCTCTACAAAAAAAAAAAAATCTGAAAAGTAAACACTTTTTCAAATATTGAGTTGAGTTAAGACACTCAAATATAATGAATCTAGGTCATTATTGGTCCCAATAAAAAACATAATATGTGGACAATTTGGTCCCATCATAAATAATTGGTCCCTGGCTTTTTATGTATAATGTATTAATTTAAGTTATCACTAACAAGATAGTATAATAATAATAGAAATATTTTTTTTTTATATTAATACTTATAAAACACTTAATTTTTGAAAATATTCACAGACATCATGTTTTTAAAAATGCATTTTAACAAAGTTTGAACTATAATTTAAAAAATTAATAAACAAAATAGTAAAAATAATATAAAATATTACATAAATGTTTTAAATTGACATTAAAACTATTATAAATAGATAAAATATTTTCCATGCATGAAAAATAAAACCTTGGTTGCTGTATATTTATTTATAATAAGTTTAACATTTTTAATAAGATTTTAACTTAAATACCTAAATTATTGTTAGTTTATGATTATTGTTCATTGTTATGAAATTAAAAACTGAAATATGATTTCAACTAAAATACAAACATTTTTTTAAATCCTGACGAATGGCAAATTTAATTACCGGCCATTTATATCAACATTAATTTTAGTGTTTATAATATAAACATTTTTTTCATCTTATTAAAAAAAAAAAATTGGCCAAGGATCAATTGTCTGACGGGGCAGATCGTCCATGTACAGTATTTTTTTTGAAGGGACCAACTGTTCGTTTATTTAATATATTACCCGGTATACATAATATTTGTTTAAATATTATATTTATGAATTAAAAATGATCACTTAAAAAAATCTTATTGATTTATATCTAATTTATAGAATTTCAGCGACCGATCACCAAAAAACCTATTTCCAAAACATTAAAACCCAGCCAAAGTAAATCTGAATTACAAGATTTTGTAAAAGTGTCTGATAAACCAGTAGTTACCAAAAAAAGGAACATTGAAGAATTGTTCAACAGTTCAGACTCATCTACAAAGTTGGTTGTGTTTATTTTTCCAATTTTATTATTACATACCTTACAATTAATGATTATATATGATTTAATATCTTTTCACTAAAAGTTCACATTCTAACCATACTTATAACACAGGATGATCAATATAATATAAAACATGTCAAAAAATATTAATTTTTCAAAAAAAATGTTGAAAATTTGAGTACAACTAGCTCTAAAATGTTACATTACCCATAATTTTAATACATTTTTTTTTTTGGGCGAAACTACCACCACATTTTGATTTAGTAACCTATATTAAAAATTCCACAATTAGATAAAGTTTAAGTATTTTATGTGATAGAGCAATAATAATTAATAATTTTTCTATAGATTTTATTGATTAATTATTATAATTTATTTATTTATTCCAAAAATGTACACCTGTAGACACTTTTATTAAGATGACATAAGAACAATATATACATGGTGAACATAATATAAGAGGGAAAGGAGTGTAGCATGCAGTGGAGAAGGTAGTTATAACTATGGGAAGTAGAATATGTTAGATTATCTAAATTGTAAAAAAAGTTCATAGAAATATATTAAATTTCCATTTAGCTTTGTTGTTATAATATAAATTAACAATTTTAAATATTGAAAAAAAAACGTATAAAATACAAAATTGTTAACATACTGTTCTGTACATTGTTTCTTTCATAGATTACAAAATGATAACAATATAACTAAACCTAAATCTCCTGAAATTCCAAAAAGCTTGACGACAACTCCCTTTGCTAAAAAACAATCAGGTGGTTTAGAAAATATACTTAGTCAAATAGGGAAGAAAAGTAAATTGACAATTTTAGAAAAATCAAAACAAGATTGGGATGGTTATAAAAAAGAAGAAGGTATTGCCGAAGAATTAATTACTCATAATAAAGGGAAACATGGGTAAGTGTTTAAATGTTAAACTCATTGTAAGAAGTATAAATTCAATAAGAAATATATTTATATCTTGATTTTAGATACTTAGAAAAGCAGGATTTTTTAGAACGGGCAGATTTGCGGCAATTTGAATTAGAAAAAGCAATGAGAGCTGCCAATAGATCACATAGAAATTAAATATTATTACATAATTCCTATTATCTAAATAATTAAAATTATACTTGGATTAGTGATTTTTTTTATTTTATCTTATAAACATATATTTTTTGTTTAAATTAATAAAAAAATAATAAGATTAAATAAGTAGATGTAAATTTAAAAATATAAAATTCTCAATGTCTTGAATGTTATATGTGTTAATTTTTCAATTATTGATATATAATGCATTTTTGTATTATCATTATTCTTAGTATAATTTAGTAATTTAATTATAATTATTTTTAATAAACAATTTATACTTGTAGTAAGTTACAAAAATAATACTTTATTATTGTTTGATTTGTTATAAACATAATGAACTTAATAAATACATAGTTTTGACTTAAAATATTATTGATAATGTAATCAAACATTTGATGTGTATTTTTCAAATATAATCCATTATTAACTATCAATAGAAATTGCTTGAAGAAACCAACTATTATAATTTAGTCTAACAATAAATTGATTCGGTTTGGGAGTGACTTCAATTTCTTGAATAGTGTTTAATAGCGTGACTAATTGATTTGGTTTTTTGGTAAAAAGTAAATTCAACTCATCATAACATTGTTTATACTGTGGATTTAAGGAAGCTGTAATGTCAGTTATATACCTACAATAGTTTTCACACATATCTAATATTCTATTGAAGCCCAAGTAAACATCTTCCATGAATAAAAATGAATCTCTCATTATATTTGTTTGAAATTTATCGTGTATGTGCTTAATTGATTGAAAATCACTAGCATTAGACAATTTCTCCAGAAGCAAAAAACATTCGTCTTCAATGACATCTAACTGAAGATAACTATATAGAGTGTCAATTAAAAATGTTAACTTTGTTTTCAGTTGGTCAGTATGACCATTTAACTTATATGGTTTTGATTTTTGTTCAATCCAAATTTCATGTAAATTCGTTTGCACTCTTTTTATACGTGATAAAAATGTAAACAATTTTGAATAATTTTTTTGAACAGACTTGGTAAATATAAACTGTAATGGCCATTTAGTTTCAATGGTAACTTTAAGTTTTATCCATGTTGTTTCATCATTTTTTTCATTATCATATGAACTGAAACTAAATGCATTATACACAGATTTGTGTATTTTGACATCTTTAGCTGTATTGATAAATGCTACCTTAATAGCCCGTAAGCTGTGCTCAGATTTTAGAGATAAACTGCACATCTTCTTTAAAAAATGCATATAAAACTCTCCATTTCCCAATAAATAAAAATCTCTAACTAATTTCATATGATAACTAATACTGTCATTTAAAAATGATGCTTTCAACATGTATTCATCAACTACGTTATAAAATTTATCAATTACTTCAACAAATTCATTTTTAGTAAACATAGGCAAATTTTCTAAATTTAGTAGATCAGCAAATAGTTGATCTCTTTTTTGTCCATATAGCTCAATAGAAATATCCTTGTAGTTTATGTATGACAGCTGGTCATGTGAATGTTGTAAACTTTTAATTACATCGCCAATTCTTGTTATTTTGCTTGCAGTTGAAATAGGAACAAATGATGGCATTAAACTTGGTAATAATGTAAACTGTTTAAATTCTTTGGTATTTCTTGAATATTCTGGCTCTATAAATAATTCTTTATGAGGATCAAAAATCACTCCACGTGCAAAAAAAGTGTTCAACTGTGATATCAACACCTATAATAATAATAACATTATTAGGATTTAAACTAAACTAAGGAAAATTAAATTACAATAGTCATCACTTTTTATAATGATATTGTACTTTGATATATATTTTACTTTAAATTTACCTGTAAACATTGTTTGAATATAAGAGATAGTTGAACTTTGTCATCCATAAATGTCATAGTGACAACTTCATATATCAGGTTTAATATTTGGCCGCCATGCAATTGAGAAAGTTCAATTTGTTCCAAAATATTGTTTATAGAAACAATTAATGGTTTATGTTGCTCAACTTTCCTTAATATTTCAGTCAACAGACATTTATTGTCTTTGTTATTTAATAAATCTTTTTCAATATCGGTTACACATTTACGGTAAGATTGCAAGGCAATAATTGTACCATCAACAAAAGCTTCAAAGTACATACCTCGTTTACTAACATTTGATTCTTTGTAAATGCTCTCCAATCGATTATAGGATACAAGTATAGTGTTCAGTTTCTGATATTCTTCAGCCAAATTTAGAAAAAATGTCAATAATTGCCTGTCTCCAGAATTAACAATTATAGATTCATCATCAGAAAACATACTGTCATTTTCTACAATACATTTCAACACTTCTGATTTATGACCAAGTAGAGTAAATAAAATATCTGGTATTAAGCTTTCCATTTTATTTGTTACAATGTTTATAATTTTAAATAATTCACTTTTTCAAATTCATAAAAATATGATTTACTTATTATATATTATATATAATAATATTTATGATAGTTTGAAAATTTTTATTATAAATTATGATTAACGTTATCTTAAATTTCTTAGGCTAGTTTTGAGTTACAACTTGGTTGCTCATACAATAAATTAAATTATTTCAGTTTACAACTACACAAAATATTATTACTTTGTTGAAAATTCAAAACGCAACTGTACCTATCGAGATAGGATTTTATATTCTATTATCAATATTTAATATTTAAATTAAAGTTCAAGATAAAAAAAATAAATACTATAATACTGTTTATCTTTATCATTTTTGATTGCATGATTGTTTAACTAGTCAACTGAGTATAAATTGATAAACAGAATTCTGAAGCTTAACCAAAATTAATATTTAAAAGGTGGTTATACTGTAAAAATAATACTATTTTTCTGTTATCAATTTTAAATTTGTTTAGTTAAATATTCAAATTTCAAATACTAAATAAGAAAACACAAATTATAATAATATAATATTTACTTGAAAAAAACACATTATAGTAAAAGAAATACGCACTGTTCTTAAAATCTTAATAATAGTTTTTTAAATTTGTCCAGGATTTTTTAACGTTTGTTTAAGTTTATGTTTGAGCGTGGGAAATTATAAAATTTTTACTAATTTCGACCAATTCTCCTTTGAACTTCAATTATAATCGCTACTGCAGAGTATTACCATTGATCAGTGGTGATGAAGCCCTCTTACACGTAGGAAATTTATTCTACATATTATGAGTGGTGGTTGGTTGAACAATTTCGTTATTTTTATAAATTATTTATAGGTACTTACTTACTTACCTCTAGTTCTATGAAATTGGAAGGTGAAATTTATAACATATGAATTGTATATAATAATATAATAATATAATTGTATGTAATAATAATGCGGGTAGCATATATATTAATATCATTTCCACCAACCGTGTTTCAAAATCACCCACTCTAAGGTATTATATACGTACATTGTTATAATATATAAGTATGTATCTATAGATGTATAGGTACTTTACATGCTTACATAATATAGGTCTATATGTTCTATCTGTCCAAATTTTAGTTGTAAAATATATTTATTACCTACTTCAAAATAAAACGATTTTTATCATTTACTTATACTAATAAACCGTGCATTTGACCATCGACTATTATTATAGATAGTTTAATTGGCAAACGGCTATACAATCGCGGCACTGTGTTAAACACGCGTTCTAAAATATGTTTAATGTCCATCTGCAGTAATGCTATAATAATATTATATTCTATACAAATTTAATATAATACGATTATATTAATCAATCTCCTTTGACCCTTTGCAGATCAAATTATAATGTGTACCTATGTATTATAGTAAGTATACCTATAATATTCTTCCAGTAATACAATTTTATTTTTTAGTATGCGTGCCTGGTACCTATACATATTACAAAGTCGTCAATTCAGACGGAATCCGATTATTATAATACACGTTTGCTTCTAACTATTTGTTCACGTGTGTGTCATTGGCCTGAATAAATCGAATATTGCTCCTACCTACCTATTATAACAATACGCGCCGCGAATTGTCTACACCAGGGCCTACAATCTATGCAATTTACTACTGCACATATACCTCTTTCCTCAAACCCTAAAAATAAAAAATAAAAAATACTTGCATATTCATTTGATTACCTAGATAGGCACTACATTTTACATAACAATATTATACTTATTAATAACTTGTACTTTAATATATAATATAGAATATCCTATACCATTTTTAATAACCGAAAGTGTTTTCCGTAAGTAAAACTAAATAAATGACCAATAAGGGAACTATTTATAGTTTTTTTTAAAAAAAATTCATAAAGTACCGCTAGACAGAAATATTTTGTACTTTCCAAAATGATTTTAGATTCTGAGCGATTAGTTTTACAACGACGTTAATTTTTAATTTTTTTTTTTATACTGTGCACAAAAATCTACCGGAAATTTTGCTCTGATTTTCAAGTTTAGTACCTTTTTAGAAAGGAAATTTTCCTGAGGTGGTACTTTATGAAGGTCATTTTTAGATTTTCAATAATGCTCTTATTATTTTCAAATTTATTTTTTTTTAGTTGTAATTCAATGTTCAATTTAAAAATATTTGTAGAGACTTGTAATTCGAACAAAATCATTATATCTTCCTTTTATAGGCGTGGTATAATTTTCAAAACATTTTAGCCATTAATAAGCTATTTATAGACATTTTAATTTTACGAGTTTTTTACGTAATATTTATTCGATAAGTATTCTGTGGATAAAATCATAAGACCAAACATAAATTTTTGACAATTTAACAGGAGATTCATTATAAGTTGTACTTATTAGCCAACAAGAAAAAGTTGAGTTTAATGTAGTATTTTTTGTGTACTTATAAGAATTTTAATATCAAATTTTGACAAAAATCGTAAATATTACGAACTTTTAAACATGTATATCTGAACTCCGCTCAGAATTTTTTTTTTTTAGCAAAGATTAATTGTTGCGTACTGAAGATGTTTAATAAATTACTCTCTATAGCCTACCTTCCCAACTTCTCAACTACAAGAGTGGCCCACTCATCATGCGAAGTATGTACGCCTTTTTTTCACGTAATATTCCAATGTACCTAATACGTTGAAAAATCGGAAAAAAATATTTAAAATTTCGAAAAATAATTTAAAATAAATTATTATTTGATGAAAAATCATATTATGTAATATAATATTTTAAAATAATTTACTGAACTACACACTACTGAATTTGCTACTGCACACACAGTATTAAATTACTAATAAAATTCCCATATTCGAGTTAGGTATAGTGAAGAAGATTTTAGATTTATTCACAATTCTTATTTCTTACAATCCCTCCCACTCAAAATTCTTGTGCACGCCACTGCATGTCCTACTCCAAAAGCATAATTTGGCGGACCTAATTATAGTTATTATTATATGCGTGTAGTTTTACGTCCCGTTTTGGTCGCGATTTATAGATTATTGTCAAAGTGATTTACTAAAATTAAGTTACTAAATAAAATATCACTCTGTGCACTTTTGTGGTGTACAGTTATAAAGTCAACCTGAACGATTAAAATTTCGATTTTCTAAAACAAACGTATGTATAAATACTGAACAAAACATTTTAATTATTTTTTATAGATTTTTTTTTATTATTCCGAATTGTAAAATGTATATACATATGTCTAATAAAGTAACCAACCGAAAAATCATGTGTAAGTGTAAGTCCTAAGGAGGGAGGCATGTACATTTTATTCGGTCAGAAATACTAGCGATGAAAAATTGCAATTAAAATGCAAAATGTGAAAAGGAATAACCGGAGAAATAACAAAAAACCGTCTTCCACGTACAGAAAGGGGAAAAAAATGTTTTCTAAAAAGTTCGCGCGATCGTCGAAAACACGAAATTTCACTGTGAAAACGAGTCACATTATGCCCGAGTTTAATTCTATTTTAAGGCCACGGAATTACGAGTATAATAATTTCAGAACAATGCGCGCCGTTAAACTAGGCCAAAACAACGCGCGAAAATAAACGCGTTTTTTTTTTTAATAACCGATATTTGACCCGATATTTCCAGAGAAAAATGCCCATTATGTCTTTGGAGTTGGGATCATAAAAAAATTACAAATAAATCGAGTTTTAAACCAATATATCGGCTAATTTCAACATTGACTCATGGTTTTCGATTTCAAATAACGGGTGTCGGTTTTATATCGCGGCAGCCCACATCGGAATATCGGGTATCGGTAAAAAGTAGTATAGACCCATTTTTAAAAATAATAATCCGAAAACACAAGTCCCGAATCGGCCGTCTCCGGTGTTTGAATTGGTGGAGGGGGGGGGGGGTTGCAAGGGGGAAACTCCTCATTACTGTTTTTTTTTGTAGCAGTGTCAGAGACTGCAATGGGGCGTAGGCCAATGGTTGTTCATATAATGAGCCTTCAGTGAGGACCCTTTCGAGGGAAAGCGTTCGGCCGAATTCTCAAGAAAATGATAGCCTGACACGGGACCGTTATGTGTCTTTGGGCGAGGGTAAAACAAATGTTTCCCCGGCTGTTTTTATGTATAAGGTAACGCAACCCTGCGGGCGTTTTATTGGTTTGGCGCGTCGTCGTCATCGGCGGCGCACAAATCGGTGAAACCGTCACTGACTCGCGACCGGGGGTTTCACACAACACGCGAATCGAGAAAGCGGTGTAACGCGAAAACCGAATATCGGCGGACACGCTATACACACTCCGACGCTTTTGGTGTTTTTTTTTTTCTCCTTTTTTTTTTTTTTTATAAATAGATAATTACTAGAGCGCGCAGGGAATATAATCAACGCGGCGACGAGTTTTTCACACGTTTTTCAATAGGTTTTTTTTTTTTTTATAGGTATACATTATTATATTATTATATTTTGTTTTCTATTACCGCTTAAGTGGCAAATTGCAGGCGCACTTTGATTAGATTTGAGGCGCCGGGATCGTTGAATAATATATTATAGATATTAGGTAAGGTTTGGTTAATCTATGTGCAATCTATATGCTACGAAGTATAAATAAACGTATAAAATATGTTTTCAATACAATTTTCTGAAAAATATGACTTGACCCCCCCAACCAAGTGTCTGGAGCCGTACCTGCGTGAAACACCTGCGATAAGCCAATGAAAATTGCCTACTACAAATACTATTATTATAATATCATTTTTTCGGGTTCTATTTCACTGGAACATTAAGAACATAATAATATGAATCCTATTTGTTATTTGCAGCCTACAGAAAATGTTTTATTCGTATAAAATAATACGTGAAATCATACAAGTTGTTTGTATCACACAAGAAGCCTTCCCCACTCGATACGACCATCGGACCATAGAAAAAATGGACTGGGAAAACTTACTATATATGATGTAAGTGTAAGACATTACAATAATATAATATAGTCGATTACGATTGTATCATAATTGTATGTATTTTTTTAGACTCTTCCCAGGGGGGGAATCAATTAATAGAAAATATTAATTATTATTTTTGATCGATAATTAATATTCGATCAGAAAAATCTATTTGACTGCTATTATTTTTGATACATAATGTATTTTTAACCATTATCTAATCGAATGACTAATGTCCAAACATTTAATTTTCGATTATCCAACAGTAGCCGCTTATTCCACATCCACATTTGTAATTTTGTTTTGTATATTTAACTTTTAAGACTAGTAATATAATATAATTTGTATAATATTTTCGAGAGAATGTGCGATCTCGTTGAAAAGGCAAAACGATCGTTATGATCTAGACAGGCGACAATGACATGACGGAGTTAATGGGAGTTTAAGTCTCCATTTTTGTCCGGTAGATGACGCGGCGGCCTTTTATTGTTTGTGAAGATTTTTGCGACCCTCATTTTTGAACGATTCCACTATTAAATAACCGATATTATTCATAACAATTTACGATTAATTCACCCGTAAAAAGACCGCCCTGCCAACAGCTTTCTTGTTTCAATTTCCATAAGTTTGGCTGATCCTAAGGTGCGATATTTTAATACGGTTTTTGAAATCCTCTCATAAGGTCAATATGGTCGTACCGCTTACATAGTCACCCGAAAACCATGAGTATAACATCTTCGGCTCTCTTTCAATACGAATAAATCTTTCGCCTTTTACTAAAGATTTCCGTGGAGGGGAGCATTCAAAGGAGTGTGTAATATAATTTTTGAATTGCCTGATCTTGGTCGGGCTCAAATCACATAATTGCGTCCAATAATTTTCAAACACTCTAGACGGTGTATTGAGTTCTCAAACAGTTGTACTCTTTATACAGTACCAGATGGTTTGTCTACGGATGGGCGATTCTCTTAAAACTGAGTCGATATCATTACGACTGGAATAGATCGATTTTTATCACTAATTTGTATAATAGATCTATTCATACAGCTATTGTCTCAACTTGTTCAACGGATTTTTCTAATATTAATTTTTACATTATATTTCGATTTTTTTTTTTTTTATCAATCGGTTTGTCTTTGAAGAGCACATCGATTTGGAGAAAAATTTAATTTTTATTTTCATCCTGTAAGGACAAAAAAAAAAAAAAACTATTTAATCACTTTATATAATTTTAAAAATTCATATGCGAATGGTAATAGTTTCTAAGTAACTGCCGGTTTAAATTCTTGAAAACCGACGCTAACGAGTAACGAAGTAGTGATGATTTGTTACTAAATAGCCTTTAATGTAAGGGTAAAAATAAAAATAAAACATTATGATATTTTTTGAAGTACATGCATTTATCAATAATACATAATTTTAATTATATTAATATTATTAATAAATAATATTAATTTGGAATTTTGAATGTACAATTTTTATAATGTTTTAAATGTAATACAAAAATAATGAGATTGAGAATAAGAAATTACTAACCCAAAATTTTTATATTTTGACTACGTTGCTGATTACAGTAGAAGGAGTTTATTAGAAACTCTTTGCGACCGAAGTGGAACGTGTCAATTAACCGATTGTTTTTAATAAACGATTGGTTTTAATATACTATTGATTTCATATACGACTAGTCCGTCCCTATACATTTCAATAACACGATTGTATCAATTATCCGTGTCCCCAAAAAGGTGCTTCTACTAAATTTGTATTACATTTAAAAACAGATAATAATAATTTGATTGAGACGCAAGAAATAAAAGTTTATTTAAATTGTCATCAGTCATTATCCGTCCGGCTTTTGAAAAAAGACGTTCGGATGGTACCGATGTAGCTACCGTTGTTAAGTATGGATCGACACCTTTTTTTTAGACATGGATATATGGGTCCATGAGTATTCCAAAACTATGATACACTATCACCTAACGACAGAGTGGATTGATTTAAATAATGTTTCAAATCTGAAGGCATTTCATTGACACTTGATTCAGTAGTGGCGTTTTTAGAAACTAGCTGTTCATGAAATGACCATAAATTATTGCGGTCGTCTTCATCAGAAGAAGAATTTTCTGTATTCGAAATAGTTTCACTGTTCGAATCTACAATTTTTTTTAAAAATATTTTTATATAAAATTATGTTATCAAACAATAGCGTAAGTCAGGATTTATCGACGAGGGGTTAAGGGTTCTAGGGAGGTTTAGGGGTCTATAACTTTCTTAACCTTATCTAAAGCTAAAAAATAAAGCAATGACAGGGGGGGGGGGCGGTAAAAATACCAGCCTGTTATCAACTCATGTGTCACGAGTTTGGTACGCATCACAGTGAAAAAAAATACGACTTTTATCACTATTGTTAATTGTTAAAAGTCATGTTTTATTTCTAACAATAATATTTTAATATATTTTTAAATAATTTTGGTAAGGGGTACGCACCCTCTTCAGACCTCCCTATGTATTCCTGGATGAGGGAGCGGATCCGTTGAAAAATTCACTCCCGGGCTCAAATTTTGAAGTTAAACTAATGTTATAAATTATATTATGTTAGTACCTATACAAAATCCGATTTCAAAGAAATGTATACATCGTAGAACAACTAGACATAAGACTAGCCAGTTAAATATAAATTAATTATTTGTTGTTAGATTATTATCTTTTTTTTTGGAACCCACAAATTAAGAGTCAGTTAAAGAATTTTGTATTCGAAAAAGATTTTGAGTAGGTACCTACCTACACTTTTTAAATGAGTAAAACCATGGGTGTGTGTATGTGAATACTAAATATGACTAATGTCTATATACGCTCCTGTATACACGCTTTTGAAGAAAGTCTCAGTTTTTTACTATATGTACTCGTAATCATAGGTCTAGGAAAAATAATGCGAAATAAATAATATTATAACAAATGTTTAAACCAATAAATTTGATTCCCCACGCGAATACCTAGTCTCAAATTGGGATCCTACAATATTCTAATTTATTGTAGAAATTAAATTAACTATAAATGCATACACAATCACTGATATAAATTATATAGATACCAAATACAAATATGTGTATTGTATATATTTGTATAGCTATCTCAATAATTATTTATTAGTTTATAATAGTTAAATAATTCGATTTTAACTAAATACATGAAATATCTGCAATGTTATACGAATTAATGTTAAACGTTATCTTTTCATAAAATATACTATTATATTATTATGTGTAATGTAAATATGTGAATGGGTGGGCCGTGGGCAGAGTAGTACGTGTATTTATATACGAATACATAATATAAAAACTGCAGTAAATGTTAATGTTATTATTTAATTTGAAGAATTGGTGGGCAGTGGTTGGCACGCGTGGGTGTGTCCCGAGTATAATTTTTTAACTTCATCAAAAAATGTATGGAAAAGCTTTTAAAATATTCTGTAACGCCAATAATATAAACAAGTTTCAAGTACTAACGCATTTAAAAGTATTTTTTTTTCATTTTTTGATTACCTATTTATTTACTTTATGCCTAATATATTATGTCTATTTCTGTATGTATAGTTTATAAGTGAGTTTTTTTCAGACAACCAAAGTGTCATTTGCATTTATGAACTACTTGTAAGAATGAACTAAGTAATTATTGCAGTGTATACATATATATATATATACCTGATATCTATCGTAGGTATGTAAATAATGACATTGACGCCTCTGTTTATTACTAATAACTAGATTTTGAAAAACAAGTGGTTCCGCGTCCCATTGCAGGTTTCGTAAATTGATTAAAAACATTTATCTACCCAGTATACAAAAATAATATAGTTAACTTTTGGCGTTTACCATCCGTCCTATATCCTTTAAATTTTATATTTTATACGAGAGAGGTTTTTTCCGACGTCCGTAGAAAATCTTAATAAAATCGTTTGTATTTCGCAATCGAAATACTACTATTATTTTCCATAATTACCGTTATTAGGCATATTTTTACAATCGACTTCAATACATTTTAGTTGGAAATATTGTTTTTTTTAAAAAAGGCACTTTGTGAAGCACGGAAACATTAAAAAAAAAAAATAATAAAAATACAAAATACCCATGGTAATATGTAAACAAATTTGAGTACCCAATCAATATATTTAGTTTAAACATGATTTAGAGGAAGTATCTATCTATAACAATTATCTATCTGGTTGAAATTAATACATTTTTTTATACTTAGGTCTGTAGGCATATTTGTTTAGTATAATACTATAAAAATACTGAAAAAATAGTACCTACATGGGTTATATTATGTAGGTAAGTGCCTACAAAAGTATTAACTATGTTGTAACAGGAAATTTAAGTCGTCTGTTCGAAGAAAATTTAACCGACTTTCTCCTAATCAGTCCTATGCAGTTGATGAAGTCCAACCAGAAATATTGGTGTATTATTATGAAAATGAAATCGATTTCCGTAAATTCGATCATCGCGTTCACGTAAATCGTACGGCGTACGCTTTGTGGCGGTGTTAATTCGCTTTACAGTGTTACCGTGGTCCGTTATCGGCCGACGCGTGAGGAACAAGGTGGGCCGTTTGAAAAAAAGTCCGTTACGGGTGTTTCAAACGGGCGGGCGGGGAGTTTTTGAAAAATTGGCGTATTATAGTTTGCGAACGGCGGCGGGAAACACGGTACGTCTTACCGCATGGTTGGCATCATTGCGGTAGTCGGGACCGACCTTGTGCCGCGCACGGTCCTTTTTAAATTTCGTCTTGACTGTGCGACATTGGTGCGGTGTGCCGACCGGTGTGTGATCGTTATTTTCTCCTCACCGCCGCGCGCCGTCCCCCCCGTCGTTACTCGTTGGTGGGGCGCGACGCGAAAGAGGTGACGGACCGACGGAGAGCGTAGCGAAAAAAAAAATAAAATAACCGTTCAAAAACTTATCGCCGTCCGGTGCATACGCACCTCGTCGCGCAGACACCGTGTACAGTCGTATTAATTTCCGTGCGCGTATTAAATAGAAAAAAATTCATAAAAAAAAAGAAGTCGGTTAATTTTCCTCATTTTTTTACCTTCTGTATTCGCCTCTGGATTCTTCGACGTTTGCGTCGTAATCGGGCTACGTTCGCGACCCAGGGGCTGGTAGGCACCGGCTCAGACAACGTGGTATGGATCATCGGCCGGCCTTTGTCGAACCGTTGTCGTTGACGCTGCCGCCGCCGCCGCCGCCGCCGCCGTCGATCGCGTATGTCGGCGGTCGCCGACGCCACCGCTTCTGCTGCTGCTTATCAGCTGCCGCTGTGTTGTAGTAACGGTTTTGCGTACACACAGATACGGATGCACGGAGGTACCGCTCGCGTGACGTCTCCGCGCTCGGCCACCGATTTTTGTTATTTTCGTACACCGTCCGTATTTCATTATTAGTTATTATTATAATAATAATACACGGTTACGATTCTCAACACTGTACGTGTAACTGTACAATATTATAATACCGGTTTTCAAAACCTAAACGCAATTCAATCGGCTCTTTTTCCCGAACCGTGTTAATAATTATTGCAAATACCGTTCAGGGATCGCACCGCACACAATAATATACCTGTCGAGTTTACTTGCAAATACCTAGGTACATACAATTTGCGTTTCGGTTAGGTAGTGATTTTGTTTTGCCCTGTTCGTTGTTCACCACTGGCGCCGTCGTTTTTACCGCGACGACGTCGTTTCGACGGTATACCTATTTTCCTGTATGCCGATCAGCCCGTACCGTCCGGAAAAGCTAACGGACCGCGTCGCCAACATGCAAGTGGAGGACGCGTATTTCGAGGGCATCAACTTAAAACTGGCCATGGACATCAAAATCAAACGTACCGACGGTGAGTGGATATACCTACTTACTACTACACGTCTTCGCACTTAAGTAGAAATAATCGTACTCGTGTTTAGTATGTAATGTACCCGCGGACGTGGACGCATAGGTATTAAAATTAAAAAAAAAAACATGCTAGTTATTGGTTGGTTTTGATAATTCGAGAACTGTATCGGTATCCACTGTGCACCATTGTCGTTAAAAGTTATGGTTATTTCGTCATTCTAGGCTGTTGTATGTCCCATATGCTGGCCATGTACGGGTATGTTTTGGACTGTTAAATGTGTGTTCGGCCAAAACTCCACTGATTATGAATGTGTACAATTGCAATTCATTGATAATTTTTTCATCCCTTTAATAGTTGTATTACAGTATTACTTTGGAGCATTGAAATATTCATAGAAGGAACCAATTTGTGAAATTTTGTTGTTGATTAGGTGTATTGATACTCTAGTTGATACCTAGGTACCTTCATACATTAAAAATTGTTTTATCTAAAAAAAATTGTCCACTTTGATATTTTTGTTGAAATTATTTGCTTAATTTCAAATTTATCCTAAAATCAAATTGTTAAGCACAGACAGTACCAATTTATACCAGAAGATAAATCACTATGTAAATAGAACAAATGAACCAATATTTGGTAACCGGGAAAATCTTTGGTAATCATTGAGAAAATTATGATATTCTGGAATCTGGTATATACGATATTTATCAGTGATTTACCTGCCCTAATTTTATGAGACTATAATCAGAACTAGGTAAAATTAATAATCATAATTTGGCAAATCTTGCTTAATCTTTTACTAGTTATAAGAATTTACTCATTTATGTTGACTATTGATAAAGTATCTAATTTTATAAGTAGGTATATATACTGTATATATCTACTATATCTACTCATTCGTTAGGCTTATTGATAAACATTGTTTAACTTGACATAATTGAAATGTACCTACCCATGTTATTTGGAGGATGACATTTTGTAGTGGCGTTTAGCCAATTTAAATGTTTGCTAAAAATTCTAATGTATTCTTGTAGATGGATAATGTTAAACTAAAAATCAATATGTAGAACTCTACCTCGGAATTTTACCAGGAATTTTATTATTGAAACAAATTTAGATTAGATTTGTGAAATTTGTTGAGAGTATATTTGATTTTTAACTTGACAAAAATACTGAAAAAATAGATAGGTATCTAGGTACTTTATACGTTTAATTTGTATTATGTTGGTCTTAATTTATTGTAGGTATTTGTGATTAGTGTTTCTAACCAAATTAAATCTGTATAAATTAAACAATGTACTATATGTACATAGTAACTATTATGTTATTGGACCTTAATGTAGTGGTATTCAACAGAATATTTAATATATTTATGTAATAATATAAATGTATTGCAATGATAATAATCATACATACTATTTTAAGATATTAGTTAATAATATTGCAGTAATTCTAAAAAGCAAAGCTTGTGCTGGGGGATCATCTCTTATACAAATAAAATATCAAACAGTATTAGAAACAAAATTAGAATAAACCAATAGAGGAAAACAATATAGGTACTAATTATAACTATCAACAAAATAACAAAGAAGTACTTTTCATCAACAACAAAACTAATACCAATGTAGTGTATTATGTATATATATATAATAAAAACCGAGATAAAACAAAATTAAGTTCTTACAAAAGGAAATAAATAAACAATAAATCATATTTTTATTATTACTTATATAATTCAAATTTAGGGGAAAAAGATGATTATTGCAAATTAATACAAAAGGTTAAATACCTACCTAAATAATTTTAAAATACTAATGATTAGCGAATAAAATATTAATAATAACAAAATTATTAGATATACATCTATATATAGGGAATAAGGAAAAGAGCATTAGAGGCGAGTATTGAAGAAAAAAAAAAATACAAAAATTGATTAATGATTGTAGGAAATCACTATTGATGTGAATTGAGGGGGTGTGTGAGTATGTTGTGTTCGATTGTATTGGACTTAAACCTGTGGTTGGCAAAATTATAAAAAACAAGAGCGTACAGGAGTGTAGCTATACAGAACATATTGGATGCCATTTGTGCTTGATTGATCAGAGGAATTTCCTTTGGATTCATCATATTTTTCTAATTTATTATTTTAGATTTCTAATGTTCATAATAATATTGTACAATTTTAAAATTACATTTTTGAAAAATTCACTTACTGTTAGATATACAGGAGATATTTAGTTTGTGATTGAATAATTTATCTACAATAATGTATGTAATAAATAAAAAAATTTATTTATGTTTTTGTCTTATACCTACTTTGCATTATTATTTTTTAAACTATTTACCTATGTATTAATTTACAATGGGGCTATTTTTGCCATTGTCATGATACAGGTACTTTATTATTCTTAAAAAAAAAAATATACCTACCACATTGTATCTTGCACCTCTACCCTCATAAAGGCATAATTTTTTTAAATTTTGTGGTACATTAATATAAGTATTATGAAATGTTATTTTTAAACTTTATAAATTTACATAACAGAATTTGAATGTGATTTTAGAAGTAAAACACCTAAATGACTAAGTATGTTACATGCACTGTAGGTATTTAAGCTAATGACAATGACATTAAAATTGTTTATAAAAATTTGACTGTCGAAACATAAAACACAGTAACTAATATTTTACAAATTGTACAGTAGAGCCATTTTAGTAATTTGTCCAACACAGGTTAGGGGTTATTGCAATTTCTATGATTAATTCCAAAGGTAATACAAATATTTTGACCAAAAGTGTGTAATATCATAAAATTTGTTCAATTTAATTCTAATAAAAATTAATATTAATACATGAAAAATTATAAAAATGTTGGTTGGTAACTATGTATTATGATTTTATTGTTGAATACAATACCTACTCGCCGGATGCCTGTTCATCCAAAAAATATAGAAAACCAGCTGCCCACCAACTAAACTGCACAAGCAATTAGCTCTATTTTCTAATTTTGAATGAATAACCATAATGATATAATGTATTATGTTTATTAGATATGTATTAAAACCATTATTTCATATTCTTTTTGAATAATTTGTTTTATTTCGTTCTACTGTATTTTATAATATTTTTTACTGGTTTATGTGAAAAATTATACAAATTGCTGTGCTTTTCTTATTGAAATATACAGGTGTTCCGCTCTAAAGAAAACTAATTATGTATCTTCACATTGTCTTACTTTATTGCACCTTTATATTTTTAATTATATTGCCAGTATATATTTACAAAAATCCAATTCTAAGATGTCCTCATAATGTTTTTTTAAAATGCCAACTAGGAGTTAGTTTTTTTTTTGTAATTGAGGATAATACCAATATAGTATAACTGTGTAGTGTGGATATATAAATTAAAACATTTTATAGAGTCAGTGGATGTAACCATTTAAAGTCAACTACCATAAGTGGGGGTATTTAGAGTATATGTATACATATGTTCTTAACAGTTATCATATTATCTAATATCTATGTATGAGACAGTATTTTTAATTTTTTAATTTCTTTAATTCTGAAAATTTGAATTATTCACTATTTATCCAGTATTTAGTACCTACTTAATCTAAATACGTTATTTTTGCTGTTTTTTATAATGGTAGTTAAATTTTTTTCCTGCAATTCATTCTATAACACTAATTGTGTGCATATTTATTTTATTTTTATATACTCTTATAATTTTTCGACTTGTCCTGTATGTTTAATAAAATAATTCCACTTGGTAACAATTCCAAAAGTATCGTAAGTAATTAATAAACAAAAATACATACAAATAGTTGATAATAACTTTACTATACATACATTATGATAAATGGTTACTTTCATGTCATTTAGAAAATAAAACCTTTTGATAGATGAATAGATTCATCATTATTTTTGCAATATCCTTTCAAGCTAAGTGGAAGCTCATTTTTGTTTTGAAGTACCCCATAAACATATATTTACCTAATGTGCTGGGAATCGCCCCAATTTGTTAGTTTATACAGTTTTCACTGTGTTTAGCAGTTGTATGGAAAAATTTAAGTTAATTCAAATTTGATATAAGTTTTCCATTCATAATTGCATTATGGATAAAATGTTTTCACATTTCTTTTTGAACAATAAACAGAATCATCTGAGAGAGTAAAATAAAACAATAATTTTACGGAAATCACGTAATTCTCATATACATTATTGTTGGCAGTTGATACAAAAAATTTAACGAATTACGAAAATTATAGTAAATCGGTTTTGACACCAGTCAACCAAATGTAAATTTCTTATCACATAGTTTCCACTTTTTTTTTTTACAAAATAATCAAAACCTGTACATGTAGGTACAATTATGCATTTATCTACCTAAGATAGCTACATTTTTAATTTATGAAGTCAGGAATACTAGTTTTAAGAACAATTACCAAATGATTCGTCTTTAGTAGGAAATTCCCAACCTTAATAAATATTCGAGTAAGTATTGAACTTGTGTGATAATTGTACTTATTTAACAAAGAACTAAAAACAGTTTTCTTCCTCTTTGTCTTCACCTCACTCAAGTATATACAACTACTCACAAAGCTACTCTCAGTAAGAATATGAGTATATTTTTAAAAATATCAAAATTAATACAGAACAACTAGGTAAACCACAATATTTGTTTGTAAGCTATTGGTTATAATTGCCATCTAATTCAATTATTAAATATTAATTATAACTTAAATTACTATTGATTAAAATGATAGTACACCTAGTATGTTACTAAACGTTAATTATTTATTTTTATGGTTAAGTGCTTAATACAATTTAAAAATAAAATTATTTACTAATAAATTATATTTTTTGTTATATAAACTGTGTTAAAAATAAAGTCATTTTTTTTTTGTAATTTAAAATATGTATATATTTTCTTTATATTGTTAGATATTAAACTTTAATTAAATTTATGTACAATTTTAATTGTATTATATATTTACTTTTCCTCGTATAATTTAGGAGGATAATACTTTTTATCCTTAAATAATTGGATTAAAAAACATAAAGTATTTTAAAATTGTTTTGTGCTAGTAGGTTTTTTCTATGTATATATATAATAATAATAATTAGAGAAAAAAATGATTCTGTGGAGTATTTTTTTTTTTTAATTATTTGGTACCTAAGTTAGTAAAAACAATTGATATAGGTATATTATGTTCAATATTGTGAATAAATATATTGCATTTTCCTTCACTTTTTTTTTTTATGCTTATACCAATAATTTTAAAAAGTATTAATTTAATAATTTTAAAATTTGTTTTATTGATTACTACCTATATTTAATTTGTGTAAGTTGGTTATTTATACATTTTTTTTGTTTTTTATATTCATGATAATTTTTACTACCTACCCTTCTAGGTAGGTATGTATTGTTACGGAAATATTTTCTGAAATAATGGGTAGGTAAATGTATGTATTTTGTGTTTTGGGTGGGTGACAAGACAACAGTTGTTTGACCTTCAGTAATATCTTCTGTAGGCGGCCTGGCAGTCACAAGACCATATAAGGAGGTCCAGAAAATGCAGACTCTAACGTAAGGGCCACTGTGTACTGTAGTAGGTCTCGACTCTTTTGTTTCAATAATATCAATGTTTAAAAAAAATTAATATTGTTAAAATGCTACAGGTAGTACTCACTTGTCCAGTATAAGATTAATAAAATTATTCTGAAAGTTTTTTTTTTTAAACTACCTAGATTATATATAATTTGTAATTATTTAAGTTGAAAGATATGCAAAACAAATATTATGCAATTGTTTATTTCTGTGTACTAATAATAATATTTTGTTTATATAAATATATATTTTAATTATAACTTGGTAATATTATGGTTATGAACTATTCAGAAACAATATTGTTTTGTAGGTATGCGATTTTGTAGTTATCTATTGTTTATACAAATACAAAAAAGTTTATTGATTAATACAGAGTAATACCTATTATACTTAAAATTACCTCATATGTATATAGGTCCAAAAAAATGTTAGCCAAACATAATTAGTTTTTATAAATTTGTTTTTTATCTTTTAAAATTGGTTATTTTTTAAATATACTAAAATACATGTTAGATATTTATTAAAATTTAAAACTACTACCTACCTAATCGTGTAAAAACATGAAACTTCCTACACATTATGAATGAAAATGAATAATTTCAATTGATAACCGTTGAAAGCAATTAATAACTTTTTGGTTTGACCATATTTATACAATTAAAATAAAATAGATACTTAATACATTTTTAAATTTATGTAATTCTTTTGAATATTATACCAGGTATTATAATTAAAATTCAATGGAATCAAAGAACCATTTCTATACCTACCTAAAAACATAACTAAATATTTTAACATATTATAACTAGTATTTTACTTAAATTTTTTATATTGTATAAGTATAAACATATATTATTGGTAAAAAATGTATATGGTTTTTCATGTTATCTAATTTCTCAAAATTATTTAATTGGATAAAACATACTTTTCTGCATGTCTACTTGTATAATTATTTTCAATGAATATGTTAAAATTATTTAAAAAGGAGCAAAAAACTTTGTAAATATTAGAAGAAAAAAAAACACAACATGCAAAAGTATTAATTTATTATTATAATTGGAATTATAGTAGACACAATGGTTCATTAGTAGGTATTTATATTATCTTAAATAGAGTTGATGTAGTATGTAGAAGAAGATACAAGAGAATATTCAGTTAAAAAATATAAAAATAATCATTAGGTTTATTATGATTGACAGTTTATAATTATTTAAAAAATTATTTGTTAAACATTATTTTATTTGTTTAATATAATACTAATAGTAGGTAGTTAAATTTCCTTTTAAACAACAATGGAATTATAACTTAACTGTCATGTCATAGTATGTTCAAATAAGTTGATGTGTGTGAGTGTATTTAAGAAATACATTTTTATTGCAAATAATTTACAATTAATATGAATATGATACAACAGAGTTCATCAATTTTAACATGTACATATACTATAAAATATATAAGTAAAGTATTAAGTATTAGTTCGTTTTAGAAGAATATTAAAAAGTAATTAATCATAATATGGGCATCTTTGAGAACATAAATAATTCATTTCAAAAAAAAATACTTGTATTTTAAGGTTTCATCAATCAATATACGTTCTTATACATTTTGTATAGACTTATTATAATGTAATATATAGGTACCATTATTCTAGTTATACATATGGATACTTAGTTTTAGTTATTTTCCTAATGAAGATTTACTATAGTAATTGTACAAGATTATGTGTTTATTAGGTAGGTACATTATTTTATTTTAATACAGGGTGATCAATTTATCACGAACATCAATTTTCTGGGAAGGTTTAAAGTGAATTTGATTTCTGATTTTTTTTTTTTTTGCAATCATGGAATGGTATAGAGAACACTATTTTAGTTTTTTAAATTTATCACTCATACCTTGAATGAGTTTTCATAATACGTATAATTTTAAAATAGGGACAACCCCATAATTAAACGCAGTGTTTTGTATAGAAAATATTTTTCTAAAAGTTTGTTTGTACATATTATCGATATTTTTAGAAAAAAAAATTATGTGGGATCTTATTTTAAATTTGTATACTCATTTCAGGTAGATATAAAGAGTTAGAGTAAACAATTTAAAATTGTATTCAATTCTCCGATTGAATCTATGGTTCAGGATCACTCTGTATAGCTAGTGTTTTTTTTTTCATTCTATTCATTAAAATATGTATGTATTTTTACTGATCGGTTTTTGTTGAATGAGTTAGTTGTGCCAGTGTTCACTGACTTCACTTGTTAGTATGTAACAAAGAGATTAAATAAGTGCCCTTATGTGTAACAACTTCTGATTAAAGATTTCGTATTCTAATATTTTCTTAAATAGGGTTATTCCCAGAGTTTTTTTTTTTCGTCGTGACAATTTTATATTTAAAATCCATATTCTGTTATTATTAACGCAGTTGTTATCATTGAACTTATAAAATATTATCAGAAATTCTATTATTAGTTGTGTTTTCCCTCGTTATTTTACGTTGTTTAGTAGTGTGGAACAGTATAGAGTCTAAACGAGTAACGCAGCACTGTTCCAATCGCTCAGCTATTATTTATATTCAGTTTAGTTACTATCAACGAAATGATAGTGCATAATAAAGCATGTCTGTGGTTGTAGACTTTGTAAACATTAACGTTTTTTGTTAAAATGATTTGTGTCCAAACTGTATTCATTTCAGTATAATCATACACTTATTGAAACCACTACTATTAGTAAACCGTTATTCATGTTTATCACAGTTCAACATAATTTTACTATGTAAAAGTGATGTAAGGTCAAGAACTCCTAGGAGAAATATGCTCGGAGAAAACTGACGAAAAATAAAAGGTAACCGATAGTTTTATTATTATTACTGTCTACAGAGAGAAATTTAACATTTTAAACAAAATAAAGGATTATTTTTTTTAATCTAACCTTTAACTTTTTTTTCACGTATACACGGGCATTATTATTTATATCTGACCGTAATTTCGTTTATCACCATATAGATACGGATAAATAACACACGTGCGGTATACAAAAGTGAAATTATTGAACTTTTCGTTTTTTAAACTTCGGTTCAATGGAAATTAATTTTTTATTACGCCGTGACAAGTTCAAGGGTACACGAGTTCAATAGTATTATTATATTTTTGTATGATAAACATTTATTATATCGTTGAAAAAACATTATCACAATTATTACGGTATTATATCGTTTTGCGTAAATTAAAATTGTAGGTTTATATCAAATACGATTGTTGTTAAAAAGGCGTGAAATGAAAGTTTTTAAAAATCCGGATCTGCTTCGTTTGAAATAACGAACCAGCCTGTTAATTTTTTTTAAACTCTTATCGTCCGCAAATAATACTCTCATATTATATTGTGTAATAATTGCATACATGCGGGCTTTCTTCTTTATACACGATGTTTAATTCGGATCCGTATACCGGTAGGTATGATTGTAATCCACGTGCGTGTTGTCACAGGTGCATTTAGATCTCTATAAAAGAACATGCACAACCAACATTGAACAAATCAAGAAATCCTTGAAGGGTTCTGAATTCTTTCCAAATAAGGTTGTAGGTCATGGTAGTATTGTATTAACATCATCTTTGCAAACTGCAGTAGCGTATTACACTTGAGAAGTATCCTATGATTTTAAAAATAATATATATATATCTATGTATAATATTTTTTTCGTTCGCTTAAAATAATCCTAATATTATACTCGTAGAGGTATCTAAATCCAATAACTTCGGTATACGAATATATTACACGTTTATCGGTTATCACCAGGGCTCGGGACTTTATACCGTTAAAATCCATGAAAAAAGGTTGAAAATGCACTTGAAACAAAAGTGGTAGTATGTTTTTAAAAGCCCCCTCCCTCTAATGGCACTAACTTGTGCAATACAATTTTCGAACACTACACTAATTATTAACACAAGTTTTTAAATAAAATTGTAAGTATTATAAAATAATGAAAATTACACTTGTTAGATAAATGCAATTAATGGTCGGGGGGTGAACATTTTAAACTCCTCTGGGCTCTGTTATTTTTTGCTTTATAGAATATAATTTTCAGAGCCCTTTTGACGTTTTGAAACTGTTTTCTGTGGATTTCAAGTGCATAAAGTACCGAGCCCTAGTTATCACTAAACCATAAACGCGATGAATTAATTATAATTTTCGAAAAAATGGTCATTAATAGGTTGGTAAACAAATTATTTCACAAACGCCTATATAATATACATGGGATATTGGTTACCATTGGGTTTGACGAACGTAAAAACGCAGCAGCTGTTGCAACTTGTTAATTAATTTTATGTATATTCTGTATACATATAGTGTACGGCTTGGATGGAAAAAAAAAATAGTGCCAATGCTGATCGATTTGGAGTTTATTTTTAACGTGTGTTAGCATGGCCTCCAGACGTTATTCATCCTAATATTGTGCGCTATTACTACGGGGTGGGGGCTGCTTTGTGCCTGGTACGATTCGCGAATCGTACTTTACGGACAACTCCGCCAGTATTGTACGTACCCAATGGAATCATTGGGCGAATCGGTCAATTGAAAGTTTCGCACGTTCATTAAAAAATAAATTTGTCGTGTATGATTAATAAAAAAAAAAAAAAAAAAAAACGGTGACAGTTTGTATTTAATAAATCCGTCCTATCCGTCAGTCAGTTGTACTTGTGAACCGATCGCGAAAAGAGTTAACCGCATAGTACCTATATAATATTATTATAGTACCTATTCTACATTAAAACCGTATTGTTTTTGCGCACCTCTCTGGCGTTGTGTTGGGCGGTCGGGTACCCGAGTTTTGTTTTCGCGTGAAATCATGTCGTGGATCAAGAAGAGCCTATCGTGTTTTCGATGTGACAACGATAACAGATGCGAGTGTGGTAAAAAAAACGATTGTAAATCCGAGGTATCCGACAAAAATATCCAATGCAATTTTGACGAAGAGTTCGACGATAGTGATAAGGGTCAGTACTTGTCATATATACCTACCCTAAACACGATTTTTGTTGCGCACAATCGGCTAGATTTTTATTTTATTTTTTTTTTTTTCAAAATTTGTCGTATAAACCATTCTAGTATCCGGTTATTTCGTATTTTTTAAATTATGATGCTGTAAATATTGTGTTGTGGGGTGACGATGTCGGTACTGCCTCCCAGTCATGGAATAAATATTGTTGTTTTGCACTTCTTTCATATCGTTTATAATAAGAAAATAATTTGTATCAGTTTTCCAGGAGTAGGAGCATTGTTTGGAACCCGAATAAAAAAAAAAAAAAAAAACAAATTATATATTAGAGATAATTTTCTATGAACATTTTGATTGTAGTGCTGGTTTATTAATTTATTGTTATTGAAAATTTAGACGGGTTGAGCGAGGGGAAGTGTTACCTATTTAAAAATAGAATTGGTTTATATTCGTTGTATTTACGACGATCTGTATAATATTTTTGATAGTAGTACAGATAACGTGGAATAATTTTGTATTGGGTAATTTTTTATTATCTAACTTGTTCCATTGAATGAAAAGCAATTTTGTCTGTTTATTGTCGTGTCGACATATTTTTAAAAACGTTACACAATTACATCCGAATAATCAGGCCATCCTTAGGATTTGAAAGGCCCAGGTCGAAATTTTTAAATATTTCCATATTTTATTTTGTTTTAATTCGTATTTCCTTTTGAACGCTAGGCCCCAAATCTAAGTAAAAAGCGCGAGCATTCCCCCCTCCCTTCACTCTCTAATGACGACTCCGCGAATAATAATTGTCGTGTTTACACAGAGGAAACCATACTGATTATTAATTTAGCGCGTATAATGCGAAATGATCGCATTCTGTGATGAAGGCGTGTCATTATATTATTATTATGACGAATCTTGTCGTTTAAAGGCGTGTCGTGTAAAGGGTGCCTAATATACCGAAGTCATTGCACACGGATCGTTTATTAATCGCGAGGCAAGGAGTTTTTTTTTTTTTTTTAAATCGTTAATTCCGTAAATTATTATCATCGGCTTTTCCTAATTACTTTATTTAGCTGCGTAAAAACCAAAGTCATTTGAATTGGTTTAGTTTTTTAATAATTTGTGAATGCGTACACGCGGCCTAGTTTCTTAGGGTACGGTTATCATTATGTAATTGTGTTACAGTAACGACGATTTTCTTACGAGTTTCGCCCGGACGATAATCCGATTGCTTATCGTGAACTTATGTAAAAATACCGTAAAAATGCTTGATTCAATGCCTACTGTCATTGATTTAATCAATCGCTATAGTTTTGTAAAATTATGATCCGTACCATATTATAAATAATAACACGCGACACGTGCATCAGTTATTAACGCTTATAATTTAATCGAAACATTATTGATACTAGTACGGAATTACTTTACTTAACCATTTAAACTATTAGCGACACATTTTTATGCAAGACGTATTATAACGGCCAATTGAATGTATTTGGTTTTCGTATCTTTCGGTTCGCCACCGACCATGCCGGTGTATTGGATTTTAATTATTAATTCGGTATATAATAAGGACTATGAACATTTGAAAGTTTCGATAACATTGATAAGTACCCAAGTATCTAATACGAATTCAACTAAGTACAAACATATAACTATAATTTTTCATTTAAAAAAAATAATAATAATAATAATCGGGAAATGATATTATTATTTTTATTTGATTTGTATTTACGAAATACAATTTTAAAAAAGAGAAAATAAAAATTAAAAAAAAAAAATCACTTTTTGTATACTATGTATCTTCCATGTCAAATTTTCAATAAATTCGATAGTAATCTATGTTGTAAAGTTTTTCGATCATTTTTCCCTGTACAAACGCGATTATAGGTCAGAATCCGAAGTATAATTATTTTATAATTTTTAACGTACGATTGTAAAGTCCAGATTTCAAAATAAACGCACGCGTTAAATAGTTAAGGTTTGTATATTTTTTTAGGAAGAATAAAAGTATTTTAATTTTCTAAAACATTAAAAAATAATTGGGTATTAAATAGGAGGTATTCACTGCCTATAATAATATATGTTTTTGGTTGTAACGAGGTCATACTCATGTGTTGTGGTCATTTTATCATGTTTATGATGATCTAAATCCGTTACCATAGTTTCCGTAGGTATAATAGTTTATAAGTGGGTTGTAGGCCCTTTCCTTTAATATTATACAAATTGTACATGTATAAGGGTTTAGGCCCTGCCTGCCAGCTTGTTGTTTCCTGTTTATAAATATGTTCCTATGGGCAACCCTGTGCAACATATTGTATTAGAACCATATAAAAAAAAATGTCAAGTTCATTGCCATTGTGGTAATGAAATTATAATTCACTTTCGGAATTTCTTTTAAAAAGTTTATGAAGTAAATATAGGTTTAATTTAAACGAATTGTAAGGATTATTATTCTAATACTAAAATGTATTAAATAACTTAAATTCAATACAAATAAGTTTAAAATTATATAAAAATAAAGACAGATGATATATATTATGTACTGATATTTTTTTTTAGATGGATTTAAATATTTGATCACAGTGAGTTTTCAATAAGTCAAAGTGAATTTTTACATTCATTTTAACAAATATTTGTTTATTATTGCGTTTTTAATTATATATAATATCAAAGTCTCAATAATCACGCCATTTATTATTAACTGCTGTTTTATGCATGTACTTAGTTTCAATCAATTTTTCTTATATATTAATAATTGATGTAAGAAATAATTTTAGATTTTTTTTAAATTAAATTTTCAATTATTTTCAGGTCGTATTCACAAAGCAGTTGTATCTAGAATGAACACTGATACTAGAAGTATTTCAGTTGAGTGGTTAGAAAATGGCGAAACAAAAGGCAAAGAGGTAGTTAACAATTTTTTTGAAAGTAACGGCATATATCTTTGGGGGAAAATAAAAATTTTTTTGTTTTTGGTTTTTTACAGATTGATTTAGATGGAATCTTAGAACTAAATCCTCAACTACGTTCAAATATTCCCACTATTACTAATTTGGTTGCTCAAAATGGTACTAATATACCTACTACTAGCAAATTAGCAAGGGTAAATATACCTAACTTTTTATTCATTATGAAAGTGATTCACATTTGTTAATGTGGATCTTAGAAATCAAACTGAATTTGTCATGATTATTTTAATTTTTCAATTTATTTAGCTACTAGTTTGCTACTATGATAGCTCGATAATTACAATATTTTAAGTTTTATACTTTGATTTATTAATGTAATTTTTATTTAAAATTATTTAATTTATTTTTTCGTATTTAAATCAAATTATTAGATATTATTAGATATTTCCTCAAATTGTAAAATAATTTCTTGAGAATTTGATTTGTTTTGTAAGTTAAACAGTTTCCATATGGCAATTTAATATCATAACATAGTTTAACTATTTAATGTTAAAAAATAGTAACAAATTAACTATTTGTTTTATTTTTATGAAATTTGAATACTTAATTATTTTTTTTTATACATTTGTTATAATATATAATTAATGAATGGTAATAATCCAATAATGTTTATTTTTAGTATTCCACAAAAGCTTCAATACAAGCATTTACAAATAATAAAGGCAAGTATTTATTTTATTTGTTTAATTTAGACATTTGTATACCCTGTCCAACTTAAAATTATACCCGTTAGCACATACCTGACTGAGCACTGAATGTTGCCGGACCTACTTGATCGATCTGAAACAATTATTATTGATCAAACATCGTCGCCATACAATTCTGTACACTAGGCACTATCATCGTGGCTACTACCGTCGTGTATACAGAGAGTTATAATTTCTATCGCCAAATAAATTGTAATATAAGCACATACCTATACTGTTTCAGTCAAATTAATGGGCAACATAGAAAAATCACATCATTTAAAACATAAATTGTAGCATTTATTCAAATTAAAACACAGAGCATTTGTGTAAGAAAATATGTTTATGTGGTTTGACCATTAAAACAAAATGTTAATGATACTTTGATCTCTATGTAGGTCATGTACAATGTGTATTGGTGGTGGCGAGATGTTAGGCGGGTGAGTGGATCAAGCGGTACCAATATTTATGAGTGGGAACACATGCACGAAAACTGACTTGTTTTTGTCTGTTGCTTGGGTATTCTCTTAACTCTTAAGTTGGACAGGGTATAATTATGTTGTAATATTCATATTACACATTTGTATTATATTAAAAACATTTTTTTTTTTTTACAAATATTGTCATAGGAAAATGTTGGTAGGTGATTTGAATATTATATTAGTTATCTAAAATATAAGTACTTGTTTACTTATTTATTTGAAAAATACCCAAGTGAGAAAAAAACAAAACAGTCGTCTTGAGTTGTTTGATTTTTATAACTAGGGAACGGATTTATATGTACTAAAAATGCGCTTAAATCTTCAAAAGAGCACTTCATATTCAAAATATCAAAAGTAGTAAGGGATTTTAAAGTCCCCACCTTAATGGTTCTAACCCTATTATATAAAATTTTCTTACACTGATAGATGATAAACACAAAACATTTTTGTTTTTATAAAACACGTACGAATATATTTGAAGAAAATTAATTTGTAATGATCGTTTTTTTAGTATTAAAAAATTATTTTTAATAAGTTAGAAACAATAGACAGGGAACCTTTTTAAACCCTTCTACCTGTATTGTTCTTTCAAATATTTTTAAGTGATTTTTTTAGAGCTTTTATGGCATTTTTAAGTGCTTTTATTGTAAATTTTAAGTACATATAACTCCGTTCTTTATAACTAATGTTTAAAACAACAATATGTTTTGTTTTAAGAGTGATAAGTTTTCTTAATCATTCAGTTGACATAGTTCTTAACAAATTATCAGTGCTTTTAAGTGTCCAGTCTTAGTTAGGTTTCTCTGAATTAAAACTACAAACTATTTTTTATCGATAACATTAATTAATTACAATTTATTAAATCCATTTAGGTTCATATAAAGGAACAAAACCAGTTAGTAGACAGACCAATCATTATTCACCAGCAGTGAATGGCTCTGGTGAAGTTTTATCAACAACAGTGCCTTGTACACCTTTAAACCCTCCATCCCAATATCAACAAATTCCAGTGTTAAAACCTGCTGATCCACCACCACCCCAGACTCAACTTACATATTTATACAGCAACAACACTGCTGGAATAACCCGTGCACCCAATGCTGCAACAACAAATACAGCAGCAGCAGCAGCTGCTGCTGCTGCTGCTGCAGCGAAAGACAGACGAAGTAATGTAGTTAAGGAAGTAGCAAAATTAAAAAAAAATCGGGAAGAAAGGCGACAGCGACAAGCTGAATTGAAAGAAGAAAAAGAAGCTTTAATGAATATGGATCCTGGTAATCCAAATTGGGAATTTCTTGCTATGATAAGGTTTGTTGACTAGTTTATAATTAGTTTTATCTATTATATATTAAAAACAATAACAACTAACACTGATATTTGTTATATTTTAGAGATTATCAATCTAATTTAGAGTTTAAACCCTTAAGAGATTCTGAAGTAGTTGAAGATCATCAAATAACTGTATGTGTCAGAAAAAGGCCACTCAATAAGAAAGGTATATTTTAATTTTAAATGTATCTCAAATTTTGTATCACTATTATAACTTGCAGAATCAGGCAAATCGCATAGAACACTGAAAAAAAAAAAAAAATTATGTCGATGCACTTCATATAAATGTATACTTTTATTTATTTCTATTATGTAAATCAATATTGATACTATTAATGAAAATAAAACTGACTACATTTAATTTTAATTTTTATAGTAAGTTAAAACAGTAAAAAATAAGGTAGGAACCTGTGAGTTTGACATGCCTGTTGTACATAATTAAAATATTAAATTTATTTATTATATAAACTAAATTGATGAGTTTTGAACCTATCAGTTACAGTTTTATTTACTGCTTATTTTTAGTTTTATTTTTATTGTTTTATATTTCAGAACTTAATCGAAAAGAAGTAGATGTTATTGCGATTCCCTCTAAAAATCAGGTTATTGTGCATGAACCTAAAAACAAAGTCGATCTGACAAAATATCTAGAAAACCAGCATTTCAGATTTGATTATGCCTTTGATGAAACTTGCAATAACGAAACAGTTTATAAGTGAGTCAACAAAATATTTTTCATTCTTTATTATGATTTGTCAAAAAGTCTTGTATAATAATAAATACCTATTTAATAAAAATATACAATTTTGAACTAGATTTTCTGCAAGACCTCTTGTGAAAACTGTATTTGATGGTGGTATGGCTACCTGTTTTGCCTATGGACAAACTGGAAGTGGTAAGACTCATACCATGGGCGGAGATTTTCATGGCAAAACACAAGACTGTAAAAAAGGCATTTATGCAATGGCTGCTAAAGATGTTTTCCGGTTTTTAAATTCACCTAATTACTCACCATTAAATTTGGTTGTTACGGCGAGCTTTTTCGAAATCTACAGTGGCAAGGTAATTAAGAATTATAATTATTTATTTATTTTTTTATAAATGTTTATTTTTTTTAGGTATTTGACTTGTTGGGTGATAAAGCTAAGTTAAGAGTACTAGAAGACGGTATGCAAAAGGTACAAGTAGTTGGTCTTACTGAAAAAGTGGTTACTACAGTAGAAGAAGTATTGAAATTAATTAATGATGGTAACAGTGCCAGGTAAACAGATTTTTTCATCAATAATTATTTAATAATATTTACTGTTATGACATACAAATTTTTGTTTTATTATTATTCATTTTTTTTTCAGAACTTCTGGCCAGACATCAGCAAATAGTAATTCATCAAGGTCGCATGCTGTTTTCCAAATTGTACTGCGTATACCTGGTCTGAACCAAATACATGGAAAATTTTCACTTATAGATTTAGCTGGAAATGAGAGAGGTGCTGACACAGCATCATCTAATCGTCAAACACGTAATATTTTTTAATAATTTGTTTATTTCTTTGTATAATAACAGTATAAAATTATATTTACTGCAGGAATGGAGGGCTCAGAAATTAATAAATCTCTTCTTGCACTAAAAGAATGCATTCGTGCCTTAGGAAAGAAAGGTTCTCATTTACCTTTCAGAGCAAGTAAATTAACCCAAGTACTAAGAGATTCTTTTGTTGGTGAAAATAGCAAGACTTGTATGGTGAGTATTGTGTTGAAAAATCTTAAATATTTTTTACAATATTCTTATGACATGCAAAAATCACGCATTTTAGATAGCAATGATAAGTCCAGGAATGAGCTCATGCGAACACTCTCTGAACACGCTCCGTTATGCTGACCGTGTTAAAGAATTGGACGCATCTGATCCTGCAGCTGGTGGTGATATTGCTCCTATGTATTCTCCCCCAGCAAGCCGTTCTTCAAATATTTCACGCAATTTACAGGATGTCAGCATGGTGAACGATGATTTAGCTGCTCTTAGATCGCTTAATGTAAATATTTGTTTTTAATTTGTCGATTAAGTTAATAAATACACTAAAACTTACGTTTCAAAATATAATTATATAAATAAATAAATTAATGCCTGGAATATTGAGATATGTGTATTTAATGACCGGTTTCAAATTTAAAATTCATCATCAGGTAAATCACAAAGTTAAAACACTAATAAATATGAAAAAATAAATGAAGGCATACATAGAGAAAAAATTGTACAAATTCGTCATTTTACACTGAAATAATTTTTTTTAATAGGAGAGATAATTCAAAAATGAGTTGATTTCTAAATTAAAATCAAACAAGATATAACTTAATAAACAGCTCCAATAAAAACTAAAAAAATAAACCTAATCAAATATTAAAACATTTTGATTTACCTGGTAATGAACTTTTAATTTGAAACTGGTTGTACAATATACATCTTAATACTCCAGGTACTACATTTGTTTATTAATTTATTTTATTATTTTATTATAAAGTATAATTATCTTTACAGGAAGGTGAATTATCTGCTGATTTGTATAATTTCCATGAGGCTGTTTCTCAACTCCAAGAACAAGAAGATGAGATGTTGGACAAACATAAGTCATTATTAGAGTTTGGACATAAATGGTTACAAAAAGACAAGCAGTTGTTGGCTATGTCTAAAAATGTGGATTACGATCAAGATGGTAACGGAGATCAAAAATCATCCTGTTTATTTGTTGTCCTGCAACTTTTAGCTTTACCTATTGCTTATGCTTTCTTTTTTTTTTTTATACTCCCATTTTTGGGATATGGTTACTTTCAAATTTAATTATTAGAGTTAATTTAAAAAAAAAATCTATAATATCTTTGAATTTATAGGTATGATATTGATTCCCTTTTATCTAATCGGTATTATTTATTTATAGTAAATTATTAGGCATGATTTTACATTGCATTTACTTTTGAACGGGTTTTAGTTTTTTGTCTGATTATGCTTTTTAATAGCATTTACCATATTTATTTATTTATACCCTAAAATTATGGCATTATTTAACTATTTTATTTTTTGTGATTATTTTATTTTTTTCAATGTAATCATATATTTTATAAAACTAATTTGAAAACAAAAATATTAAGTTAAAATAATTATTTATACATAGTTATAACTTTAAATTGGCCAAAACACGTTAGTGGGTTATGTTTTTTTTGTCTTTCAATAGGTAACTTAAATTATTTATTTTGTATGTATGATATACTTAATTATTTTTATATATAAACGCAATAAATTTAAAATGTTACATTTTTATATTTCATTTTGGTTATTTCACAAAGGGATACTAACTAACTTTCTTTCACTAATTAAAGACATATTTTTAATTATAAAAATAATTATGGTCATTTAACCTAATAATTTACCAGATAAATAAAAATAAGTTCCATTAACTAACCAGTATAGGATATGTGTTGCTTAAATATACATAGTGTATGGAGTTGAGTCACTAATATAGCAGTTTTAATAATTATGTAACTAGTTCTTTTTTATCTTTGTGTGCATTTACTTTTATTTAATGACTTGTCTATAAATAATGAAAACTGTTCAGTGACATATTCAGTGACTTATCCATTCCACCATTTCTGACAGTATAATATAAAATATAATGTAATTAAAGCATAAATATAAAAGTGGCGTGTTTTGACAACTACATTTACTGTTTTCAGTTATTAATAATGTACTGGCTATCATTCCACCCATTTTTTATAATAAAAAAAAAAAAAAAAATTCACAGTAAACTATACATTTTGGCAAGTAATCGACCAAGTAGTAAACAATGCAGCAAACTGTTTACTGAAAATAGCATTGCCAAAATAAGCCTAATATTAAATATTGTTTACCAAATTGCCATGAATGGGGTTTAAATCTAGTCAACATTTTAATGCTGTTTGTAATTTCTTTTTTTATATTACTGTTAAATTTTATAAAACAAAAATAACTGCATTTTTCTTGTATTTATTTATTTAATATAATTAATTCTATTAAAAGTATTTTTTTTTTTTTTTTATTATTATTATTCCTTTATACTTTATTTTGTTATAAAGACTTGTTATTGTTATTATAAATGTCACAGTAAAATTTGCTCGTAAGTTTACTTTCTTGATTGTTTGTTAACTGCTTGTTGTGATGTGTGCGTAATTTGAAATATATATCAACTCTTAAAGTGTTTCTAATTTAAAAGTGTTGTATTTTTAAACTTGTTGTTTTTCCAGCATATTCGTTGCAACTGCTCAATTTGCTTCAAGAGAAATTAACCACCACTCAAGATTTGGTTGAAACTGTACTTGCGTTCAGAAAGCAATTAACAACTGAGGAGCAATTCAGTCAGAACATAAATAGAGGCGGTCACCGTTGAAAAAAGAAGTTCTCTCATTTTCAACTTATAATCGTTAAATCTTTGTTTTACAAATGTCTGATAATATAGAAAACACAAAATATTTTTATAATTTTATTGTTTTATGAATACTGCTGATATTTAATGTGATTTTTTTCGGTGATGCTACTATTAACGGCCCATAAACACTTAAAAATGTTTATTGGTATTTACCTACTTAAATAATATACTATGTCGCTTAAGTTTTAACCTCTAAGAACTAAAACCTTACTATTATTATGAGCGTCTTACATTTTTCTTCTAACTTTGAAATCCTTAGTTATTTTTTTAAAAATTATTTTATTATTTTTTTTAACAAAAGCATTTGATTTTTATTATAAATTCACATAATTTAATATATATTTATATATATCTTAGAAGTTATTTAATTAATTGTCTTTTTCATATTAATAACAATTGTCGGAAATAGTAAATAGAAAAAAAAATTATTTCACAATACCATTACATTAGTTAAAATTTGTATTTGTAAATAAAAAATTGTAATTCAATAATATTTAAATTAAGAATCTATATTATTACTTTTTTATCATTTTATTTGCTTAGTTATTCAGGCTACAATGTTGGAATGTACTTTTATAACATTCATTTTTATGTAAGTCATGTTTCATTGATTAATAATAATTATTAGAGTATAATTTTTTTAAACAAAATTATTTTGAGTATTTATTTAACTGTTTTACCTATTTTTTTCATATGCTATTTGATCCAATTTCTTTGATGGTATTCTGTACTTAATATTATACACAGCTAACGCACTGTACATTTTAACTGTTTTATATATTGATATAAAACAGTTAATTTATTTAACTTAATTTTAATTCAAATACGTTAATTTATCTGTGATAAATAAATAAACAATATTTTTTATTTTAACAGTTATATTCTAAAATTTTGTTAAACAAATATTTGAAATTAAACGTGAGAAAAAATTTTTATTTTTGATAATTTGTTGTCATAATATGTGTTAATTTTTAAATATTAATTATCAACTGGTTTTATTTCACTAATAAGTAATAATGTTGTGCTTTTTAGTACCCTGAAGGTCCTTAAATATTTTTTATTTTGTAATAATACATCATAATTACAATAATAATAATAACAATTTTTTAAACAAATATATTTTTCATGTTTTAATTCATAGATTTAATTGTCGATATTTTTGATTGCAAACACTTGTTTCCTTTTACTCACTTAAATGGATAAATCATTGACTAATAGAAGTATTTATAAAATATATTTAAATTTATGTTGTTCAGAAAGCATACACATAGAATAGAATATCTATTGATTGTTCTGAGATTTTGGAATACATGAGTTTTTATAAACACTCAATGATATTTAGTAATTAAGTACATTTTACTAACCACTTTTTTTATTTCAACATCAACAAACTATTACAAACAAAAATCAAATAACTCTATAAATACAAAATATATAACAAAAAAAAAATTGCATATACTGACAAAATATTAAAGAAATCACAAAAATTATTCAGTTACTTGTTTATTACACAAAATTTCGATGCAAATTTCACCATTATCAAGGCTACAGCAATTGACATCAATTGTAATGTAGTTTGTAAAGTAAATATTTCATCTAATGAATTTATACTCGATAATGTTTGACCGCTTTGGCAGCAAATATAATTATATGGCATCAATCCTGTAAAATAGATTATGTCATGTTTAAGATGGGTAATTAAATATTTATTTTAATAATACAAATTATTGTTATTTGGGAAACGTACCAAAAAATGTTGTATATGTTAAAGTCCAAAGAGGAATATTAACAATTGGTGCAACTAAGTTTAAAAACCAGTTTGGTGTAATTGGAATAACCCGTAAGACTATAAGTAAATACCAAAGTTGATCTTTGTTTTTTTGTATCTGAAAAATCATCATGGCATAATAAATTAAACACAATCCATATTTGTATAGGTTAACGCATAAATGGAAGTTTCAAATATGTTGTATTAGGTAAGTTAATTATGGTTATGTTTTATTTTGCTTACTAAATTTTCCAGAGAAGATTTTATTTTAGCTATGTAACCAGTGGAGAAAAACTCATTCAACAACTTCTCAAATCCACATATTTTGGATATAACGTAACACATAGAGACCCCTATGCTCGATAATGTGCATACCAAAATGAATCCAATACTGGTGCCAAATAATGAACCCGCTATTAAGTTCTAAAAATTAAGCATTCTAAATCAATAACAGATAGAAGTTTTATTTATATTTATTACACTTACTAATATAAAAGATCCAGGAATGCAAAATGACTGTTTAAAAATATAAACACTACTAAACAACATAAGTACAATAAAGTAGTTGCTGGTGTAATACAGTTTGAGACATGAGTTTAATGCTATGATTTCAGTTATGGTCTTCGGAATTGTAAATTTAATAGTACACTAAATTGGAAAATAAAAAGTATCATAAGTACAGATTATATCATTAATCTCGTTTACAAATATAAATTTATGATGTGGTAAAATACATAGACATAGACTTGATGAATATCAGGTTTTTGGTAAAATGTTACCTACTTGACTATCTGGTAGATTATGAAAGAGTACACTCAACCAAACTAAAAAACAAAAAAATATCGGAACCACTAGTAGCACGCGTAGAAGTGTCATCTGTAAAAAAAAAATCGGTTCAATTAAGTAATATTGAGAATAAACCATACATTTGGAAATTAATTCCTTTTCTTTTTCACAACAAATTATATTAATTAAATTAAATAATGGTGAAACTTGATAAATCAAAATTAATATCATTGTTTATTATTACAATTTATAGTGTGTATTGTTATTATATTAAAATTATTATTAATAAATTATATATGGAATGTACAAGATAAATGTCATTATTTATTTAAATTCAGAGCCCAGAATTTATAGATTTTCTTTCAATTACCCTAGGTTTTTAAAATGGAACAATACTTGTCAAGGTTCCGCTGTTTTGTTATTCTAAATTCAAATAACTTGGTTTATTTTTGTAATATTAATATTATTATCATTCTTAAACATTAGATATTCTAGAAATTATAAATATGTATCATCTGCAACCAAAAAATAAAAAAATCTATGTTTTTTTCATTGTATAAATTGAAAATAAAAAAATAAAATAATATTATTACCAAATTTAAAGAGTAAAAGTCGGTATAAATATAAAATGAACTCCCAAATTAATATTAAGTTGGTGTTAGATAAATTAAAATAATATTGAATAATTTATTATACTTTTTTAGTTGTTTTCATGTATGATAATTTTTTAATTAAAAAATTGTTTAAACATCGATATTAGGACTCTTAAAGGTAGGTAGTCAAATTAATAAAATTGATTAATAATAGTTCAACAGCTTAGCGTATTACAATCGATATTTCCAGTAATCCAGTGAAATAGAAGGTACGTTAAAATAAGTATACTATTATAAGGAGGCACGCAGTTACGTACCTATGTAGTACATATTAAAGTAATACACTAATTCAGTTCACTAACTATAAGTTACTATTACAACGAACATATGCGTACCGGTCATAGATAAGACATTTTTATCATTAAAATGGATAAACAAGGGAGGTTAGGTAGGGGAGGCAGGAACTTTTGTTATTTTTCATTCTTAATGATAACATCATTACAACATTATTCATCAAATATTCCTGGCAAAACATTCATTATTAATATTATAATCTTAATAATTGTAATTCAAAAAGAGAAAAACCAAAAGTTATTAATTTTAACTCATCAACTGAAAAGAGTATTCTACCAAGAAAAGATAAGGATTATCCTGAAGTAAAACTAACACTTACTGAGGTTTGTAATTCTTTGCTTTTCTTATCAAAATCTATTTTTCACAAAGGCAGTGAGAATGAGTTAATGAAATGTTTCAATATAAATTCATAAATTTTGTTTATAGTGTCTATTTTTTAACATTTTTTTTTTTTTTAGAAAATGAGTGAAACATTGAGTGATCCAGTTTTAGGTGAACATAATTATTGTAATTCATCAACTGAAAAAAAGAAATCCAAACAAGATATAGATTATTCTGGAGCTAAAAAACCTTGTACTATGGTTTGTTATTATTGTTAATTGTAATAACTGTTAAGGAAGTTATTTTTTTTATTACTTGTCTATTTTTAGGTCACTGATGATGTTATTGAAATTGAAATGGAAACTCTGGTAATTGAACAAGACGACAGTCTGTTTGGCCAATTAAAAGTACAAAAAAATTTAATTGTTTTACCAAAAAACTGGTTTTGTGATGTAGCCTACAATATTCTGAAACTTCCAGTGGCTATTACATTCTTTACATTAAATAACGCTAGTATTACTAGTAAAAGATATGTAGAAAAACAATTGGTATTAAACTACGGTACTGTATATAATGTATTAAACAATTAAATATATATACATATTTTAATATACGTTTTCATTAAAGCACTGGATATATGATTATTATTTTTTAATAAGTAAAATTATTTCAGTATCAAAAATATTTCAGTTTCAAAAAATAAATATGAATTTTGTTGAGGCATGTTATACCTATTGAATAATAAATTATGTATCTTAATTTAAAATATAAACATGCAATCAAATTATTAACTCGTAAAGATATTGAATGGTTTATAAACTTTATTTTAGATTCCGAAGTAGCTTTTACTGTCAATGGAAAAAATGTAACGCCAATCGACTTTGGATTGAAGAATTACTGTAAACCTTTGGATGTTTTGAGTTTGCAAAATTTAATTGAGGAATTTGACAAAATTAATATCTGCCAAGGCATATCAAAAGAAGATCTAAATATTAAATTGAATGTATTTGAAAATACTTGTCGCTGGTGGCATTCTCAATGTACAAATATTTCTGCAGATACAGAAAGGTATAAACTTTGAATATTATACACAAGTGTTCATTTTGCCTCTCTGTTGTTTTATATTAAAGTAATAATTATAATATGATTATTTTAAAAACATTTATTTTATATTTCAGTTTTCTCTGCTATTCGTGTAAAATACTGAACACTGTGGTGTTGAAAATAACCAAAAGAAATGTCAACAGCAAAAATCATTAAATAATACTATTTGCAAAATCATAAACCGTAATAAATTAAATTTAAATATCAAAATAAATAATTTAGTCGAAGAAAAAAAATGAGTATATAACTTCTACACTAAGAAACCTTAAAACTAAAATATGTGGGAAACACATCATGTAATATTATTATACTTGAAATTTTAAATACCTAAAAGTTATTTTAAAATTAATTAATATAGTGTTTATTGATTGATATTCTGTCTTCTTATATATCGGGGTGGTTATTTTTTACACAAAATACATGATAGAGACAATTTGTTTTATTTCACCGTTCCCCAAATTTTTTTCTCAATTATATTTTACTTAAATATTGATTTTTTTAATATCATAAAAATTATTCATTTTTAAACGTATTACTAAAGTATAAATATTAGATATGTATAGTTATTTTATCTTGATTAATTATTAATTATAGAATTAGATATTATTATTACTCATTAGTGCTATTACTATTAGACATAAGTTAATATATTTTCATGTTGCCACTGTGAATATAATTCTATAAATAAATAAATAATTATCTCTCACAAATATTTTCTAAGACTACCAAGTATACCTAGTGTTTTTCATTGTATATTATAATTTATTAACCTTTGTGTTTTACACAAAATAAATGATAGAGACAATTTGTCTTATTCCACCGTTCCCCAAATTTTTTTCTCTATTATATCTTACTTAAATATTGATTTTTTTAATATCATACAAATTATTCATTTTTAAACGTATTACTAAAGTATAAATATTAGATATGTATAGTTATTTTATCTTGATTAATTATTAATTATGGAATTAGTATTATTAACACTCATTAGTGCTATTACTATTAGATATAAGTTAATATATTTTCATGTAGCTACTGTGAATATTGATTCTATAAATAAATAAATAATTATCTTTCACAAATATGTTCTACAACTACGAAGTATACCTTGTGTTTTTCATTGTGTATTATAATTTATTAAACTTTGTGTTATATCAATAATTTGTGGTTTCCATTAATACAATATTAAAAATAGATAATATCCATAGATAAAAAAATATACTTTATTATCTATGATAATATTATAGTATCATGATTATCAAGAAAAATACATGTTTAAGTTATAAAAAATCTGAAAAAAATACATCATTATTAAAACTTATATTATTATTAAAATTTGAAAAAATCATTAATACCAGAGATAAAATGTCTTATGTTTATCATTGCATTTAAATATTTGACAATGTCTATGACATTGTTATGATCTTTGTATTTTGTGTCTGGATAACACTGAAATGATTGTAACCAAAATCGCGGTTACTTTTGGTTCATCGGGCAGAGGACCCCATGGGTTATAATTGTTATAATATGCTATATGCATGTCTTATCTTAATGTAATGTCTGGTGTATAGATTCTAATCTCCCACCACCACTTCCAGTACTCTAAACTTTAATGTTGTGAATCTTGCTCTAACTATATTCTTCATCGAGTAATGATATTCATGATTACGAATCACAGTGTAGTAAAATACTAAATAGTTAAATAAAGTCTAATCTACTAAATCTAATACTCATAAATATGAATATACTCTACTAGTGCTACCATTATTATAATTAATTCAATTAATAAATTATTAATTTTAATTATCCGTGCCTACTTAATTATAAATTATAAAAAAAAACATGGCCAATGCATGTTTAGTTTGCTTGAGGTCACCAAAATCGAATCCTGATCTTTCATTTCATAAGTAAGTAAAATCTTTAAATTGTATATATTTCTTTTAATTCAAATTTTTAGCTCATTTACAATAGTAATATACAATATATAGTAGAAATCGTCTATAATAAATTATTACTAGGTCCAAATAATTTTTATATTTTACATTTATTTTGAATAGTTACTAATATAGTGAACACACCTGTATTATAATAAATATAATGTGGTTACCTATATACGTATACCAGAATTGCTATTTAATCACTAAAGTTACTTTTTATTTACTATCTATTGTTTATTAATTATTATAGGGATACCACATTTTTGACCACTACTGTAGAATAAACTGATAAAATTATCAAAATATCATCATATTAACTTCATGTTTAATTTTGATATATTTTTGTTAAATATTAATTGTTTAGTAATTTTCATTAACTGCACTAACCAGAGTTAATATCAGATTCAGTAGAGTGTACAAATTGGAAAATTATTTGTTTAGAACTGTATTTAAAGAAAAATATTTCTTTGGAAAGTAATATACATTTGTTTAAATGAATAAAGTTAAATAAAATACAGTTGAATTGTTAAAAACTAATAAATTGTCATCAATTTATAAAAAATGTTATTACTTTCAGTAATAAGGAGGGGATTCTATACCTAGGAGGGAATTTGATTTCTACTGTATTTTAGATTCTGAGCGGAGTGAGGAATGCATTAGTCAAGGGTTATTCACAAGCAAAAATTAAGTACATTTAACTTCCAAGATATCTTACTGACTTCTTAAACTTTCACCTAATTTCCAAATATTCCAACTAATTTTTCAGACTTCCAACTTCAGACTAACTTCCAAAACTTCCATATATTTGTGGGTGTGAATAACCCCCGTTATTGGTTTTATAATGATGTTTATTATTTATTTTTTTAGGAGTTTTCATTATAAATGGGAACATTTACGAAATGTATTATTTTAAAAGCTTAATATTATGTTTTTTTAAAATATGTATAACCTAACTCCACTCAAAATCATTTTTTTTTCATTAGTAATGGTTAATCTTTGCATATAGATGTACATTAAATTTCCCTTCCACCTTCCTAATTTCTCACCTACAACAGTGGCCAACTAACTGTGCGAAATACCATTTGTTTTTAAACTTATTATTAAAACATTATTTATGATTAAAAATTGGTTTTGTTTTATTCTATGGCATTACCTTATTCTTTATAAAATGAACTAGTGCATTCAAAAGTATTTATTTTTATTATACAGATTTCCAACCAATCCTTTATTGCGTAATGATTGGCTCAAAGCTTGTGGATTATTAGAAAGTGACTATGGGCCTTATCGAAGATTGTGTTCAAGACATTTTGAACATTATTGTTTTACTGGAAATGTAAAGCGATATTTAAAACCTAAATCTATACCCACGTTACATTTAACATGTATTAAACAATTAGCATACAATGTGCCAGAACTGTAAGTATTAATGTAACATTGGTAGAAGAATTATTATGTTCTTAATTATCTATGGGTTTGGCCTAAATCTATTTTTATACCCTGTACCGTGGTGATAGCATATGTTGATTGTTTAATGATTAATGAAATAATTTCCACAAATGTCAACTACATTGCTGGGCTTTAATTTTTCTAGTCAATTTAAGGAACATTCTGTTCCTGATACATGTACGTCAAAGTTTCAAAGTCCATCAGAATCAAATATTTCTTCTGACAGCACATTACAAAAGTGAGGCCAACAAAAGTATAATTATGTGTAATTAAAAATAATTCATGTTTTATAAATTTTAGATCAAAAGATTTAATGGAGCCAGGACAATCTCAAGTTTTTAAATTTCCATCAGGTTAAAACAAATAAACTTATTCTTTTGTCAACTTGTTTTGATTACAGAAAATAATAATTGTTTTTTTTTTTTATTATTCTTTTTATCATATTTTAGATGTAGCAAATTTTCATGCTGTAGATGATTTAAGATGTGCTTTAAACTATTGTAAAAGCTGTTATGTAAAGTGTCACAATAATGAGCAAGTTTCATTTTTTGAATTTCCTAAAAACTCTTTTATGTAAGAAATAGTAATTATTTTATTCATAAAAGTGAATGTATATATGATCATAATTAAAAATGTGAAGTTCAGTTTTGCTAGAAATAAATTACTAGTATTTTTGTTTTCACAGGTGCGCTATTTGGGTTGAAAAATGTAATGCAAAATATTTGCCAACTACAGATTTAACTGATCTTAGCAAGAATTATAAGTTGTGTTCATTACATTTTGAGGATAAAATGTTTGCTAATTTTCAAAAAAATAGGCTTTTTGTTCATGCCATACCCTCATTATTTCAAAATGATTCTCTGACACTACCGAAAAAGTTAATTATTATCATTCAAAGAGACAGTGAAAATGTTAGTTATTATAATCATTTATTACAGCCTTATATTTATTCATTTTAAATTCTAATAGAAAATGAATAAAACATTGAAAGATTCAGTGCCACGTGACCATAATTATTGTAATTTAAAAAAAGATAAACCGAAAATCGTTAATTTTAATTCATCAACTGATAAAAGTATCCTATCAGAAAAAGATAAAGATTATCCTGGATTAAAGCGAATTAGTACTAAGGTTTGTAATTTTATTGCCGTCCAAAATGTATTTTTCACATAGGCAGTGTCTAATGAGTTAATCCAATTTTTCAGTATAAATTCATGTACATTGTCTATATTGTTTATTTATTTTATTTTTTATAGCAGATGAGAAAAACATTGAATGATCCAGTTTTAGGTGAACATAATTATTATAATTCATCAACTGAAAAAAAGAAATCCAAACAAGATATAGATTATTCTGGAGCTAAAAAACCTTATACTATGGTTTGTTATTATTGTTAATTGTAATAACCGTTAAGGAAATTATTATTTTTATTAAATGTCTATTTTTAGGTCACTGATGATGTTGTTGGAGTTGAAATGGAAACTCTGGTAATTGAACAAGAAGACTCTCTGTTTGTCAAATTAAAAGCACAAAGAAATTTAATTGTTTTACCAAAAAATTGGTTTTGTGATGTATCTTATAATAGTGTTAAAGTTCCATTGGCTATAACATTCTTCACATTAAATAATTCTAGTATTTTCAGTAAAAGATATCTAGAAAAACAATTGGTATTAAACCAAGGTACTGTATATAATGTATTAAACAATTAAATATATATACATATTTTAATATATATTTTCATTAAAGCACTGGATATATGATTATTATTTGTTAATAAGGAAAATTATTTCAGTATCATAGATGTTTATATTTAAAAAAATAAATATGAATTTTGTTGAGGCATGTTATACCTATTGAATAATAAATTATGTATCTTAATTTAAAATATAAAAATGCATTCAAATTATAACTCATAATGATATTAAATGGTTTATAAACTTTATTTTAGATTCCGAAATAACTTTTTTTGTCAATGGAAAAAAAGTAATTCCAATCGACCTTGGTTTAAAGAATTACTGTAAACCTTTGGATATTTTAAGTTTGCAAAATTTAATTCAGAAATTTGACAGTATTAATATCTGTCAAGGGATATCAAAAAAAGGTCTAAATAATATTAGATTAAATGTATTTGAAAATACTTATCGCTGGTGGCATCCTAAATGTACAAATATTTCTGCAGATTTAGAAAGGTATATACTTTGAATATTATGCACAATTGTTCATTTTGATTGTTAGTAGTCTTATATTAAAGTAATAATTATAATATGGTTATTTTAAAAACATTTATTTTATATTTCAGTTTTCTCTGCTATTCGTGTAAAATACTGAACACTGTGTTGTTGAAAATAAGCGACCAAAAGAAATATCAACAGCAAAAACCATTAAATAATACTTTTCGCAAAATCATAAACCGTAATAAATTAAATTTAAATATCAAAAAGAATAATTCAGTTAGATTTATGAAAATGAGTCAATTAACTTCTACATTTAAGAAACCTTAAAATTAAAATAAATGGGCACATCATCTAATATTATTATACTTGAAGTTTTGAATACCTAAAAGTTATTTTATTTATTAATCAATATATAGTGTTTATTGATTTGTTATATTGTCTTCTTCTATATCAGGTTGGTTATATTTTACACAAAATATATGATAGGGACGGTTTGCCTAATTTCATTCCCCTCAAATTATTTTTCTTAGTTATATTTTACCTAAATGTTGATTTTCTCAATATCACAAAAAATATTTATTTTTAAATGTATTATTAAAATATAAGTATAATGTATGTATAATTATTATTTATTAATTATCAAATTTGTATTATTATTTATTAGTGTTATTACTCAAGACAAGTGAATAAATTTGCATGTTGCTACTGTGAATATTAATTCTATAAATTATTAAATAATTTTCTTTCACACATATGTTCTACGAATTATGTTCTCTAGTTTTTCATTGTGTATTATAATTAATTAAACTTAGAGCTGTGCCAATAATTTGTGATAAAATATATTTTAGTGACTACTGTCTTGTAAAGACCATAACAGTAACAGTTACTCTTCTCGTAAATTTGGCCTCTCATCAGAATATTATTATTAACTGCATTTACTGTACTACAGTTTTGATCACTTGCATCTAGGGCTTATAGTATTTTTGGTTTACCGAAATCATTTATTCGGTAGTTTTGGTTATTCGATTTAATAATAAACTAATTTAATTTTTTTTTGTTTAAAATTAAGCAAATAAGGTCTGTTTAATTTTAATATAATATGTATAATTCTAAATAACTTCATAACTTAAATATTGTAATAAAACCTAACCATAGAACTATATTATAATCATAGTACTTTCATACCATTAGTAGTCATTCTTGTAGATACCAATCAGCGTTATATTATTATTATTATTAATGCTGTATGAACTTGATCTATAGCTACGTGTGAAACCATAGGCATGACTAGATTACCAACTTTCAGGTCGCTATAATTATAGATACATCATAGATGACCTATGGGGGCAATGCCTCAACAATCTCCATTACACGGCATCTATAGTAAGCAACTACACATTTCATTTCCAATTTTGTATGTAAAAATGTATCATTATTGTTTATTTTTATGCATACATGCATTGTCTACAAGTAATATGTATTTTATTCTGCTTATTACCTAATTATGAGATATGTGAATAAAATATTTAGTTTGTACTATAAAAAAGCTTATTGGGTATTTTTGGGAGTGTTAATTTTAAAATTGGTATACTATAAACCCCGTACCACCTCCTAATCGCACCTATGAGTGAAACATATAATATAAAATTAATAGTTACATCCTATATACAACCTAGGTACTTACAATCCAGTTAACTATATTAATATAATATCCAGTTTTAGGATATTCATCAGAAATGGCGCCGAAGTAGGTAATTTAAAAATACTCTGGCGAATATGACAATACCTACTGTATTATATTGGTGTTCTTTGAGACATAATCCACAATATTATTTTTTATAGTTATATTTGTTACAAATACTACTATTCCTCACTACCTACTAGCACTATCCGCCACCGAAAAATTTAGTTGGGCGACGTCCTGTACCCAGAGTTCGACATCACTATCCATCAGTCCGAAATTATATAAAATAATACATCAAATTGACATGAAATCAATTAAAATTGCGCGCAGCCTACCGACATTTATTCTTGGTAGCTCTCCAGGTCAATCTGGGTCTGCATACAATAATAAAAAAATTATATTATGAATTAGTATTTTGCTATCGTACTATGGACTATAAACTCGTGTCTACATATATTATCACATTATAATACTTATATTTATTTTTATTTTCAACTTAACGCGACTGGTCCTTTTACAAAAAGAAAAAAAAATATATTAATAAAAAAATTAATAACAAGTGAAGTGACAATAATAAATGTGGCGTAAAATAAATTAATGCATATTACAAGGTTTACGGGCCGTACACAATCCAAGGTTTATAGATTATAATCTATAAAGTATAATCCTTGCGTATATGGCAACCTTATTGTATAGGGAACCTCTGTGTAAAAATTCAAATCTTTAGTCTCAGCAGTTTAGACTGTACGTTGAGGGTCTAGGACACTTCGCCGACGGACCGTTTCGCTGATGGACCGACTCGCCGCTAGCCTTTTCGCAGACGGGCCTATTTTCTTAAAAGAAATTAACACGTTTTTTTAAAAAAAAGAGACGATACTGGGGACGGGTACAGTCACCCGTGTGATCAAAAAAGGAAATTTGAGTTTTAATTTACTAGTGTTTTCTTTATAGCCGTTTAAAGATAAAATAGCACCCATTAGAAAAATCGTATTCCTCGGCATTCTTCGTATTAATTGTCGATTTTATATGAACATAATTTTTTGACCAATCTAATATATTTGAAAATTGATCACGAATATAAGTTAGTCGATATCGTGTTATAACTTATTATAAGTTTTAGTCGATGGTAAAACACAAATAAATTGTGTGTTACGTATTATTTTTATTCTTATAAGCGTTCAAATATCAAACTTTGGTTTGACGGAAATCGTAAAAATAACGGCATTTTTATATATATTCCATTTGATAGGCGGATAAAACGGTTTGGCTTAACAAAAATGCTTGAATATTTAACACAAGAATAATTTCAAGTTGTACTCAGTGGTCAAAAAATGAAATTTGAGTTGAATGCCATAATGTTTTTTTGTTCGGCGTTTTAAGATCAAATGACAGCATTTTAAAATTTGTCTTATCGAATTTCACTCCGAATCGTTTATCGTTGCGTACAAATTTAAATTAAATAACTGTGTGTCATACCTCGCCAAAATCCCAACTTCCCACCTACAACGGAAGCTGCACCCGTCCCCAGTATCGTCTCTTTTTTTAAAAACGTGTTTATTTCTCTTAAGAAAATAATTCCGTCGGCGAAAGGGCGGTTTCAGTACGTTGATACTTCAGTTTGTCCTCCTTTTATTTATATAGATATAATCAACGGTTCCATTTCATTTATTTTTTAATATTTAATTGTACATAATATTGAATGATTTTAGTAAACCGATAGAGACTAGAGAGCGCTACATCCACCGCGATATCGATCGTTGTTACCATGACAAACTATAGGTATATAGTAAATTTGTTACCATTCATACTATAATATCACAGTGATTGGTGTGTACAATTTATATAATCATTCTCATTATCATTCTCGCTTTTCAGTGTTTTCACTTTTTCAATTGGATATAATATGTGTCTTGGCGTTATTGGAGACACGGTTTAAATTTTCCATCGATTGTCGACTCTAACGTTACAGTTTTTTTCTTTTCGCACTTAGGACATTCATAAAAAAATATAATATTACAATATTTCTGCCAGTTCCGTAGGAGATGTTCATGAATAATATGAAACGGTTAGGTTTTTTCGCGTACGAATCACTCGCACGAACGGTCATACATAGGCGAACAAACGATATTGTTAAATGGCGACGACCATATTGTGATTCACCTGAAGTAAGAACGTTTATTGTGTAGATTTAGAGAATAGTTTTTTAATACTATTATATATGTTTTAATAGATTCGATTTCCGGTTATATTGAGTTGGGCTATTCCTTTTTTTTGGTACAATTCGACTGACCAAACGAAAATTGATAAAGATGAACTGGCTGCTGACGACATTAAATATGATCTTACACAAAAAATAATTGAAGCCGATCAGCTTTTTTTAGCCAACAAGTATGAGGATGTTGTCCACCTACTCGAAGAATTCAAAGTAATTCAAATACATTTAGATTTTACAATCATTGGTTTCTGAGTGTATTAATCATCACCAATATTAAATTATCGTAATAAAACATTTTGTTTTTCATCAATAGTGATAATATACTATTGTAATTGAGTACAAATTTGAATACATACAAAATAATGAAGTGCAAAATTATTATTAGCATATGGCTCTGGAAAAACAACGTTTTTAAAAATAATATAGGTTTACTAGGACTATTACCAATAAAAATAATGTAATGAAACTAATACTAAGACTAAAAGATTGTAACAAAACTAAGTTTGGTAACAATCGGTAACTTGTGATTCTTTGTCTGTTTGGTACAGGCTAGGTTATAGACACATACCTAAGTTTTCCATCCTTTCGATGGCATCTGTGCTGGCTGTGTAGATTTTCTCCATACCTCCTGTGAATTCCGTTAGTGGGCCATTTTTTTACTATGGGCCTGACAGTTTACTCTTGTTCGCAGTCACATAAATTGCATAATAATGTACACCTTTTCACTTAACACTGATATATCAGTAATTTGTGAACATTTTATTGTCAAATTATTTTTAGTGGAAAGGTTTGTACTATATTCCTGAATACCTAACCTATCAAGTTAAACGTATTGCAAAGTCAATTGTCTCTTAAAGTTAGATTTTAGGTAATGTATGTAATAAGTGTATTGCCTTTATCTATAACGTTTTGAGTATCTATATTGGGGTGACAGATTTCAACATTACTTTCAAAATTGAAACAATCTGTATAGCTCTAAAAAAGTAAAATTCCCATCAAGTAAAATATTTCAAATTGTAATGATATTAAATCTAATTAAAATCTGTAATCTATTTCATATTTTTAATCTAGTATTATGATATTAATTATTTATATTTATATTAATTATGTATTTTAGGATAACGATGATGTACAAGTACTTTGGCGTTTGAGCAAAGCTCAATACAACATGAGTTTAGATGAAAACATTAGTAAAGAAAAAAGAAAGTATTTAATATCATCGGCTCACGAATTCATTATTAAAGCATTAACAATTGATTCAAACGTATCTGATATTCATAAATGGGCTGCTATTTTAATTGATGCACACAGTAATATTAATTATGGAATTAAGGAGCAAATAAACAAATTAGATACTATAAAACTTCATTTGCAAGTATGTACAAACATACAGTCATTAAATACAGTAGTTAATTAATTCATTTTTTTTAGAAAGCACTGGAACTCAATCCCAAGGATCCATATACACGGTATATGATTGGTTATTGGTAAGACCTAATTGAATACTTTTATCGTATATTTTAGTTATACATAAGTAATTTTATTTTTGTTTAAGAAAAATTTATCTATGAAATCTCTATCTCAAAAATTGTACCTCAAGTATATTATTTTAAAGATTTTAATTGATAATGTCCTAACTATAAATGTCATTTAGATGTTTACATATAAATATATAATTATAATATTGCATATGTATAAATAATAATAATATTTATTTAGCAGTATTAAAAAGTAAACATATATGTTAGGAGGACACCACACTGACATCTATTGTTTCCGTTTTACAAATGCGAGACATATCAAATTTGCGTTCAGTAGGACACATTTTGTGTGTTGTTAGTTTTAAAATTAAAGCAAATTGACCTATTACCAAAATTAAAGGTAAGAAGATTATATAATATGATCTAGCAGTTTGATGAAATACCACAGGTATTTTCAATATTTTAATTTTTAAGAAAGATATAATAATTTTTTTTTACTCATGTCTCGTTTAAAAATAAAAATATTGAAAATCATCAACGCTAGGGCATATATAATCTTCTTACCTTTAATTTTGGCAACAGGTTAATTTGCTTTAATATTAAAACTAGTGGCGTAAAATTTGTCCTAACGAATGCACATTTGCTATGTCTCGCGTTTGTAAGACAGGGATAGTAGATGTTGATTTGGCGTCCTCTTAAGTATAGTCATATTGTACTGCATTATCTATTAATAAGTAAAATTATTTTCAAAATAAGTTCGCTGTTTAGTTACCAATTCTAAACTAATAATGTATAGGTTACAGTGTTGACAAATTTGTATATGTGAGCTTTTTGTCTGAAAACAATTATCAGGTAGCTGTTATAATATTTTGGGAAATATTGAATTATCCGAACCTATGTTATAGTTGTAGATAATTAGTTGTGTTAAATTTGTTAGTCATAAGTAAAATGTTTTTTTTTTCTAGTATGATGTTTTACTGTTAATATTTTTGGTTCTGTGTATGCATTGTAAGGAAGAAGCCCAGGTTTACAATGAATCATTTTTAGAGTGATGCTATCTGTATGCTGTTTGTATAGGTTTGTTCAGTTCATCCCCATACTACTACTATATTCAATTATAGATAGAGTCAAAATAAAAGTATTTTTTTAATCAGTGCACATTTAAAGAGTGTTTTGCCATATTATAAAACTAGTAAATTTACATAATTTCAAATTTAAGTTTTTTTCTGATATTTTGTATGGCATTTATACTTTATTCATCATAATTATTAGGGTATATAATGAAAGGGAATAAAAAATATTTTATAAATTGATAGAATTTGATGAGATAAGATAACAATATATTAACTAGTATAGGTGGGGGGGTTCTGTTAGTCTTCTTTAAATTTTTGAAGGTTTTGGGAACTTGAAATATTGTTCCATCATAAATGTTAGTAGAATTTAATGTGTATATATTTTATCTTGTTGTTTGTTTATGACTGCACATTGGTACTGTAAAATGGATTTACATGCTGGGTTGTGTACTTTTAAAATAGAAATATTGAAAAGATTAAAAATATTTTTATTATTATTCAAATTGCTGTTTGAAAACTATTTGATAATTATTTTCCAAGAGTTTTCTAATATTTTAGAATTATTAGCCAGATCCTCATTATTTAATAGGTATATGTTTATTTCACCACATAAAATTATATTTTCATTCTGACTTTCAAGTGTTAAATTGCATAATAGGTCTTGCAGTTGTTCTAGAACATTATCATTTGCGGGTTTGTAGATTCACTCAACACAATAGAATCACCTATTAAAATGTTTATAATTATTATAGATATAGAATACATATTATATTATATAGTATTCTATACCCATGATAGTTACCTATTTCTGTTAATAACATTGCAAATCTGTTGTCTGTTTTTTCATGCTATACATATTAATGCAAATTAAATTAAAACTTCTATTGTGTTTACTTAATTTGTTATTTAATTCTAACTTATACTTTATGCAGAAATTGCTCGGTTAGAAAATTATTAAATGCAATATTATTAAGTGCCATTTTAATAATAATTTCATGTTGTATTCGGTTTAGTTTTGATTAAATCAATTAGTAGAAAACTACCTAGTAAAACCTCGCAAGTCATTATTATTATTTTTTTAAAGTTAATATTTTAAGTTAAGTGTACCATAGGTTTTGCTGGTGTAGCTGACGATTTATATATGTATAAATTTAAAAATGGCATTTGCAGGTGTTATAATCTTGCTGACATCTCTTGGTTTCGACGAGAAATTGGATCAATTATATTTGCTACTGACATTCCTTCATCTACATTCGAAGAAGCATTAGAATATTTCCGAGAAGCTGAGTCAATACAACCAAAATTTTACTGGTTTGATTTTGATTTGTGTTATATCATAGTTTTAAATATTAAATCAGTTCGGTTATTATGTTCATCATGAACACACACACGTTGCGTTGTATGTCTTCGCTCCATTATCTTTGTGCATACTCATTAAATTGTATAATTATCATTCATTACCAATATTAAATATTTCCCATATTAATAACGGAATGTGAACAACAAAAGCGTTCAAAAAGCAGACCCAGTCTATCATCAATGCTGTACACCAAAATTAAAGTTAAATTATCTTACAGGACTAAACATGGTCCTCCCCAATGTTGAAACTATCAGACCTATGGACACACCACTAATTATTGCCATCATCCTTTACGCTGTGTTAAATGTGGGGAGATTACTTCTCAGACATTTGCACCAAGGACAAAAACAGTCCACCCAAGTGCACTCTTTGCGCGGGTGATCATACTTCCTGCTACAAAAGATCCCATTATTCAATAACGTTATTAACGATAGTCCTTATTCAAAATTTATTTCAGTACTTTCTGTATTAATAAATCCCTCAATTTCCCTCCTTGTATCCGCACTGCACAAACAACAAATTTTATAGTCCAATTATCTCTACTCTGTTAATTTAATCATCATTATGTTTCCATTTATTTTTTATGAAACTAGTTATTCATTATGATTATTTTGTATTAAAACTTAAAATATTAAATATTTAAGCATATTTAATTTTGTGTTAATGACTTATTTATTTCTATTTTTACGTTGTTTTATCTTTCTATTATTTTAAGTACTTTAATGCTATAATAATTATTTGCTAGAAGTTATAAAAAAAAATTTTTAATTTATCAAATTTATTTTCCAGTAAAAATCTTCTGATGTTGGGCAAGACTTTTTTGAAAATGGATAACAAATTTAGTGCTGAATATTATTTGAAATTGGTTACACAATATCCAGCTAAAACAGTCGAGGATCATCAGGTAAATATATTTTGGTTTCTGTTAATTTGTGTTCACTGCTCAGATGTTGCCAATTTAAATTTTATACCTTTTTTTCTATTTAAGTATTTTAAGAAAACTGGTAAATGACAAAAGAATACACACATATATATATATATATATATATAATATATAAACTATATTTAGTTTGGGAAAATATCACTATAAAACATTATAGCGATGTTAATAACAGACAATACATAATAATGTAGCTGTTATTATTATTTTACTTTTCTATTACTTGAGTTGGGAAAATAATTTATGTAATTAACTTGTTTAATACATATAAATTGTTATTTCATTTTTCTTAAAAATACTAAATAATAATTTTATGTTTATTGTATTATTTAATTATTTATGTATAGTACTTGCCAAATCAACTTTCATTATACTGTACTGCTATGTACAAATTAATTTTGGAAAATTTTTTTTACATATTTTTGATCTTTGAACTATTTTTTTTAGAACATTTTCTATCTAGGTTTTTATGATGTATAATTTAAAAATTTTTTTTAAATATTATTGAGGAAGTAATATTTTTATAGAAGTTTCCCATAAAAATCAAAAGTATATTTTTGAGTTTATCAGTTTAAAATTTGTAATTTATGATAAAAATCTATGTTTCAGGCCAAATTAGAAGCGGAAAAAATTCTGAAATCATTTGGGTAAGTTCATTTGATGCCCCTTCCCTTCACAGTATTTGATTATAGTATTAATTACAATACCTGAATTACAGAATTATTAATATTTCATAACTGAACAACTATTTAAGTAGTTTCACATTGGTTGTTACATTGCTTATTGCTATAAAAATATACTGTAGAAAGTACTTTACTTAACATTCTGTTTAATTTTTGAAATTAAGTTTGCACTGAATTAATATTCGTTATTATTGAGATCTTGTTTTGAATGATTTTATCATTTTCCTATTAATTTCAATTCACTAATTTATTTTAGGTTAGGTTAGGTTAAGGACATTTGATCTTCATTTCTAAATGGTTGCTAGTAGGAAGTTGAAGACTGCTTTGGAGAGTAGGCCTAGTATATCCTCAATATTCATTAAATTTATAAAGGTTTTCTATTCAATTTATATTGAGTTATCCTAATTTTATTGAAGGTAGTAAATAGATGATGTGCGATTTGAAAAATTAATGAAAGTAAATACATATATCTTTTACATTGTGTAATCATTTTACTGCTTCAAAATTCTTTTGTGTTAAATATTAAGATGAATTTTATTCAAGTAAATCATATTTTATTTATAAAAACAACTACTTTACATAATTATGTTATTTAGGAATAATTGAATAGTTTATAAAAACTGTAATACTATAAGGATGCTTAAGATTTGAAAAAATACTATATTTTTTCAAGTAAAGAGGCAAAATCAGTAGTGTTGAGTATAGTTTTGAAATGGTGTTTAATCATCATAATAGTCATTACCACCATCTATATATTTTTTTAGTAAACAGTGGAGTGCATAGTTATCTTACGAGTAATAAAATATTAAACGTGCTTATTAGTTCAAAATAATGTACGTAATACATTTCTGAAAATATTTATATCCATGTGTCAGCAGAATGTTTAATTACAATTTTATATTAATTTAACTTTTTTATTAATTCGTCAAAAGTTGTGTCTAGATAATATGATTATTTTGACCTATTTTTAAAAATTTTTAAATGTTGCATTTAATATTTATAAATTGCGCATTTTTTATAATCCTTGTAATTTCATACAATAGTTTACACTGCACATATACTGTCAATTTTTTTTATTGTAATTATAATTTATTTCCATGAATGATTATTAAACACTTACCTACAATATGTATAGATTTATTTTAAAAATGGCCTATTCACACAAAATTTTAAACTGTATATCTTTTATTTTCGTTGACTACTTTTAAGTTACTGTTTTGTTTTTTAATATTATTTATTATACTGCTAGAATTTGTTAGAATCTCTTAGTTCCTTATAAGCGCTGTGTTTTTATTTTTACTTTAATTTTAGGTTTTAACTAGACATAATTAAATTTGTACTTTTTACTTTTGTGATAAAATTAAACTATTGAACTATTTATGTTATTTGTATTTGTATTTCCTGTTAAAAAAATTTTGTATTTGATATTTTCAATGGCGTGTTTTGTGTACCAGTTATACCCAACGTAATAATATAGCTAGTACCAATAATAATATCAAAAAAAAAATTATTTACTAATTAATTAATTAGGAGTTGAAATTGTCAAAATATACATACAAATGCATTAAATATGAAAAAAATTCATCGAGCACGCATATCAGAGTAATAATGCGCAGTAAATATACATTTAGTGCAATACAATTTTTAGAGCTTTACCATATTTTCAAAATAATGGAAGGACTTATATAATTTACGCGGTGGAAAATACGCTGACGGATAATTAAGTCTCATATAGCTGATGCAGTGAAAAACACCGCGTATAGCTCTGGACTTATGGAGCAACTTCTCCGTTTTCGTTCTTTAACCACATTAAACGGTATAGGCAACGTTTAATGTAAAACGTAATGTCACGGTAACCATTTAATGTTCTCATGTACGACGCCGCACCCTATTCTCACATTACAAATTTGGACGTTGTTATTATTAACACGCACAACACACTAAGCAAACGCATAGTCCAACTACCTACCAATAGAATAAGTGATACCGCGCCGCGGAATAACATTAGAAAATAAAAACGTTGCTGTACCAGTGTTGACATTTATGGAAAAGGGCGTCAACAAAAATAAATTCTCCGTAACAATATTTATTACGCCGTCAATTACAATTTACAATTTAGATAACATGTTATATTATACATAAAGAATGACATTGAAATCGATCACCTCCAAAGCCAGTGGCTGTGCCGGAGGGTTGGGATTCTGAACTATGGTTAAAGATTAAATTAGTTAATCTTGATCTTGATCGGGGTAAAGTTAGGGAAACTTAGGGAAGACAATTGACTTGTACGGTTAAACCGTTGTTCCGCGACACCAAAGATATCATAATTTGCATTATTTATCCTTGCGGCTTGCAGTCGAGTTGTCGAATTTTCTCAGCAGACACGTAACACGGTGTACTCGTACCTATATCTATATGCAGTTAGATAGGTGTAGGACCTACACTTGGCACATAGTTATACTTCGGCTGGTATTCGGGAAACGAAAAATTCTATCGTGTATTACGCAGTTCGAGTCCACGTCGGTGTGATTCGACTGGGTGTGGAGGGCGGTAAGGTGGACGGGATGCGATCGATTTACGAATTTTAGTCGTAAGCGGCTTTTGGAAGACCCGAAAAAAATAAATCCAGAATATAATAATTGTATTTTCGCGGTCGTCATGGTCGGGCCGTGCGAGTTTTCATTTTTCGACCGCCAGAAAATTGCTCCAAATCTCCGTAAACCAGATTACATACCTACCTACGGATAGTATCCTAATAATAATAATTTTTACTGCAGTTTCTCTTCTCGTCCGACGTTTGTCATACACGATGCGATTTCACGATGGGTACATGACGTGCTGGCTGTACCTACTTGAATAATTATAATATTTAAGCGAAATACAAAAGAATAAAAAATATATCCGTCGTTTCGTAATCCCGGGGTTTAAATCGTATTCATTTTTTTCCGCGACTGTATTTTTAAACATTTAACTTCGCCGTCATCGAAAAAAATATATATTAAAAAATATTTTTAATATTGGTGGCATGAGACGCAGTAGCGGTGCTCTTTCGCTGGTGATTTCAAAGTAGCAATTGCAGACTGCTATATCAAATTCCAATATGGAAATAGCAGTGACCGCCATACTTACCATTTTATTGCTACTACTAGAACGCGTTCCTAAAGGATTCCTTTTAGAAGAACGAGCGAGGGAATTAATTCCATTATTTTTTAAAGGAACAGGAGCGTGAATATTGTAATTATTTGTTCTTTTCTAAAATGTTTTCTATTTGGGGAGTAAAATTGCACTTATCAAGTTTTAAATCTATTCGATTTTTTCTGTTCAATTTTTTGTTGACATACGACTTTGTGTTTCAAAGCAAATTAATTTGTGATATTTTTAAATTAAGAATATAAAACAATTATTTTGGACTACATTAGGTATATATTCATAAAAGAACGCTTCAGTAAGACACGAGTGCCTTTTTCAAATAAGGATCAAGGAACAGGAACAAATTCCTTTTTAAAAGTAACGTTGACAACACTGTTAGTACCTAGTGATTTTACCAAGTCGCAGTCATGAATTCATCATTCACTGTTATTTTCACTGCTAAATTTTTAGTCGCTGTAATAACTGCACGTTACCGCTTTTGAAAAACAAATACAAATATAACAAACTGTAATATAACGCAAACTGTTGTCGTAAAAATGGTCAATATTATTCACATTGTATATAAACACTTCGCTGCATAATGTTTCACCTTAGGAACAATTATATTTATTGGTTAATCAGCTCATGCCACAGAGTAATGCTTAGTTGATACGGTTTTGATGTAAAGTTCAATAAAGTTTATGTGTAGATGTCGCTAGCTATTTAAGCAGAAATAACTATTTAATTACAAATAAGATTACTAGGGTGACGAAAAATAACAAATATAAAACCGTAGAGCAGCTTGTTTCTTAAATGTTCTAGAAAACAAATTCCGGAAAAAGTTAATACTTTCCGAGATAATGAGTGCACTTAAATGAATCACCTGGTACTTTTCTAAACAACTTTTACAGCGGAATTGTGCGCTTTAGATCGACACTAACTAAAATTTAATACATATTCTAATCAAAGGAATTAGTACGGCTTTTGAAATTTGAACAAAAACTGAACAACTACTCATAGATTCACCTAGCTATAGGATTATGCATTCAGAGACTACAATATATTAATAAAATATAAACCTACGGTATAGTTTATTTTTCTCTCGTTATTTTTGCAACCGTAGGCAACATTTCGGAGAGGCGCAAACAAATTCTCAAAATGTTATTTCCGTTTTGATTCCCTCCCGCGGACGTTCATAACGTTTGTAACGTTCAATATTAGATTGTATACACATCGATTTCGTCTGGAAATGTATATTATAGGGGCGTCGTTCAGTTTTCTTTTCGGGTGTGCGAGGTTTCAAGTAGGCCATTTTGAAAGTTCGCCGGGCTGTATAATAATAGATACACATATATATATTATGTACTTTATCTTGCTGTTAGTTTTATCCACGGACCGCATTAATATAAAAAATAGTGCAAAGCAATTCAAAACCAAAAGACGATAAATAATTGATCACTTTAGATGTGAAAACGAATAACGTCAACCATAGGATGCTTGAAAAAAGACAAACAAACGTACAATATTACATTACGCAACACGCATCTACCGCGAATTACCGCGATTCTAATGGTAATTCAATCTGTGGTATGATAAGCAACGATTGTAGATTAATATGTCCATCTACTCTGTTTACTCAGTTAATCGTTAGAACTCCATTTGTTTAATTTATTATAAGTTTTAGTCGATGGTAAAACACAAATGAATTGTGTGTTGCGTATTATTTTTATTCTTATAAGCGTTCAAATATCAAACTTTGGTTTGACGGAAATCGTAAAAATAACGGCATTTTTATATATATTCCATTTGATAGGCGGATAAAACGGTTTGGCTTAACAAAAATGCTTGAATATTTAACACAAGAATAATTTCAAGTTGTACTCAGTGGTCAAAAAATGAAATTTGAGTTGAATGCCATAATGTTTTTTTGTTCGGCGTTTTAAGATCAAATGACAGCATTTTAAAATTTGTCTTATCGAATTTCACTCCGAATCGTTTATCGTTGCGTACAAATTTAAATTAAATAACTTTGTGTGTCATACCTCGCCAAAATCCCAACTTCCCACCTACAACGGAGGCTGCACCCGTCCCAACACGCATCTACCGCGAATTACCGCGATTCTAATGGTAATTTAATCTGTGGTATGATAAGCAACGATTGTAGATAGTATGTCCATCTACTGTTTACTCAGTTAATCGTTAGAACTCCATTTGTTTATTGACCCGCGTAGGTTGTAACCACGATTGACCGTACGAAATAACGATGGTACAATGTATTTTCAGTATGCCGATTTGGACTGTACACTTATTAAAAGCAAGATGCGCAATCGCACACGCTACACTCCCTCGTAGATAACGCCCACGGTATGTTATATATTAAAACAGTTGGTATAAAAAGTACTAATTTCACATGGAAACATTACAGTCTGAGTACCGGTGATAATCTAGAAGTACCTATTGTACACATTTTTTAGAAGAGGCCCGTGAGTAGTTTTTTGACGCGATTCGAATCGCGGTAGTTGTAAAATCATACGAGTTCTCGAAAATTATAAATGCCTAAGTATCTATAAATAATTTATTTATTTCACATTGTAAAATCGCGCGCGCGAATCATTTCGTTTTGCGAATACTCCGCTGCGTAACCGTATTATTGTAATATTTCGAACAACCCTGCGTATACGAAATTATGCGTGTAATACGAATGCCCGTGGTCGTTTTTACATCGGTTAACAGAATTATACTCACCCGAGCGTGTTGATGGAGATTTTGTTGAAAACAGCAGCGTATTCCGGTCGATTTGTTCGCCTAATCTCTTGGGCACGATATTTGTATGTAGTTATCGTGTATTAGTGGAATACGGGAATTTCGAAGCGCTAATAACCGTAGAAAATATACTAAAAAGCGTTTGTAATACGTATAAAGCGACGAATCTCTAAAAATTCTTATGAATGGATTAGGTTTTTCTTTTCCTATGAAAATACTTAGTCCGTGTATTGAAATCGATCCACGCTTTTTTAAAACAATAAAAAAGTATAAATACAAAATTAAACCAAACCACTTCTCCATCGGTATAAAAAAAAAAAAAAAAAAAACAAAAACTACTCTATAGTTTTATATTCAATGGCTGTGCAGGTACTTATATTATGAATCAACAGCGGTTTGCATTATGTATTTTAAACTACGCTTCTCAATCTCTTTTAATATTTTTTGAATCCACCGCGTCAATCCGTATTTTTCTTGGTCATTACTCACTTTGATCTATAATATTAGAAAGAAAAAAAAAAAATAATAACTGTAATAACCATAAAAAAAAAAAAAAAGCCAACAACCGATTACAAAATCCGTACTCAAGTATTCATAGTCGTTTTTCGATTACTTTTGTATTATGCCACGGCGCTATTTAGTATTCAATTCTTGTATATTGTTGCGTATTATTGTTGTTTATTCGGTTCGAATATTCCGAGTGCCTGTAGGTACTTAGCGAATTGGCGATTAAAAACAATACTATTGATAATAATACAACAGCAAAAGCAAATTCGTCACGGCAACAATATATAAATAGAATTCGTACGGCTGTACAATATAACGGGCCGGTGATCGTGAGACGAGCCTTTGGTACGAAATGTTTACCATAAATGTTAATACAATTCTTTAATTACATTAGTGTTTCGTTTAGCTTTATTTCTGTTATTATTATTATTTTTTTATTATTATTATCACTTCACTTTATTGGGCAGCAGCGGCAACAGTAACAGCAGCAGTAGCAGCAGCAGCAGCAGCTGCCGTTTCATTATTTTCGTTCTCGGGGCTTCTATAATTGTTTTTCTACTTGTATATCGCTCACGTCTGATGTGCGTCGTATATATGTTTTATACTCGGATCCAATTCAACGGAAAATCCTTCAGATACAAAGTCGTTTTCACTCAGTCGTAGTGTCGTGTTTTTCGTCCAGTAGGTATAACACGATACCGTATTTATTTATTTTTTTTTTTTGTTATTATCCTCACCTATATATATATATATATATAAATAGTTAGGTATACACGCATAGGAATATAATATAAATGGTTTCAAAATATGCACGCGTGTAAAAAATTTCGTTTACCCAATACGAAACAATATTAAAATTGAATAAACCGTCGCGGTAGTAATGTATACCTATTGGTTTTACTGGTTGGTATATTGAGAAGTCGTTTTATGATTTTCTCAACATGAGGGAGGGGGGAGGAAACGTAAGAAAACCGGAATACTTAGGCAATATAACGGCTTCTGTTAATTTCGATTTTATTATTTACAACGTAATTCAGTGAGTATCTAGACAATTAAAATTTTCACCGGATACCTATTCATATTATTTAAAACACTTGCTAGACGCGGTGCACTTTTAAACATACCATGGCGTTTTTTAAACCTATTTATGTTTTTTGTGTATAAAAATGTTGTGTGAGTGTTTTAATTTCTAATGGTTAGCTAAACTCTGATGCTCAGACTCGTTTTTAAATTTGAATGCTTTACAGTCGTTAACTAAATACTATCTTATACATTATTATGCCTTTCAAACTTCCCTCCTACACCAGTAGCTTACTTTTTTATCATTAAAACATTGATTTATTGATGGAGGTAGGAAACTGGTAAATACATAATTATACACGGAAGTTTTTTTTTGAGAAGTTGGTATATAAATGTTGAGTTTGGCATATTTGGCATAGTTTTACATATTTCGAAAAATTTGTAGCCAAAACGTAAATTAGATATTTGTTGGTAGGTTTATAATTGGTAGGCTTATAAAAATAGAGATGATTCATCCACCGTCATTGCAGTAAAATAACAATAATATAACAGTTAAACCGACTTAATATATTTTTTAAACGTCGAAGTGAAAAGAAAAGGAGAAAAAACCGTTTTTAATTAAAAATAACAATTATAAAATAGGTTTTTATATTATTCGAAATTCTATATTAATTACACGGCGCGATGAATTGAAAAACCGGGCGATAGTGCAGTTTTGTAAACGGAATTATTGTCATTTGTCGTAATGTAAAAAGCTTTTTTGTTTACAAAAAAAAAAAATATATCAAGCTATAGGTACAATATTTTAATATATATTATATTATGTATACATTTTTATACTTTGTACATTAAATTCTCGACGAATACTACACGAGAAGGCATTAATATGTGAAGTTTTTCAATTTAAGTACAGTGGACTTTAAACATAGAATGTTCGAATTATCTATAGTTTTTTAACCTATCCCCTCTCCCCTAGGTTTTACATCTATTTCTTTATTATAGCGTTGCAGATAATAATAAAAAAAGCAATAACTCTATACAATGTACCTTGTACTTAGTCAAAGGTCGAAAGTTTTAGTTGACATTTCGACACGTTTGTGAAGACTAGAAACTTATTACAGACGATAACAATACACAGGCCTTTGTTAAAAAGAAAAAAAAAATCAATATTTATTAAACATTTTGTACGATAAAACAAGCTGTAAATAACAATATTATTTAACATACATTTTATAGAAATATTCGTGCTAACAATCGTATTATTTTTATTAAAACTATAATAATATATATATGTACAATATTTAAGTAAAATTAAGTATTTAATGTCACAAAAAAAAAAAAAAAATCAGATTCGTAGGTAGGTCAACTAACGTATTCGATAATTTTGTTACCCGTTTGGAACGAATCGACAAATCAATAACACCAATACTCGCTTCGAGTGGGTACTTTATACGGTTTATTCCCACGTAGCTGACTCCCATTTTGTCAACATCCAATTTCGCCGACACCATTATATTTTGTTAATACTTACCTGTGACGTACGTTGTTTGAAGTACACCTATTCATGACTCCATCTCTTTATAGATCATGTTAAAACAACTCGTTTTCGTTGTTATTTTTGCAGGGATTACACTAGTTTTTTAAAATTGTCATTGTACAAAACTTAAAGTATGAAAATAATAAGAAAAATTCTTTCGAACATACATCTAATCGTTGATTACCTATTTTTATTGTTAATAATTTTTGTATTTTCGGTAATACTAAATTTATATATTTATTTACGCTCATGCCGCGATTGCGGCGCTGGAATTTCTTTGGTAATAATAATTTCATCGCAACAATAATATTTCAATTAAAATAGTAATATAGCCGATTTATGTGTCGGCGAAATGGGAAGATTTTTAATATCTTATAAAACCAGTTTATTTGTCGGCAAAATGGGAGTCGGTGACGTGGGAAGACACAGTACCCTAGAATCTAGAGTAGGCACTCTAGGGCGTTCCTTATTATTATTTTTTAAAAATTTAATTTGACTACTTGCGGAATTTGTTCAAAACTATAAAAAAAATGTTGTGTAAAGTTTCTTTATAATTGGTCAACCCTAAAATGTGTTTCGTGAGGGTTAAAGTTAAAAAAGGAGCTTTTTCTATTTTAAAAATTATGGCCTAAAATATTTATAAAAGGCAAAACATGCTTTGAATAAAATATTTTCCAAATTAAATTTCTTGTATAAATTGTTACTTATGTTTTCTTTTATTCACTTAAAAAATGAAAAAAAAAATTATTTTAGTACCTATCGTTTTTTTTTTGTACTTGTTTTGTTATTTTTTGGGTGAATGACTCGTTAAATGAATAAAGTATAAGTATAATAATAATTAGAGAAAATCTAATTAAAAAAAAATATTTTTTATGAATCTTTTTTTTTTTTTATAGATGTGAACTAATTTCGGGGGTAACCCGATCAAAAAATTGAAATAAAAAATGTCTCCACATCAAATACGATAACGACCACCTTCAGATATTCTTATTATAAACAAGAACGGCTAGATTGGTTGCGACCGTAGGCGTAATTAGATCACCAACTCTGGGGGTGATAAATTATGAATAAATCAAAGACCCATGGGGGCTATGTCCCCACAATCCTCTTTACATGGCTCAATCAATAGTTAACTACACCTTTAATTTACAATTTTGTACCTATATACAAATTTATCGTGGCTATTTTAACATTATTTTTCAAACACACATGTATTAGTTCGTTGTTTATGAAATTCATATTCAAATATTTAATTGTCACTATGACAAAACTTGATTGAGTTTTTCGGCGGTGCTAATTTTAAACTTGGGGTTGCTTAAGACTCTTTGCACCCCCCGGTTGCGCCTATGGTCGCGACCCGACGTGCTTGTCCCGTGTTAATTAGGTTTTAATTAAATCAAGGGGTAATATTTGTAGAGGTAAACCCTGCGAAACGAAAATATTAAACGGCTCCCCGACCGTCCGCGCTCCCGGGCAAAGCGTTGCGCAAATACGGTTTAGGAAAAAAAAAAAAATTATAAAATCACGACTGTCTATTTAAAACGGCGGCGGTTACGAAGAAAAGAAAACGCAATTTTTAATCGTGCGCTATTTTTTTTTTTTTTTTTTTTTTACAA